AGTTCAATTCCAGGCAGGGCGAAACTTTGGGCAAGTTTCCTTACTCCACATGCCTAATAATAATCCCTCCAAAACCAAAAATAATAATAAAAAAAAATTGGTCATTTTCAATCTACGACTGTTTGTGGGACATTGCTGTGCGCAATTGGCTGCCGCGTTCGCCCACAAATATACAGTCAATTCACTTTACAGTGTGTTCTGTGAAGCGCTTTGGGACGTCCTCCTGACGTGAAAAGCGCTATATCAAATGCAAGGATTATTATTATTATTATTATTAAGCAGTTTTCAGAACTGCTCCTATTCACAGGTGTTTTTATAGGGTTGGTTCAACTTTTCATGTTGAAGGTTAGGAGCTAGGGATTGGACAGAGAGCTGGACAGGATGAGATTCATTTGAATGAAGACACAAACAGTGGTTACTGAATATCAAGAGCAAGACATGGGCTTTTTGTAAGGATCTTTGTAAGGAGAGCTAGGTCAAAATGGGGAGAGATACTAAGAAGGTGCCTTCGGGTCTGTACTGGCACCCCTCCTATTCCTCATATATTAATGACCTGGATTCACAGACCTAGTGTAAGATAGTTAAATTTGCAGATGACACCATCAGATTAGGCAACAAAGATCCTACAAAGAGAGCTTGACATAGTGTGCACATGGGCTGATAACTGGCAAATGAAGTTTAATACTGATAAATGCAAGATATCACATATAGGATCGAAAAATAGGAAACACAATTATTCCATGGATGGGATTGAACTAGTCAAGGGGGAAGCTGAAAGAGAAATAGCAGTGATAGGTGATTGTTGCTCACAATGTCAAAACAGTGTGAGGCAGCAATAGGCAAGGCAAACAGAATGCTACAATATATTGCTAAATCAGTTGAGTTAAAATCCCCAGACATCATACTCAGGCTGCACAGTATTCAGTTCAGACTGCACCTTTAATACTGATATAGTTGTGGTCACAGCAACAAAAGGAGGCTGCTCAGTACCGAGAGGGGTGCAAAGAAGAGCAACAAGAAGAATGAGCTATGCGCAACAATTAGACAACCTAGTTGAGTTCAGTTTTGAGAGAGGACGATAGGCGTATAAATGGGATTGAAAAAGTGCCTCAAGATTCATCAAGACAGTAGAAGAGTATAAAGGTCTAGGGTTATAAAGAGCCATTTGAGGACAGATATTAAGAAGTTTTTTTCTTTACGCAGATGGAAATCAACAACTGGAACAGCTTGTTAGGAAAGGTTCATGATTCATTTAAAAAGCAGCTTGATGCAGTGATGCGGAAGGGGGTGGGTATTCTGAAAGGTTAAAATTAGATGGGCCGAAGAACCTTCTTCATCCAGACTAATCTTATGATCACCAATAATGCCCTACTATATTGGCGTGTTGGCCTATTTTGTGAACTTAACGTCCCATTGTGTGGCTTGAACCAATACTTTGAGCCTAGTGCTGTGTTCTGAGTCAAGCTGAAATCAATTGTTTTGAAAAACATCTAATTTCACCCCGTAGAATTTAGAAATTATTTTGAGAACTATTTCATATTGTAATCAGTTGGCTTTGGGGATATGAGGGAAATACTGATAATCAGCCATATTTTGGAGCAACAATTATCTTTTTGATAACGAAAAAACACTGCACCAAACGTTTGGGAGCATCACTAAAAAGAATATTGCACATTCTACTCACTGGATTCAACTTTGCATGTTCATCAAGGGGCCCTTATATCCCATCTTAACATCTTCCATGGACCTTCCCAAATAGTCCTCCCCAAGGGATTTTGCTCCTGTGTTCTTGGGGATGCTACTGATGCAGCTGAGTGCAGTGCTCACAATTACTTGGCCTGGATTTCCCTGGACTGTAAGGCCAGTCTTTCTGTGTTGCTGTGCCAGTCCTCACTGCCTGCCTTTAGTAAAGTACAGCAGCTCCTCCATGGTTTTGTATGGAAACCGACTGCGTTAGCTGCCGCCTCTTCGCCATGATCCCCAGCCCAAGCACATTTTATATCATTTTTAGATCAAAATCAACAAATGCTGAAATATGTTAAAATAATAAGAAAAATCATGTATTTAAAAAAATTAAAAATTTATTTAAAAAATTATTTATAAAAATATTTAAAAAATAATAAAACGCAACAAAAAACTAATAGAGTGATACAGTAAAGTAATCTTGAAAAGACATGCTGACTAACTAAAGAATATTTTACAAGACTTCTGAGTACATTTGGGCAATAAGAATAGATTTATTATTCGCCTTAGTTGGGATATTTTAAGCACCAGAACTGTATGGGCCATAATGAGAGATGACTCCTTTATTCTATGTGTATTCCATGCACCCTGCAGTAATCAATACAATAAAAACTAAAAATGAATTCCTGATAACAAATAAAACCTTTTGTTCAAGTACTGTATATGCTGATGCAATAGATGTGCAGTGAATCTGAAAGAGTATTTATGCATCTGAAAAATGCTTTTTCTGAACAATTCTGAATCTAGTACATTATAATTATTTAATTGGACAAAATGTTAAAATTCATGTAGTGTTGGTACAAGATATTCGGTTCTCCGATAGTTGTGATTTGCAGTGTTCGGAATCTGACATTGATGAAGCATTATACAGGACCAGTACTGAAATACAATCATATCATCACCTTAAGTACATTATAATACTACCTTCCGTTAAAAAGTAAACGGCAAGACGTGTGCACCTCTCAAATACCCACATAAAATAGATACACTTAATAATTAATGCTGCAGAATGTTTCTGTTTTTAAAAAGGCATTTTGCATCAGGATTACAAATGAGAAATTCCTGTAAAACAGTGATTTATTCAAATATCATAGGGTAAGTGAAAGTGATAAATTTGACTGCAATTTATCCACCTATGGGATAGCTAGACATTTTCAAAGATGTGACCATCACAGAAAAAGTTTTTCTACAGTTATTACACCGTTAAAATGATCCCGAATAATTGCTGACAATTCCCACGAAAGGTGACCAGCTACCTTTAAATAAAGTTACAAAATGCCATTTGGAACTGAACCCATCACAATGCCATAATATGGACACATCTGAAAAGGTTGAAATATATTATCTTAAACTATTGGTGAAATGATGGTGGATTACGATATTACCAATTGATGGGATGCTTACAAATTGGACTTGCGGCACAGGATTTCTGCCTTGCTTGGGGTGTGTGTGTGTGTGTGTGTTTTCGCGTAGAAATACTGTATTACTTTTAAATGTATAATTTTGTTCAGAGAAGAATAGTGCGCCTTTGAACCTAACATTTGTATTATCAAATCTAGAGAGTCTGGATTTAGGGAATGGGCAGAATCTCTTTTAATCAAATGGCAACACATATGAACGATGTGCCCGGATAGCTCTGTTAAACATAAAAACTGATGAAGGACGATCCATTTGGGGAAATTTAGTTCTGTAGGTGCCAGGGTCTGGTTCTGTGAAAAAAAATTACACATACATATCTAGGATTCCTTGTTAGGGGAATGTTTCCCCCTTCGGATTTTGCTTATGATGAGATTTGATTCCTTTGTTTCATTGAACCTGACAAAACTTCAGAGAGTTAATTCCAATACACCGACATTAAGGGCACAGTAAACCTACCGTCGCAGAGACAACATTTTGCTCCAATGCCCATCGCATTGAAGAACAGAAGCAAAAAGTTAGTGCAGTCGGGAGGACCTCCAAAAGCTGAGACCCTCTGAGATAATTCAATCTTCAACGCAGATTAATTTCCAATCGTTGGGAGGAAATGCGCTGAACTGTTTGGGAACTAAGTGATTGAAATCCTTCCGTGTGCTGTGCAAGACGCGTAAACAGCGGTCTGCAAATTATATTATATAAAACGTACCGCACAAAAGCCGATGCATTAGACATTTACGTTTGATTGCAACTTACCCCATGTGGCCAGCGCTCCCACATGCAGAATCTGATGCCCCTGAAGCTGGCAGTCAGATTTCAGCTGCATTGCTGAACGCTGGTCACGTTCTTTACAAAGCCTGACTGGTAATGCTTCTCCCCAAAGACACCACAAAAACAATCGCACATTTACAAAAGCATGGCGATTGTGCTTGCAATATAAACTTCTTCCTTTGCCGATTGATTCTACTTACACCGCGGGCAACATCTCACGCTTTATGCACTGTGCAAATCCACAACAAAGTTGAGAGGGACATCAAAATCATTTCGGGTCACGCGTCTGCTCAGATCCGAATTTCATCTTCTGATGAAAACGGTCACTTGGAAGTGGCAACACTAACAAAAAAAAACATAGTGTTGGTATCCTGTCATTGAGACGACTAATATTGAACTTGTGACAGTCAATTTGAACCTTGATTCAACGTCGGTTTTCGTGATAATGTTAAAGGTTTGCTGTGTCCCCTGCCATCCTGAATTCGGCATTTCCATTGCTTCAAGTATTTTGCTTGTGTTGTTGGCTGTTTGCTATTTCTACTAACCTTTACGAAATCATGTCCTGCGACATCCCACTGCTCTCCTCATCATCTAAGATACAGATGTGAGACAGTCAACCTTGAAACATTTGAGTTTGCAGATTGGATATAACGGAATAAAGATAAAGATCGTGGATCAGATAAACAGAACTGGGGGGAAGAGACGGTATGTTGCCTTAACATCTCTCTTTGCTCACTTGACAAGTACAGATATACTTCTGACAAACACAATCCTCTAACCTCCGCTGTCCCAGACAGTGCAAGTGCTGAGCGTTTACATCTACAGAGAAGTGTTGTTGTTTTTTTTTTTGGGGGGGGGGGGGGGGGGTTGAACGTGTAAAGACGCGTATACGTTTTCCACTGAATCAAAGGCGACGTTTATTCCTTTTTTTATATAAAAAAAAGGTTAGATATTCCTGCGCCTTTCTGGCCAGAACGAGCTGATGGTGAACACTTGAAGTGATAAGTGACAGGGATTTTTTCGACGTCTGTTACTGATTCCCCCCCCACCCCCACACCCCCACACACACTCACCTGTGAGACTTTTGTACCTCTTTCTTGTCCATGACCGCTGGCACGCAGTTGATCAGCTCAGTCCAGTCTGCGTGCAGCCCGCAGCTCCAGCCCGTGGAAAACCTGGAGAAGAGCCAGGTCTCCTTCTTGCCGGGCCGGTGGCAGGTGCACTTCTTCTGTCCCGGTTGACAGTCGCAGGGCTGCTCCAGTTGGATGTTTCTCACCAAGTGCCTCCCGAACGTGGTGCCTCCGGTTTTCTGGATGTGCAGGAACACAATCACGTCGTTTCCCTTGATGTTAAATCTCACGTACCGCCGGAGGTCTCCGTCGGTGAAGTTGAATTTCGCCGTGAACTTAGCCGGGTTGTCATCCTCATCTCTGTAGGAATCCCGCTGTGACAGCACTGAACCCGGTGCCTTGTCCCCCCTCAGCCTCTGCGCTCCTCCCCCTCGGATTTGGCACGAGCTGGTACCTGGGCAGATGTACTGAGAGATGATCATAATGAACAGGACGGCTAAAACAAGGACGAGGAGCAGTTTGTTGGATTTATCATCCATGTTCCCGGTCAGCTTGTTCTTCAGTCATATACTAACATCAGTACTCATACTGGTGTGTGTGTGGGGGGTTTCACCAAAGAAGGAACATTTTGCCTGTGGCTCTTCGCACCTCTCCCGCCTCCCAGCATCTCCGCATTCAGGTCATGTTGATGCACTGACATCCCCCCCCACCCCTCTCTCTCTCTCTCTCTCTCTCTCTGTGGCTCCGCGTTTGCTGAAGTGCAGATCAGTCCATGTTGGATGGCACGAGCGGCAGCTCAGCGGACTGACCTGACCAGCCTTCGTTGGCGGCGGCAGCGGCTGATAGTCCACGGGGGGGGAGGTAAGGAAAAAAAAACGTGTGGAGTGATAACGACTGAGACCCTCTGTGCCCTCCTCGGCTCTCGGTGCTCGGCAGCTGCAGTCCCCGCGCCGGCGGCACACACTCACCACTTACTTGCAGGAGCGAGCGGGGAGGGGGCGGCCCGGGCACCTGCGGAGCGCTGACCAATCGGGAGCCAGGCACGACGGGCAGCCAATCGGCGCCGAGGACCGTGCTCTCCATCTGGCCAATGGCTGGAGAGAGAGGAGGCGGCGGCCAATGGAGAGCCGGTCGGGGTCCGGGTCCGGCCAATCGGAAGAGCCGGGCGTGGGGCACTGCAGCCAATCGGCGAGGACGGTGAGCAGTGGGCGCTCGGCGCAGAGAGGACCCGCTGTGCGCCAGGACAGCGTTGAGCCCGGCAGCGGCGTGTGTGTGTGTGGGGGGGAGTTTGTATGTGTTCCGCTGCACTCAGGGCATTCAGGAAACAAAAAAAAACTATTGCAAATAAATTATTGCAGGATGTGCAGTTCGTTTTAAACCGCATTTGGGGTATAGAGTTTTTTTTTAGTGGGTGGGGGGGGCTGGAAAGGAATGCTGTCCAACGTCCTGTTGGTCAAGAGTATTCATTAGAAAAGCACTGATAAAGTTAGGTGCACCGACATACATACTCGTAACTCTGCCAATGCAAAGCAGACGTATTGAGAGCAATATTCACCTTTCAGAGAGGCAGAGGAATAAAACGACAGAATGGCAATCCTGCAGTGTAAGAAGCAAATCGCATACAGGGTTTCCTTTAATTAAGTCGATCGATTTAAAGGTGAAATATATTTAAACTGTTTCAATGATGTTGTAGAATGTATACACCCAAATAAAACAAAAGTAATAATAATTATTACCGTTCCTTCATTACAGTGAAGGACTATCCAGGATTTCAGGTGACATCAGAAACTTATAGAGGGTGAAGCTTAACCATCTTTAACCCATCAAATGAACCAACACATTAAATTACAGCTTTGAAATCACTCTCCGTTTGTTTTTTTATATAATATATGCTGGTCACGCAGAGAACACATCAAGAGCAGTAATGGGATTTAATAATTTCTCCACAAGTAATGATGACTGGTTAAATCACAAGTGATTGCTTCATGAGACGATTATGAGTTAGCATTACCAGGGGGCACAGTTAGAAGACTGAACTGCTGGTCATGACTTGTGACCATCAAAGTGTCCAAAGAATGTTTTTGTTCTTTGAAGATTAGAGTAAGTATTTAAACAAAACCAATGATTTGAAATGAGTTTGTGACATAACTTTGTTACTGTTGTCCTGATCACCGCGGAAATATTTTATCAATTTATTTTTGAAACATCATAATTTCTCTTTTTTTTTATGGTCCCATCAAACAGCTCACTGCCCTGGCAGAAAGGTTGAACAGGAAACCTGGTGACAGGCTTCTTCCAATGGATTCCAAAGTAAGCCACAAGGAGGTACTCAAGAGCAACTCTTCTGCAGTGCTTCTTGTGTGGAAGAGCAGGCTCTGCTCCTAACATCTCAACAACAATTTGTATTCATGCAGTGCCCTTCACGTTCGCTGAAGTCACGGCGCTGATGGTGGACTTTGAGCAAGGGGAAAGGGGGAGGTAACTGTAGGTCCAAGATGTAGGTTTTTAGATGGTACTTAAAGACAAGAACAATTTGAATTTATGTAAGGCCCTGGACCAAGGAGTCGGATTGAGGAATCAAATATGAGGTGTTGGCACGACCAAAGTAGGATGGTTACCATGATATCCCCATATTGAGCTGCACAAAATTGAGGCTCATGCAGCTCTTGATGTCTGACAGGTAGGCAGGTGGAATATCTGTGGACCTGGAATCAAGCGTAGAAGTGAAAAAGTAGACTTGTTGTTAACTGCATATATGTGGAAGTTAACACATGGAAATCCCAGATATAGATTGTTGGAAGAATATGCACTCTCTCCCTTGAGGGATGCATCCTGCTTACCTAATTCCAGAAAGTGTTAAGTGCCAGTTGGCAAGAGTTTGGGGAGTACAGAGTCTACGTTGGGATAACTGCTGGAGTCTAACCAGCTAAAACCCCATAGCTTGCCATTGATATTGCTGTTCAGCAAGCTTTCCCACTACTTGTCTAGCTGGGACCACCCTACCTGTTAGGGCTTTGGCTTGCAGGTTTAACGGGAGCTAAGTGGGATGATTCCCTGCCCCCAGTGACTGATCTCAGAGATAGATGAAAGTGGAGAAGTGAGTGGAAAGTTGTGGAGGATGGATTGGTCAATAGAATTAAAAGCAGCTGAGAGGTCAACGAAGATAAGAAGGCTGAGGCAGCCCTCATTGCAGAAGGAGAGAGAGAGGATATCATTGTTAACTTTGATTAGGGCTGACTCAGTGCTGTGGGTGGTGCAGAAAAGAGACTGATGGCTCGAGCAGGAAGTTGAGGGAAAGGTTGGAGCGAAGATAAGTGACAATGTGTTCTAACACCTTGGAAAAGAATAGAAAGGTTTTTTTCCAGGAATGGAAAATGATTGGGGAGGGGGATGTGGGAGGGGATGAAGATGAGAAGAGGAAGTGGTTGAATATGGCTTCACTTAGATCAGGAACTCAAAAAGTGGTGGATGGTTGAAACTGTTTCTCAGTCGTCCCCGCTTCATGGAGTACTAGCTGTGCCCATTGCAGCTACTCTTGCAACCAAAGGATCCAATATGATATGTAGATTGACACTCAGACAAACACACAGACAGACATTTCATCTTCATCTATACTCATCTGGGAGGACTCCTGTAAGAGGACTCCTTTTTGGAGGACTCAGTGGCAGGAATTGGCGCTTTGAAAATGTAATTTTGTTGTTGTTATTACCATGGCTTAGCTTTCGTCTGTGTTCTTCATTTTGTTCCCGCTGCTTGGTACTCTAGCTCCCACGGCAAGAAGAAAAAAGTGCCATATATTTGTTGCAGAATATAGATGTATCTCTCTGAACAGTGTGTGCTTTCCTCTGTTGCTACATAGTTGCAGAATACGATGCATACATCATGTTTTGGGGCTTAATTAAAGCACTTTTTAATATTGCTCATTAACGATAGGAGATCCCCCCCAAAAAAATCGTGGAGTCCTGTAGCTCAGTGGTTAGAGCACTCGCTTTGCAAGCGAGAGACCTGAGTTCAATTCCAGGCAGGGCGAAACCTTGGGCAAGTTTCCTTACTCCACACGCCTAATAATAATCCCTCCAAAACAAAAAACACTAATTAATTGGTCATATTCAATCTACGACTGTTTGTGGGACATTGCTGTGCGCAATTGGCTGCCGCGTTTGCCCACAAATATACAGTCAATTCACTTTACAGTGTGTTCTGTGAAGCGCTTTGGGACATCCTCCCGACGTGAAAAGCGCTATATCAAATGCAAGGATTATTATTATTATGACACTGCCAGTTGCAAGACCTTACCGATGAAGTATAAATCATGTCTTTACGTCAATCAGTTATTGCATAATTGACAGATACACTGACACACAAACAGACACACAGATAGGCACACAGATACAGACATTTTGTCTTTATTAGTAGAGATAATAAACCACATAATATTGTAGGTTTACAAATAGCTAATGTAAATCATTGCTGAGAAATTATATATTTTGTTTCCCCCAACATCTCTGCAAAGATTGACTGAAAATGTCATGCAATTCAAGGATATGAACATTCCTCTTTAATTAGCACTCATCTTCATGTACCTGTATCGTAGCTGTGTTTTCTTTTCTGCACAGTAGATGGTTAAAAAACAGTTGAACGTTCACAACATTTACAAAGTCAGAAGACACAAGCTTGTGATTTTGCAGGAATTCAGTAGTTTAATACATGCATCATGTTTTCAGCTGCAACTTCAATCTTAGGTGAATATCCTCAACAAAACAAGGATGATATTTTATTTTAATATATTGTTCGATTTCGATAGCCTCTCTGATGTGATCACTGAATTAGTTGGGAAGCATTGTATGTCTTTGCTGGTAACTGGGTTAAACCAGTCCAAAATCACATCACCAGGACCTCAAGCAGAAGCGTAAGGGGCATCAACATCTAAAATCTACCTTACACAACATAGTTGGTGATGACTAAATATAATCAATCTTCTGACTCAGAATTATTTTCACATCATTATCCCACCACCATAGGTTAAAATGCCAGTTTATTTTGTTAGTTTGTTTTTGTAACATCTATTTTTCAATCACATTCTGTTCCCCTGGCACCTTCAATCTTTCTCCAAATTCACTTAATAGGTCTGTTTAATAAAAATAAATGTGTGCACAATAGCCTTTCACCTGATCTCATTGATGTAAATTATTCTCTTCTTGCATTCTTTCTTAATTATCTTTTTGAATCATTTGTTTTATGTGTTTATTACCTTGGCTCAGTTGGTTGCACTCTTGCCTCGGAGTCAAAAGGTTCAAGCCTCACGTTTGGACTTAGAAACCATAAGCCTATGCAGTGCAGAAGATGTGTTGCATTATTGAATCTACTCTCCTTTGATTGAGGTGTTAAATTGAGGTCCTGTCTACCTTTTCAAGTGGGCGTTAAAGATCCCATGGCACTATTTGAAAAGAGAATGAAGTTTCTCTTGGGGTCCTGGCTGACAACAACAACTTGGATTTATATAGCGCCCTCCACGCCGGACGTTGTCTCAGAGCGCTTCACAGTAACGGATGCCGGGGCCGAGCCAGGGGAATGGGGAGGAAGGTGACCAAAGGCGCAGTCGAAGAGAAAGTTTTTCAGCAGGGACCTGAAAATAGGAAGAGAGGGAGTGAGGTGAAGGGAGTGAGGAAGGGAATTCCAGAGCCTTGGGACATAGTGGCTGAAGGCACGGCCGCCGAGGGTGGAGTGGAGGACTCGGGGGACAAGGAAGAGGCCAGACCCGGAGGATTGAAGGTGACGGGTACTGTTTTGAGGAGAGAGGAGGTCAGAGAGGTAGGGGGATGCAGAGGAGTGGAGGGATTTGAAGACAAGGGTGAGGATCTTGGTCGATCCTCTCTGGGACAGGCAGCCAGTGCAGTCTGGCAAGGACTGGGGTGATCGGGGAACAGAGTTTGGTGCGGGTGGGAATGCGGGATGTTTTTTAACTGATGTCACGCCGACGTCACTTTGTGAATCGCGCCCATCCCTCTCACTTACCCTCCCCGCGCTCTCCTGACTCCGCTCCTGTCTGAGTGGCTCCTCACCTGGCTGTGCTTTTTATACCCAACTAGGCCTCGGCTCCTGTAACAATCCCCCAGATAAAATTAGATCATTACTTTCATGGCTGTTCGTGGCACAAAACTGTGAGCAAATTGGCTGCCGTGTTTGCTCACAATATATACAATATATCCTGTGATGCGCTTTGAGACATTCTACCAATGTGAAAATAAGGATTAGTATTATTTATCCACATCTCTCAACGTATTACATTCATTTTCAGTTTCCTTTGAACGCCTACTTGATATATTTTAATTATTACTGTATTTTGTTTCTCAAAAGCAATAAGTCATTTAGCAAAATTTCCTACACTATCCCTTTCTCACTATTAATTTGGTGCTTTACCACTTGATTCTTCACAAGTTTCAAATAATTACATCAATTTCAGTTCACCATACAACATGGATCCTCCCAAATTATTAGAGCAGAAGTTGCAGCCACAAACTAACTATACTAACAACCACTAAATAAAGCATTCATAATTATTTTTAACACTACTAACAAATCCTGTAACAAGCAAGTTCAAATCATCAAGAAAAATTGTGTTTGTTGAAAATGCTCCTGGAATTTATTCAGAATTATTTTTTCCATTCAGAGGTTAGAAAACCATCCCATTCCCAGAAGCAGCATATTGATAAGTTGCTTGTAAATCACGTTTGAAAGTGGAGAATGTATACCATAGTAATTTTTTTTTACAAGTTACAGCAGAATCTATTAAGATAGTGAGCTTGGTAAAGCTTTGGTAAATGATAAATAACTCACTTCCCATTCGGCTCCTGTTAACCCTACAAGTCAAAGACCTAATAGATAGAATGATCCTAGCTGGACAAGAGACGGGAAGCTTGCTAGACAGTGTTTCAATGGCAAGCTATGTGATTTTAGATGAGTAAATTCCAGCACACGCTCTGGGGTCCTCAAGCAACCTGTGCCTTAATATTTTTTGAAGTTTTGGTCACTACCTCCCTGAGCCAAGAGACAGTAATTTGTGCACCTGCTGCCTTCCTTGGATGTGGTTCCCATTTCTCAGGCTCACTCTCTGGGATTGAACTCCGATTCCCCCATGGTGACCACGGTAGGCACAGAATGTACCATCAATAAGAGCATTACAGCTTTGTTATTGCTTAATCTCACGTGGCTTCACGGTCTCATGGTCCGAGAAGCCACAATCTGACGGTCGAATAGGAATGTCTTCAGGTGCAACTTGAAGATGGGGAAGGGGCAAGTCGAGGGATAGAGGAAGAGTATTCCAGAATTTGGGGGTGTAGTGGTTGAAGGCTTGGCCACTAATGGTAGAACGGAGGGCACGAGGAACATACAGAAGGATGGAGCCAGTCAAGCGGAGGCAGCGGGTTGTGGGTTACGCAGGTCAGAGAGGTAGGGCATGAAAGGTTTTAAAAACGAATGAGAGGCTATTGAAATCGACCCATTCGATGACAGGAGTCCCGTGGAGCCTGGCTAGAGCTGGTGTGATGGGGGGACGGAGTTTAGTATGGGCGAGCATGTGGGCAGTGGAAATTTGGACCAGTTGGATCCTGTGCACGGTGGAGCTGGGAAGACCAGTAAAGAGGGCATTTGAGAAGTCCAGTCAGGAGGTGAAGAACGCATGGACAAGTGTTTTGGCTGCATCCAGGGTAAGGTACGGTGGGAGTGGGGCAACAACAACAACAAGATTCCATTTATAGAGCGCCTTTCACGTCGGGAGGACGTCCCGAGGGGCAATGCAGCAGAGGTGGAGGAAGAGGTCAGGACCGGAGGTGGGAAAGGAAGGACGGCTGCGATTCGGACCTGACGCCTCGGTAACCCCACTCCTCCCTCTAAGGAGTTGACCGCCTTCCGCTCCGGGGGGGGGGGGGGGGGGGGGGGAGGCAATAACTGTTTAACATGGAGGAGTCCAGTTGGTTATCAGAATAACGATAAGGCAGCGATTCAGAATCGTGTGACTGACTGTTCAGCGGGAAGAGGATCACTGGAGCTCAGCCTCTGAAAGGGGAACTGGTTTGGGTTTCAGACGTGAGCAGCTGTGCCCCGACTCCCGGCAGCTGTGTGGGCAAACCCCCGCCCGCCCGGTCTGGTCTGGTCTGGTCTGCGGTGCCCAGAACACTTTAGGTTTCCACGTCAATAGCCGGAATATTATTGCTCCACTTGAGCCGATGCATCAAACCCCCCCCTCCCACCACCCCCCAGAGGCCACGCGGTTACGTTCGTGGCGATTAAAATAGCGCAAGAGCGGGAAAAAACTGGGGCGGGGCGGGGAGTAAAATAATCCCAATAATGTGACTAACCCAAAGCGGGAGGACCCTAAAGATGGCCGGGACCGGGGCGGTGAGTGAGAGCGATGAGCGAACTCCCCACAGCCCAGTGCAGTGCGGTGCGGTGCGGTGAGAGGGCAGCGAGCACTGCCCCCCCTCACCCCCTCACCCCACACCCCCCCCCCACACACACACACTCACTCACTCCGGCCGCTGGTGTTAGTGCAGTGACCCCCCCCCCTCCCGGGCAGTCGGCACAGTAACGTGGCGGCGGCCCCTTCCTCACCGCCATTGGGGTACACAGCAGCAGCTCCTCGGGCCCCCGCGGGGGCTTCCCCTCCGCTCCCGGTGCCGTGTCTCCGCTGCGCCGCCGCGGGCGCTGTGTGTCCGTCCCCCCCACCCCCGACGCCCCTTCAGTTCGTTCCCGTCTTCTTCGGCGAAAAAAAAAAGTAGAGCGCCCCATCGAGAGGCGTCGAGGATCCGCTGCTCACACAGTGCAATTGATCAGTGCGCTCCACTAACGGTTCGAGTTGCTCTCCCGCACCCCCTCCTCGTCTTGTCCGGAGATGATAATTCTTTTGCTGGGAAATGTTCCACCAGTGGCGTTAGTCCGCGGCACCCGCGCTAAATATTATTAATAATAATAATAGTAATAATAATAATAATAATCCTTGCATTTGATATAGCGCTTTTCACGTCAGCGCTTTGGGACGTCCTCAACGCGTTTCACTAAAGTGTTGAGGTGTGGGTTTAGACAGTGAGTGTGTGGAGGCGCTTGGGGTGGAGTTGGGGTTGGGGTGGAGTTGGGGTTGGGGTGGAGTTGGGTTGGGGTTGGGTTGGGGTGGAGTTGGGGTTGGGGTGGAGTTGGGGTGGGGTTGGGTTGGAGTTGGGGGTGGAGTTGGGGTTGGGTTGGGGTGGAATTGGGGTGGGGTTGGTTGGGTGGGTTGGGGGTGGAGTTGGGGTGGAGGTGGGGTTGGGGTGGGGTTGGGGTGGAGGTGGGGTTGGGTTGGAGTTGGGATCAGTCACAGCTGAGGATGTTGCTGTTCTCACCGCATGGCCACACGTTCACTTTATCAGCACAGGTCACTGGCTATAAAACACGAGCACTCTCGCTTGTTCCTCATCTGGTACCGTGAAACAGTATTTGAAGGCAGCCCAGATTTTTAACTTAACAACAACAACAACAACAACAACAAGATTCCATTTATAGAGCGCCTTTCACGTCAGGAGGACGTCCCAAGGCGCTGACAGTTGGGTCATGACCCGAGCAGGGGGGAAATGGTCAGGGTGAGGGGAGGGAAGGGAGGGAGAGAGGAGGGGGGAAATGGTCAGGGTGAGGGGAGGGAAGGGAGGGAGCGAGGAGGAGGAAGAGAGTCGAGAGGGGGGAGGGGTTAAAACTTAACTTTTTAATTAACCGCCGAAGACGCTGTAACGAAATGGCTTGGAGATTGGTGCCACGTTTCAGCTCATGTGATGTTTCACTTGGGACTTCGCCTTTTGGGACGTCCTCCCGACGTGAAAGGCGCTCTATAAATGGAATCTTGTTGTTGTTGTTTCAGTGCTTTCGTGTTGTTTGTGTTGTTTGTTTTTGTTGCGTGTTTTTCTATTTTAAAAAAAACACGCATTGGGAATGCTTGTTGTATACCAGATATTTGTCGTATGAACTTTCTCCATGGACCAAAGTTGTGGTAGTTAGGTTATTACTTTAGCAACCTGCATCAGAGCATGTTTTTTTTCTGTAGTTGTAAATTTATTTTTTCAAAATGAATGTTTACGCACTCCCATGTGATAAATATATCATAGTCAGTAATTATTGAAGATGTTTTACTTGTCTGAAAGACTATTGTGTCTTTCTAATTAAATAATAGCACTCCTTTCCCCCCCCCCCCCCCCCCCCCCCCCCCCCCCCCCCCAAACCATTGTGCCCTGTTTCTGATACTTGAGATCCTGGAGATATATGAATTTGTAAATCTATCATGTATAACCTGTGCAAGATAGGACTATGTTGGGTTCTGTTACAATTGGTATTTGACCACATAATCACATCACTACAATGTGTACAACTCTACACTCAACCCTATATCACTACAACTCAATTTGATAAGATTGATAAAATGACCCACGACTTTGAAATGGAATGCCTTTTCGTGTTCATGCCCAGTAATGCAATAGCATAGACAAATGCAGAAAAAACAAGCTCTAAACTGCTCCACTGATGTACCTTGACCTGAAAGACCACCCCATTTTTTTTGCTAAATCTAGGTGTACCTCGTAGTACGGGCAGTCTTCTCACAGATAGGTTTATATCGTTCTCCCCCCAACATGCATGAAATGTATTTTGTATACTTCTGAATGAGCAGGAGTATTTTATTTTTAAAATGTGTAACAAAATAACCTTTGAAGGGAATGTATGCAGTTGATACATTAATTGAAATTACACTTGGATCATAATTCAAACAAAAGTATCAGTGTTTGACAGACAGTAACTTGTTACCTAACTTCAGAGGAAATGTGATGCATATATGAGAAAGAATAGAGGGTTATGGTAAAGGGGATTAGTTGTTGTCACGTGGCTAATGTGGAATATAAACATGGGAAATGGACAATTTGGACTGAATGGCCTGTTTCGGGGCTGTAACAGTCCAGATAATTCTGTGTAAGCCAGGTACAATCAAAGCCAAATTGTGAGACATGACAGCTTTCTTTACAGTTGTCCCCAGCTTCCTCTATAATGCCACCGAACATGGAATAAAAGCATCTACTTTTGGTTATAACAACAATGTGTTTGAAATTGGGCTTAAAACAGAGATTGTATCTATGATTCCATACTGACCATCGATGTGCTGGATTGCAGGGAGTTAATATTTGGGAAATGGAAAAAGTGAAACACTTCAAAACTACTGCATACAGGTCTCTTGTGTTAGTTTGACATACTGCACACAATACTTATGTTTTCACAAGGACAAAAGAACATAGTCTAGGAATGTATTGTAGAATCTCTAATGTAGTGATATGAAATCAAATGTGAAGCCCAGTTCAGCAGATATCATTTTTACTGTGACAACTGCTTCTGTTTTAACAACATTTGGCAGATATTTACCTTGCTTGTAATTGCAATCACCTGACAAGTTTTCTTTTTATAAGTTCATCTAAATTTTGCGTGTTAAGTCGCAGCTTGCTAACCAATTGTTGACATGGGAACAGGACAACTCCCAATTTTATTGAAGCATTGTTCAGGAATAACAATTTGCAAAATCACATTAAGTCTTAACGTTTTGTCTTACATAGAAAATATGGTCACAACAACTTACATTTATATAGCGCCCCTTACGCAGAGCACTTGATAATGGCGGACACAAGTTGAAATCCTAATTGGCTTTTAAAGATGGGGAGAGAGAAGAAAAAACCTTTTGTTCACCCCAAAATGGTTTGATTATGTAAATGTTGGATCATGAATAATTAAAAAGGTATTACACTTAAATGCTTTTAAAGAACACTATAAACTGGAATGGTGACAGCCGGATGGTTTATTTGACGGTCCGAACTTCAAGATGTGTTACTGTTTAATCAACACAGAAAATCCTCATTTAAGACTATGGGAGTTAGAAACTTGTAACGGTAAACTGGGCATGAAAATGAATAAGAAAATGGGCAAATAAAAATGTTCCAGGAGGTTTAAGCAACCAGTTCAGTATAGTGGGATTCACATTACACTAATACAAGTGTTTGAGTGACACATGAAATGAAAAATATTGTTTCTAAAAATACTATGGAGTTGGTTCCTTTTGCATCGATACATTTAAACTTCGTGCCATACTAAAAATGACAGGCTAAATCAGGTGTGAAGGTTGTCATTAAATTGTATGTCGCGTTGTCTGGTTACTGTAACTTATGGTATCAGTTGCCTGTCACTGTTCCAATTTGAGTGTTTGCACTTTCTTCTAAATGAGAAATCCAATCAAAACCTCTAAAGGAGTGTTGACCACAACCCATGGGCCGGAAGTGTCCAGCATAACATTAGCACTATTCTAGGTGTGTCTGTTTTAAGTCAATAGTGTGTTTCCAAGTTTTTTTCTTGATAAATTAATGACATAAATCGAGAAATATTCAATCAAGAAAATGTATTTTGTTGGCCGACCATAAAGGTTGGTCACCACTGCTCTACAGAATTGTCAAGCTTTCATCACTAAGTTTCCTGTAACCCAGATAATTGAAGCCAAACAGACTAAGAATTCATACTCCTGCATTCTGGGAATAAAAAAAGTAACTAAATATATTGAAGAGGGAGCCACTAGAAAGGTGATGGATGAATGGTGATTATATTGGAAAATCGGTCATGTTAGCTGTTATGCTGGGAAAAATAATATTTTGTTGAAATAAAGAAGCATTTTCTGATATACTTGTTGACATTTTGGCTGCAATCTAAGCACAAGAATATTTAGATCCTGCAAGCACTGAAAATACGTTTCACTGACTTTATGTAGTTTGCATAGTATTTAACTATTGTTCATCAATAATACCTTCTCTTTTATACAAATGTCTTGACTGTTGTGGAGCATGAAGCAGTACACATTAACTTTTCTATCACTTGTCCCCATTTTAAATTGTAATTCATGGCTTTACCTCTATTTTTTGTCTTGCTTTCAGGCCTAATTGTAATGATTTTAAGTAAGCTTTATTTTATCTTTTCAGTTTCCAAAAATGGTGATCTTGCCACTGATCTTTATCCTTTTGAAGCTATGTAGAACTGAAGCTGCACGGAAAGGTGTAAGTGCAAGTTTAGATATGAAGTTGCCATCAATGCCTCTGTTACTGGAGACAAGGTAAGGTTGTTACTACATTCTGCATACATTATATTTTAGTTTTTATTGTATTCTACTAATAGCATACCTTTTTGTAGGTCTTCCTCATCGTTAACATTAATTTAACTTGCAGAGGACAAAGGTAACCTATACAGTAGCATGTGGTGGGGTACTGCAGAAATGCAATTATCTAAAACTGCGCAGCTTGCCATTGTGAGCATTGTCTGGCAAGCTTCCCACGGCTCGTCCAACTTGGACCACCCCACCCTTGGGGACTTCAGCTGGCAGAGTTAACAGGAGCTGAGTGGAAAGGATCACTTCTTGTGACTGATTTGCCCTTCCAAGTCATCAACAGTGCCTTGGAGTTTGATTGACATTGTTAATGAGAATGGGCTCAATTCAACATTTCATTGCCATGTGTGTCACCTTTCAGCCAATTCAGCCCCAAAGAGACTCTTTCCCCCCCCCACCCCCCCAACTTGCTAAGGACATTCATTGATTAATACTAAAAGGAATTTAGAAAATAGATGGAAGCTGTGTACGAGACCTGGTTGTGCTCTTTGGATTCAAAGATGGCAGAATTGATTCATAGAATTAGCATTCCAGTGATGATGACAAAAGGTTGAGGAAGTTTAGGTTATTCTCCTTGGAGAAGAATAACCCTTAATAGTCTCTTTACAGATAATCTAAAAAATCAAGCACGAAATCTTGATTGTCATGATAATCATGACAATCTGGAAGCCGATTCGATAACAATGTTTAAGAGAGAAGTCGATAATTATTTGGGGAGGACAAGTTTGCAGGACTATGGGGAGAGAGCGGGGTAATAGGAAGCTATTTTCAAAGAGCTGGCACAGACACGATGAGCCAAATGGCCTCCTTCTGTGCTGTATAATGCTATGATTAATAGCCTTACAACGGGGCACTGTTATAACTAAAAACTACCATGAGGGTAAGGTTTAGTTAACTTACAGAGTTGTAAGGAGGACAGGATTTCTGAAAGACCTTAGGTTAATGACAATCTCTTTCCTGATGCTAATTCACCTCCTTCATACTGTTGGAATTGGCTGGGAGGAATTACTGAGCCCAAGAGTGTCAAGGAACTGAATTAACATCAGTAAAGGTAGTCATTAACCTAAGGTCCTCCAGAAATCCTGTCCTCCTTAGCACTGTGTAACCTTAATACTGCATTTAGTATTAGAAGAAGATAGACTTGGGGGAATTCATGTACAGATCTAATGTATTTCTTCCTTCCAGCCTGTAAATGCAACTCTTTTTATGCTAGAGTTCCTTTACAAAGATGCCTCCAGTGGCGGCCCAGTATTTGATAGCCTCACTGTAAAGGAAATACAATGGAGTTAAGGCTCACCTAATATTTTGTTTTCCACTGCAGATCTAAGTTGGAAAGCAGCACCTCTGCAGTCCTGAGCCTCTGGTGTAATGGATTCTGTGCTTGATTCACTATGAGGCAGAATCCACAGTGCAACAGAGAGACCACTGCACATGTTAATTTTTTTCCCAAAATGTGAATTGCGATCATTTTCTAAATATGGATTTTTGTTGATTTTTGGGTAGAGTTCTTGTAGATCTGGAGTGTCAGGACAGGTTTGGCCTGTATGGGCAGCCAAATGGCTCAGCTCTTCACCTGGCTCCACTAGCAACTGTTGCAGGGACATTTCTGGACTCCTGTGACTTTCTCTAGAGACAGGATGAAGAATTCCTTTGGGGCACAATGATCAGCAGCAATCATGTCAAATACATCTATATGAAGAAATAATTCTAATTGGTCATAAAACTTATGAAGAAAATTAGAGCTACTTTTACAGTTGAAAAGGTTCGGCAGAATTAGTAAAGTTGATGTTAAACAGGGCACAAGAGCTCACTAGTACTTGTGGAAGTTTAGTTTCATCTCACACAAGAGGGATTTAAGCACATTTTGCAAGTATAAATATTGAGGCAGATGTCCTCAATATGTTATCCTAAATCATAAAAAAACTACTGTAGTTTGTATTATCAGCTCAGTGACTCGTGATAGAACTTGAGAAAAAATAAATGCATGTGAATACCCTGTCCTTGCTGTAAAGGGTCAGTGATACTTGCTACACTTGAATATACTTTATACACAGTAGAATCTGTGTCTTATGTGCTCTGATCTTGTTGAAGTTTAAATATATTTCTATTCAATATTTTACCGAGTCACAGAGGTAGAAAGGTAAATTAGCTTTTAATTTTCTTTAGAGCTACTCTACAGTAGTTATGGGGACTTAACTCCTTTGGGTTGCCGTTTGGAAACTGTATTTTGCAAAGTACAATATAACTGATTTGCCCTTCCCAGGAGAAGTTTATTGGTTTTGGATACATCTCCATTCCTTCTGCATCATTGTTAATACGTGAGAAACTGGCAGTGGTAAATGTACGTCTGAAATAAACCTAGAAATGTTAGAAATCAATGGAAAGTTGACAGGGATGTGAGAAAGATAATCTAATGTTTCAAATGTGATCAAAAGAATGAAGAGTTAATGCTCAATCATTGTCCTGTCTTTCTCATTTAGACTCTGATTGAGCTTTTTTCCAACACTTCATTTTGTTTGTTTTATCTTGTCAATTTCCACATATAGTTTTGCACCCTGTAATGGATTGCAGGATTGGTATATCTGATAAAACCATAATGGATACATGGTAATAGATAGAAGGTCACATTCTCGACTTATTAATATTTAGATCACAAGTTTCTTGACATTTTTGAGACAGAGCTGATATCCAAGCGGAAATTTATGTATGTGTTTATACAAATGAGCTGCTAACATTGTAAATCATTGTGGGAAAGGGATAGATATCAAAGAGCAAAAGCTACCAAGGAGGGAAGAAATACATTTATAGATAATGAGAGTTTCAATCATTTTTACTATCTGTAAATATGTATAAATTATTTTCTTGCATTGTTGCAATAACTCGCTGTGAGTTCTGCAAACTAATTATTGCTGCAAAAAGAAGAGCCAAACTTTCCTGGAAGAATCCAGGAAGAATCCCTCACAGCAAGAGCAAGTCAAACTTGAGTGAAGTCCTGGATGAGAGCTAACTTTCTTCAGTTGAACGTCAACAAGACCGAGGCTCTCCTGATTGGCTCCGGTCAGCGCCTCCTCACCTCAGGCGCTGACAGCATCACCATCCGTGGTTGCACACTCCACCTTGCTAAGCCAGTCCAGAACCTTGGCATCTTGTTTGATCTTCAACTATCCTTTCTACCCCATATCTGTGCCATGACCCGCTCTGCCTTCCCCCACCTCCGCAACGTCACCCGGCTCCGACACTGTCTCATACCACAGGCTGCCAATACCCGCATACATGCCGTCATTACATTGAGGCTCGACTATACAAACTCACTGCTTGTCGGTCTCCCCAGCTTCTCGCTCCCCAGGCTGCAGATCATCCAGAGCTCTGCAGCTTGTGTCCTCTCCCGCACTAGGCTCCGCGACCCTATCAACCCCATCCTCGCCCGACTCCACTGGCTACCCATCACACAGAGGATACAGTTCGAGTTTTTTTTGTTTGAAAAAGACAAATTTTAATTTAAATTTTAATTGCAAACAACTTTTGGGATACTATAGTAATCTGAAATGCATCCAAAAATCACAGCAGCAATGCCTTTGCTCAGTTTATTAAAAATGTTTCAGAAACAATTTTCAGCTTTGAACATTTCACATGTATTAATTGGATTCAAACATTGCTCAAGGATATTCATTTAAATGTAGCTTTATTTTTTTGTTTCCGTTTATAGCATTGTATGAATTTCAATACAACTGATCCTCTGGCTTTTCTTTTTCCAGTGAGTTTATGGCAGACGAAAGTGATGAAAAATTCTGGCAATTTCTTGACACAGTCAAGGAAATAACATCGTACCTTCATGGGGGTAAGAATCTCCAGGTGGTGGTGAAGGTGGGGGGGTGTGGGGCTAGGAGATGGTGATGGCAGAGTCTAGGAATTGGTGGTTGAGGGAGGGTCTATGTGATGATGAGGGGTGTCTAGAAATTGCGAGGGGAGGGGGGCGGGGTGGAAGTCAAGACTAGGAGATGATTGGCGGGTACAGGAGAGGCTTAGCCTTAAAACCATTATCTTAATATTTAAAATTGTGCAGAATTTTGAAAGGAATATTAAGTTTAGTGTTAATTTTAAATCTGTTTTTCCCCACCCCTCCGAAATTGACTTCCAAATTACAAAATAAGAGTAAGATTTTTTTTGTGATCTTAAATGGTCAGGAGATTATGACCATGAGAATTTGTAGATCTTGTAATCTGTGCAAAATGTTAAGGATTTTTTTTGAAAAGGTCTAGAAAAATGAGTGGATTTAGGGGGAAGAAAACTATTACATATATTTCACATTTGAAAGGCTTAATGCTTGTTCTTATTGTTGAAAATCAAATGTTGCGCTTGCATTTTAATAACCTATGTACCAGGTGCATTAATGGATTAGTTGTATGGACATGTGGTTTACGTCTGTTTGAAACTGCTGTGTTATTACTTGTGGAACATCAATTAGAACAAATGATGCAAAGACTGTCTGGAGATAAGCAGCATCAAAAGATCTGAGACCCTTTCTATTAATCTCAGTGCACTCAGTCTCCTCCATGGTTCGTCATAGCTATGTACGCAAACCTAAACCCAATTCCCTTACATCCCCATGCTATGACCACATCCCAAGCAATCCCTTGAACTCAAGCCCCAATACGTGTACGCAGTGATGTCAAGTAATCTTATCTTTTAATAGGCAGATTTCTGTCAATTTGTGTATATCGCCGCATATGCTGTGTAATGGGTAACTCAATATGAAAACTTTGTAATAATAATAATCCTTGCATTTGATATAGCGCTTTTCACGTCTTCCAGACGTTTCAAAGTGCTTCACAGCATATACGCTAAAGTAAATTGACTGTATATTTGTGGGCGAAATGCGGCAGCCAATTGCGCACAGCAGTGTCCCACAGCTCCAAGCGAGAGACCTGGGTTCGATTCCAGGCAGGGCGAAACCTTGGGCAAGTTTCCTTACTCCACACGCCTGATAATAACCCCTCAAGAAAAAAACCCAATAATAATTTGGTCACTTCAATCCACGGCTGTTTGTGGGACATTGCTGTGCGCAATTGGCTGCTGCGTTTTGCCCACAAATATACAGTCAATTCACTTTACAGTATATTCTGTGAAGCGCTTTGAGATGTCCAGAAGATGTGAAAAGCGCTATATCAAATGCAAGGATTACTATTATTATTAAACAGTCGTGGATTAAATACGACCAATTTATTATTGTTTTGTTTTGGAGGGATTATTATCAGGCGTGTGGAGTAAGGAAATTTGCCCAAGGTTTCGCCCTACCTGGAATTGAACCCAGGTGTCTCGCTTGCAAGGCGAGTGCTCTAACCACTGAGCTACAGGAGTCCATGAATATAATACCAAAAGCTGGGAAATAGTGTAAACTTTGCTATTCTCAATAATAAAAATCTTAAATATAAAATCGGGACTCAAATATCTTATGACAGAAGTGTTACTGGCAGAATTTAATATTTTTAGTATAAATCAAAATAATCCTGTACATTCCTTTAATTTGCAGATTCTGAACGCAATTATTATAACTTGATTTTAAAGAAAGCTGGACAGTTTTTGTCAGAACTGCAGCTTAACCTGTTGAAGTTTGCTCTCTCCCTCAGAGCATATTCCCCAACTGTTCAGATGTTTCAACAGGTATGTAGCAATCTTCCTGGAATTACAAATAATTGAAGGAAGCTGCATTGTTAAAGATACACAAAATAAAAATAAGCTTTTGTTTGTTTAAAAAAAATCGGTTTACAATTCAAAAATACAGTAGTAAAACATGAACTACGAGTGAAGTACATTTAAATGTTTATTTTTCTCCACCCCGTTGACTGCACCCCCCCACAGTTGTTTTAAGATAGATTCTAGTAAAATGCAACCTGTGGTTATTCACAGTTCCCCAGTTTATTAAGTAACCCGAAGAGACCATGAAATTGCAAATTGTATATGATATATTGTGTGTGAATGGGGTTTTCTTATCAAACCCGTATTGAATCTGGATAACGACATCTGGCTTAGATTGCAGCTGATGAACCACCACCTGAAGGTTGTGCCAGTTTTGTTGCTATACACGGGGAACACACTTGCAGTACCGGTGACGTCAAGAAACTCCTCAAAAAAGCAGCTGATAGGTATTTTGATGGGGTTTTCCATTACGTGATTAAATATGGCATATGCTGTTGAATATGGATGAATTTTATGTCCTCTTAGTTTTCTTTGCCTTAAATTACAGAATTGTATTTGTTAACACTGGGAAAGAATATATACACTTGAAGCCAATTCCTTGCAAAATAAAATAGAAATTATGAGGTTTCTGTCACTTGTGAGGACGCTGAATTGCTGGTTTATCTGTCAACATTGTTTTTTTTAAAGCAAAAAAATGCTGTTTTTTTTTCCTTCAAAATTCTTGTCATCTGATGAACGTGAAAAGCACATCAAAACCAAAACATCGGCTATTCAAACTTACTTAATTCAATACTGCGTTACACTAATCTTCTGCTCCTCATTACCATAGCAACACACATCAAACAGCATCTGCTCTAAGACAATATCTTAACAATGCAACTGTGTACCCCTGTGGATTCAGCAATCTTCCACAGTACTGATTGGAAAGCCTAAAATATTTTTTTACAATTTTCCACATTTTAACAACCTATTTTGCTTAATGTGCAGTGGAAACAACTTTATATAGTTAACTGAAAGCTAAATCACCATATACACAGTCATATAAAGCTTGCTTTCCCGCTGAGTTGCATTGTCTGCATAATATTTGTTAGGTTGACTTGAGTAAGTAAAACCCATCACTATCGACTGGCACGTTTTGTGCTTAAATGCATTTCATTAATTTAAAAATATAAGCAACTGATACCAGCTTTATTGTAAAAAGTAATGACTATAAAGATGTAGCCAGCATGCAACCTTAAATTGTAAATTTTGTCCATCTGTCACCAAGGCTCTCTCTGCTTCCTTGTCCTCCTTAACTGTGTGCTGCCTTCAACACTGGTGAGCCTTCTATCCTCCTCCACTCCCTCTCCTCTCAGCTCAACCTTCATGGACCTGCATTTGCCAGGTTCAAATCCTACCTCTCCCACCATCTCCAATTTGTCTCCACTTACGCTTCTCCTCTAGCCCCTGCACTGAAACGAGTGGCATATCTCAGGGTTCTGTCCTTAGTTCCGTCCTTTTCAACATCTACATGCTCCGTATTGGTGACGTCATCCGTAGACATGGGGTTAACTTCCACATGTATGCGGATGACAACCAACTCTATCTCTCTGCCTCCACGCTCAACTCCAGGACCACTGCTGTCCTAACAGAACATCTGTCAGACATCAAGTCCTGGATGAGAGCTAACTTTCTCCAGTTGAATGACAATAAGATCGAAACCCTCCTGCTTGGCTCCCGTCAGCACTCAGGCGCTGACAGCATTACCCTTTATGGATGCACTCTACAACTCATGGAACCAATACGGAACCTCGAACTTCCTGTTCGACCCTCAACTGTCGTTTATCCCCCACATCCATACCTTTCCCCACCTCTGTAACATTGCCCGGCTCCACCACTGTCTCTCACCACAGGCCGCCGAGACCCTCATCCAAGTGTTCGGCCTCCCCAACTCCTTCCTCCACAGGCTGCAAATTATCCAGAACTCTGCAGCCCGTGTGCTCTCCCGCACCAGGCTCCGTGACCCTATCAGTCCCCAGCTAGTGCCACCTTCCCTAGCGTTCCATCACTCACAGGATCCAGTTCAAGATCCTGCCTCACCTTCAAAGCCTCCATGGCATTTCTCCCACCTACATCTGTGACCTCCGAACCTCTTGCCAACCTGCCTGCTCCCTCCACTCAGGGAGCTCTGGCCTGTTTCACATCCCCCAACTTACTTTTCCCACCAATGGCGGGCAGGCCTTCTGCCTCTGCCCCACCCTCTGTAACTCTATCCCACAGTTCCTCCCCCTCGCCCTATCCCTTCCCTCCTTCAAGACCCGGCTTCGGTCACCCTCCTACCCTATCCTCCTTGCCCTCCACCCCACCTGATCCCAACCACCAGCTCGGGTGCGGATTCCTGACTGTCCTGTACCTTGTGACGTAAAAGGAGCTATACAAATGTAATTTGTTGTTGTAAATGAGGTTGATTCATTCTTGTTCTTATGAGATATTATTTTAATTTACATGAGACTTTATTGCTGACTTTGCTTCCAGTGATAAGCAGTCCACAAATAAATCTTGTTGGATACTTTTTTTTCTTAGTCTATCAGAACAATTCTTTCCCAGAACTATTCTGAGACTGAGAATTTCTTAACATAATCTTGCAAAGTACAAACATTCCGATTACATGTGTATTTCATGTTAATCAGTTTATTGTGCTTTCCTGTTTTCAGCAGAAAGTTGTTGAATACAATAATAACTAAGCAATTAAACTGTATATATTGAAACAGGTTGCATTGCCTTGATCCCAATCAATATCTTATGCATACTGAAGACATTTAATTCTAGTTTCCACATGGATCTCCTCCATTTATTGCAATAACATATGCAAAGATGGATTCACTCTATATTTAATAATACTCATCTCACTTATCAGCATATATTGCAGACATCCAAGAAATGTCACGATTATGCATTGGTGTACTGCAGGAGTTCAACCAGCTAATATTTGCATAGTTTGCCATTGAGAGGACTGTTTGGCAAACTTCCCACTGCTGGTCAGCTAGGACCAACCTACCAATTAAGATTTAGACTTGCAGGGTTAATTGCAACTTTATGATGTGCCAGAATTAAAAAGGAATGAAGGAGTGCAGCAAACGTTAGTATACATCAGCAGGTAGCAAAGTGCGAACTGAATATAATAGCAGTCCTACAAACAATGATTTTGTTTCTCATTGTCCATGTTCACTGATTGCTTGCATGTTTCAGAGTTGGTGGCTTTCTGAAAGAAATTATAATAATGCAATAATTGTTTACCAATATTTAATAATGAATAGCTGCATGATGTGTAACTGTTTCATTACTATTGCATTTATATTATAGTTTAAGTTTAGAGAAGATAATTAAAATTTAACATTAAACTCTACTGTTTCCAGGCCCAAGCCATATTTGTTTAAAGGGGACCATATGTTTTCAGCCATTAATCCAAATGCACCAGTTGTCGTCTTGTATGCGGAAATTGGCACAAAAGAATTTTCCAAATTCCACAAAATCCTGACCAAGAAAGCGGTTAAAGGGGAAGTTGCTTATATTCTGCGGCATTACGTACAGGTATGTCTTGAATGTATTATGCATGATTGCTTTAAATGCAAAATCACTTTGCTTTTCTTAATACCAATTATTAGGTTTGCTCCAAACAAAGTTGGAATTGTAATTGTTCAAAATTTGGGGGGGTCCTGCATGGCTGACTGGATAAATGCAGCTTTAGTTGTGGTAAAGAATCATACACATATTTACATTTATATACAGTACTGAGCTTTGTGGGAAAGAATGACTTGAAGTGCTTGACAAATATACTGATGCATACATTGAGCAGGGAATTGCGTGATTTAAATATTCCGAACAAAAACGCAGCAAAATGAAAGTATTTCTTGGAAGATTTTGAAAGCGTTTTTTGAAATGAGTTTCAGGTGATAGGGAGGATTGAATGCAAAAGAAGGTATCAAATTCTTGATTTGTGCTGAGTTAGCTGATCTCAAGTGAGGGGAGAGGAGGAGGAGGTTAGGGATAATTTTAATGAATCTCCTGCCCCCATCCGCAGGTTCCTGAAGGAAAATCAGCCATGGTTCTGTTTCAGTTCACTATCCAGCAACCCTCTGTTATCTTTTATAACATAAGATATAGTAATTAAATCGAGTCTTTTAAGCTTTTGAGGACTGAAGAGATTTAAGAGCTTTCTGCAAAACAAGCAGTTTCCATCATCTGATTTTCTTTTCTCTAACCTCTCATTTGAAAGATGGCACCTCTAACAATTCAGTACTGCCTTGGTAAAGTGAGTCAGCTGAGACCATAACCTCCAGTTCCAACGGGCAGCTTGAGCCCATAAGTTTCAGAGGCAAGGGTGGTACTGACACAACTCAAACTGCCACTATTTTATAACCGATAACATTTGTAATGTGGAGCACCTGACCCTGAACCACTATCCAGTGACCTGTGCTGGAAAGTGCACACAAATAGATCAAGGACTTCGCTGCTGACATTGGTGTCTAATGTCAATTGTTAATTTTCTTCCTCTAGACACTTGTTTATATGCTGACAGAGGAATTTTATTGAAGTGGTTTTAAATAATTGTTTAAAAGCTTCTATGCTTAGCTCCCTGAAGTTCAGTTTGTAAATTGATACCCAGTATACAAACTGAGTTAGTTGCTGATCACAGTTGGGGAAATTGGAAGGGCAGAGGAGAGAGAGGTGGAGGCTATTGGTTGATCTCAGTGTACTTGGGTTATGAAAGGGAAATGTTAGTCAGCCCCCAGGCTCTGGAACTCCATCCCCCAGTGCCTTCGCCTTGCTTCCTCCCTTTCCTTCTTCAAGGCCGGTCTCAAAACCTTTCTCTTTGACCGTGCCTTCAGCTCCCCTCTCGACTCTTTTCCCCCTCCTCGCTCCCTCCCTTCCCTCCCCTCACCCTGACCATTTCCCCCCTCCTTGCTTCCTCCCTCCCCTCACCCTGACCATTTCCCCCTTGCTCGGGTCATGACCCAACTGTGCAGCGCCTTGGGACGTCCTCCTGACGTGAAAGGCGCTTTATAAATGGAATCTTGTTGTTGTCTTGTTGTTGTTGTAGTCAGGGTTTCTGCTCGCTACACATATATGTTGTCAAATGGGAACTGAAACTAGCTTATCCTAATAAGAGTCAGTACCTTCAGGAAGGCAAGGTAAACATACACAAAACATACAGTCAAATCTGTGAAGCGCTTTGAGACATCTAGAAGATGTAATAAGGCACTATATCAAATACAAGGATTATTATTAAAGCAAGGTAATTGAATTTAAATCAAAAGAATGTACGCATTTCACAAACTCAGTCCTGCTATTCGACTGCGTTGTTTGTGGCCTTGTTGTGGTTTCAAATAGGATTTTTAAAAATATTTTTTGGTGTGTCTCACACTGAACACTTCTGTCTTCTCTTTCTCACTCTTCCGTTTTCTCACTCTTCCTTTCTGAGAGTTTATATGTGTGTGTGCCTTTCTCTCTTTTCTGAGTTGCTCTTTGTTTCTTTCTGAGTCTGTCTAACTTTCTTTTCCCTTTCTCTATGACTTCTATTATTAGTAGTATTATTATGTCTTTACCTCTGACCTTAAATTGTACACTATAAAATATAAAGACTTACTTTTGCTACTGGCAAATCCTGTTGGTGCACATGCATGAAGTTCCTAATATCACGTGACTGGCTCAGAGTGTCGCTAGCAATCTCGCGCTGTTGGCCCACGGCTACCTTCCACATTGGAGTCCTATGATGATAACCAGAGAGACAGATACATGGCTGGTTCATAAAAGGCTTCCAACCAAAGTATTTGTAGCATAAAGCAACTTCATGCCATTCTCTGACTCATTATTTTCCTTATTGTGAAAACCTTTATGTGAACACTGAATGCTGAGGTGTTTTAACAGTGGTCTGCAAATGGCTATAGTTAAGTGGAAGAGACTGATGAATAAATAAGATATCAATGTCCAATTGACATCTGTTACTCAGGAGTGAAACCACCAGGATTGTTTTGTTTCAGTTATTTTCTGTTTATATTAGTGTGGAATTATTTTTATATTTTTGAAAAATGGTATTGGTCTGTTGGAAAATGAAACTTTTAGTTCTGCATTGTATTTCTGTTACCATGGTAACCTCTTGGGTGATGGGTAGAAATTTTATTTTTATAGCAGGTGAATATATTCAGAAAAGTGTAAAAATGGCTGGCCTAAGAAGTTATTTTGTCATGTTCCAAGAAGGGTTTATATTATCTTATTTAGTACTTATGGCCTCATTCCCATTTCATCTTTGCATAATAATAATCCTTGCATTCGGTAGAGCGCCTTTAATGTCATAAGGCAGTCCCCAAAGCAATTCACAGGTTATACTGTAAAGTGCAGTAAATTAGGTTTTTAGCTGGGATATAAAGACCGACAAAGAGGGGACTAGAGGGAGTTCTGGAGGTTAGCTGTTGAAAGCTTGGCCACTGACAGTGACTTGGCAGGCCAAAGCCCTAGTTGGCTGTATAGTTGGGGGCGAACTAAAGAGTGGAATAGGGGAAAACTACAGAGATAGGGAGGTGCTAGGGTGTAGATTTATAGGTGACCCATTCCCCTCCCTCCTCATGTTTCTTTTAATTTGCTTTGTTCCCCCCACCCCCAATATCCAACTGGAAGACAGATTGAAATTACAGCGTAATGGGAGAATCTCTGCGTTATGATTGTTGGGCTTGAGCACTGGGGCTCTCGGCTCAGCTTTCGTTCAAAGTAATTCATTTTTTATGGTTAAACAGTTATATGAAAAACCTGGGACTGTCAAATATATTTTAAAGCCAATTTTTAAAAAACTCTTGAAAGATTGTTTGTTTGATATTTTTCTGAAAAAAGCGGCTTTGGTAGTACGACTACTAGTATGATTAGTGGGTGAGGAATTCTATCATCACCTTCCCAGGACTATTGTTTTCAATGTGAGTAATGTAGCTAAACAGACAGCAGTTATATATTCCTATCTACATGCAGACAGACTGTGCCACCAGCAACCTGTGAAACTTCAATGGAAGTAACTAACTTATTCAATGTTGTTTCTTTAGTTGGAACCTGCACTGCTGTTTGCTATTTAGCCTGATGCTCTCTCATTAGGTTATTCAGTAGCTTTGGAAAAGAAGGTCATGCTTTTATCCCAGAATTTACTTTATTCTCTGAAATGCCAGTCCGGTTGCTTTTAGAGACGGATCTATATTTCCTGGATATCTTCACCATGAAATTGCACTGAGATCCTGTTACCTGTCTCTTGTGTGTTGTATGAAGCACCACTTCAAAACTGTCACCTGAAAATGAAGAGGAGCTTTATCTGTAGCATCCAATTGGTTGACATTTAAATATTTCAATGTTAGGTTCTCTCTTTGCAGGGATAAAATCCTGATTTTTAGTGATGCATTTTGGAACTGGTTGCCCTTATACAATAAAATGCCACTTTTGAAAATACAAAACGTTGTATGAGATAAACAGTCATTTTATTAAACCAGCTTTCTCTCATCAGAATGTCTAATTTCTTTCCATAAAAAAATAGTTTTAGTTACTGATGTGTCCACAGCTAAGTCTCCATATATCCTACGTTATTATCTCAGTAGTTTTTAAAAAATACCTTATTGCATTTTGTCATTCATAATCTGTAACTTGCCTGTTGCCATACCCTGACCTGCACTCTCGTGTCTGTACTTCTTGTGGAGTTAACAACATGTGCACTGAAATGGCTCTCGGAGGCTGGAGAAGATTTAACCACTGAGTCTACTGAAAGTTAGCAAACAGGCAATTAAGCAATAATAAAATGGATAGAATAAAACCCTTCCAGTCACCTTCACCCTGGCAGTAGAATTCTGAGGGAATGTTTCAGTGCCTGATAGCAAGGGAGAACATATTTTATCATGTAAGTGAAAATCTTAAATCAAAGCCTCTATTTGCAATGTCATTTGTGTTTGTAATTTTTCAGCATATTTAGACTAATTTCCATTCACATTGATGAAGGGCTTTAAATGTTCATTCTTTCTATCTGGCTTACTTTAAAGATGCCTTGATCTGAACAATGCAGGCTGGATCAAAGTATGGTAATTACAGGATGTGTTTCGGTAAAACCTGCTTATCTTGGTAATTAAAGAATGAGTTCAGTATCTCAACAGTTGAATGCAAACTCTTCTCTTGGAAATCAGCTTTGGAGACCATAGCATTTAGATATACAGGGCACTTTTATACATGTTTAGATAACCAGTATTATAGATTGCATGGTTTCACTCTTCTCATTTTCACAGAAATGAGACATTTTTAGGTTTGTTTTGATGTACTATTTTATTGTTTCATTTTCTTCCATTTGGTCTAATACCCGATTTACTCTAACTCTCCATGCTTTCAAAATCTCCTCAAAGCATATGAACTTGGCCATTCCTTTGAGCATCTCTGTATAATCTCTTCCGACTTCCTTGATGCTCATTCCTCTCATTGTTGCAATGTTAAACAGCTTATGATTTTGTTATGTGAATCCTGAATACTTCGATACCAGTTGTTTTGTATGATGTATCCTGAATAATTATGGTGGAACATGACTGCTATTCATGCAGAATTGTATTCTGCTATGGTATTTGTGCTAGCATAATACAAACTGCGTTTGTGTTGTGTGGCATTGTGTAAAATTAACACCTCCTGTTATAACTTCAGCTTTAGGCAGATAACTAGATAACTTCTCAGTCTAAAGTACTTAACAATAAATTTGTAGCCATTTCTGCCAAGTATGTTACTGTGCACCAGAGGTTGGCAATTGCTAGGGAGCAAAGCAACAACAACAAATTACATTTGTGTAATGCCTTTCACATCAGTAGGATGTGCCAAGGTGCTGGACAGTTGGGATCAGGAGGGGTGTAGGGTGGTGATGGTAGGGGTAGGAGGGTGACTAAAGGTATGGTAAAAGAGGAGGGCCTTGGGACGGGTTTTGAAGGAGGCAAGGGAGGGGGCGAGGTGGAGGACTGTGGGATGGAGTTACAGAGGGTGGGGCAGAGAGGCTGAAAGCCCACCCGCCAATGTTTGGGCGAGGGATAGAGCAGGCCGGAGCCCGCTGAGCGCAGGGAACGGACAGGTTGGTAGGGGGTTAGGAGGTCAAAGAGGTAGAGAGGAGTAAGGCAGTGGAGGGCTTTGAAGATGAGGACTAACAGATAAGTAGAAGCATGCAAGAGACACTTTGGAGCTACTTGGAATAGACTTGTAGGCTTGTTTAGAGAAATTGTTTATAAATTTTATTTATAAATTTATAAATTGTTTATAAATTTTAGTTTGCTGAATTCCTGCAACATGTTGCTTTATCAAAGGCTTTCAGTTAGAGCCTTTGGGATTGGTTTTGAAAAGAGCGTCTACCATCTCACTTACATAGATAATGTTTAATATGTTCTATATTCCTGCCTTCTCTATCTTTCCCCTCCTCCCCAGAGCAACAGTCGGCTGGAAAGCCACTGTGACTGTAGTGAAACACAACTGTACCATTTAATATCAACAACAACTTGCACTTATATAGCGCCCTCCACGCTGGGTAGTGTCACAGAATGATTAACAGTGGCGGAGCCTGACTCAGAGCCGGGAGGGGGGGTGGCTCCCAGTCTTTATCCCTTCTTTAGCTCCCTCCCCTTGCGACTCAGGCTCCCAGTCAATTATGTGAAATGTTTTGAGATGTCCTCCTGATGTGAAAGGCGCTATTTAACATAAATTGTTGATGGCTCATTACATGTTCTCAGAGCTGTTGCAGACTCATTGGCCTTGAATGCATTATAAAATACTGATTCTACTGTAAAATAATTATTTTAGTGCTGTAGCATGCAAAAAAAGTACAGAAAACTTGCTGTGTATCATACTCAATGCCATCTGCTCATAAATTTAAAAGCAGTTAGGTTGTTGGATAAATGCCTTTTATTTTATTACAATCCTAAATTATACCCTGTTAGTTGCATCCTGAAACACAGAATATCATTTTAGCATTAAAATAATTTTATTTATCCTGATCATAGTCGAATGCAATTTCTTGTTGCAATAAAATACTTGTGTTCCTAATAAGTCCTATGTTTTGTTGCATTGTTAAATCTATGCAGATCCCCAAGTTCTTTGTTTCTGTTGATCTGTAAATCAGAGTCTCTAAACATTTTGCAAAGCGATGGTAAATATTTCAAAAAAGATCATTAGAAATTCTGGCCAAATTGTAAAAGTGGAGAGCAGAGTTTTGTGTTGTAATATAGCAAATATTACTTTTGAGGCCTTGAGTAATAGAAATTAATTCATGCAAAGTCAACTGAGTAAACATTTTTTAACGATCATCTTACTTTGTGATAGTTATTTTCCATTATCACTACAGTGTATAGTAAAACTCACATAAGTCATATTGCTTAAGACCATGACATTTAATGTGGCTTACACGAAGTCCGAGTTGCAGGCAAACTTGTCCTAATCATGTATAATCTGATTTAATCAATAATGTACTCTGCGCATGTGTAATTCAATGCAGCCGGTAAGTGAGCATGTGGTGACAGATCGTGACTACAGTTCCTGCAAATCAATGCGTCTTGACCTATCGCCGTACGTGCACTTACTGGCTATAGAGATGTACTGCCACATGCGCAGGATGTGTTATTGATTGAATCAGATTTTATACGATTTATACAAGTTTGCCTGCAAATCGGACTTGGCCCGGATGTGCATGTACTGGCAAGCATTGGACTCGTATTAAATTGCAGGTAATGAAGTTCTTCTGTGCATGCGTCGACAAATCAAAACTACGTTTCCTGCAATTCAATGCAGCTGGCTGGCAAGTGCACATAACAGGTCAGGACATCATTTCCAGTGATACAATGCAGCCAGTAAGTGCGAGAGTGATAGAGGAGCAGCATCACAAGTTAGGAGATGATAAATATGACTAGAGCAAAGAAATCTAAGTGGTTTTGATAGGGAACTGAATGAGACTTGGGTGGATGTTTGACTTAGGTGATTATACGATTTATAAAGAAGACTTATACAAGTTTTACTGTTTTTCTATTTACCTTCAAACCTGTTCAGGGCAACAATGAAGAGTTTGAAATTTAAGTTTCAATCTTGCCTGTGCTGTTCATGCTCCCCCATTGGACTGGTTCAATTTCACTTTTTTCACTTCACTCTTTTCTCCTTATTTTACGGCTCTGAGACCAAGTGTAGTGTGCCAACTGTTCTCCCAGCTGTGTTTCGCTAACAGCAGAAATCGAGATTAAAACTTGTATGGTTCAGTAACATACGAGTGGTGAAAGTATATTTTCACTGCTGGAACTATTTCACTGTCATCTACAGGGGTCTAATACATGTTTGCACTATGACATATAAGCAATATCATAGACAAAATAAAAACAGAGAGAGCTGGGAAAACTCAGCAGGTCAGGCAGCATCTGTGGAGAAAGGAAAGTGAGTCAGCGTTTCGGGTCCACGACCCTTCATCAGAATCTGCAGTATTTTGTGTTTTGTTCGTAGAAAAAATAACCTATTTCCATTCGCAGGCACATTTATTAATAGTGACCTATTTTCACACTGTATGTACTTCGATTTACAACTTGTAATTCTGATTTAAGTAACCTAAATGGGATGAGCATATCTGGGACTTATTATTGGTAACCTGTATATTCTTGGCAGAGTGACACCACAAATCCAATATGATGTCATGTTCTTAACAGAAACCAAGCTCGGAGAAAGTGCGTCTTTCTGGATATGGTGTTGAACTTGCTATTAAAAGCACGGAATACAAAGCGGTGGATGACACGCGGCTGGAAGGTATGACTTGCCAAGCGCTCTGAGACACTACCCTGCGTGTGGGGCGCTACTTAATTACAAGTTGTTGTTGCTGTACTTTATCTACAGTGATTTCATTTAAAACAATGATTTAATAGAAGGAAATATTTCAATTGACAATTTTTCTTCCATAGCCTTTCTTTGGGACACATGTCATGCAATCTTTTACTACCATGTAGTCTTGTATAGCAGAAATGAACTGTCTATTAATGTATGTATAAAATTACGTTCATGCTTTTTTTTGTCAATTATCCAACCTTTACTGCCAAATGACCTTGCCCCATGGTGTTTTGTAGAAATAAACAAACTTCATGTTTGTTTATTTCTACAAAATAAATGTTTAACATTACTTTCCTACAACAAAGTTGTGACAATGTCAGCTTCATGGTGTGGTGGGTTAGGTGGCATATATTAACTGTAGCAGTGCCTTTGATTCTAATGGCACTGTGTTTGAAAGTTTGTAGACATGTACACAAGTTATAGTTGTTGGCATATTAATTTCAGTATCTATATTCGTTGCTGCTGACAGACTGGGAAGATCTTGCACAATTTATAGTTTTTCTTGGCAATTGTTTTTGGTGGCTCTTCACCAGATGATAGATTACTTTGGTTTATTCTACAATAATTAGTGATTGTGTCTCCGGGGGGAGCCAGTAGAGAAGTGGAAAGGAACAAAGCAGCAAATGCAAAATGTAACACCGAAAGAACCCTTTTAATTAATATTAAAATTATGAGGATAGTCAGGGACAGAATTAAAAGCCTAAGAGTCTATCATTTTGTGCAGCCAATATAACGTGGAAGACAAAGGATCAATAGATACATACAATGGATCCTGGTTGGCATACATGACGTGTATCTATTGATCCATTGTTTACCCACTCAAGGACAGGGCCTTGAAGGTTGAAGGACAAGCGGTGGAGGAGGATAGAGTGGTCGACCGTATCGAATGCGGCCGATAGGAAGAGGAGGCAGAGGGAGCCCTGGTCGCAGATGGTCAAGATGTCATTAGTGACCTTGACCAGGGCAGTTTCTGTCCTATGGGCAGCACGGAAACCCGACTGCAGGGGTTCAAAAAGTGAATGGGTGGAGAGGAAAGAGCGCGGGTGGGAGGCGACGACTCTTTCGAGAACCTTGGACAGGAAGGGGAGGTTGGAGATGGGCCGGTAGCTTGATAGCTGCGACGCATCAAGGGAGGGTTTTTTCAGTGTGGGAGTGATGGTGGCAGTTTTGAGGGGAATGGGATCAGAGCCAGAGGAGAGGGACAGGTTAATGGTGTCTGTGAGAAGTGGGGCTAGTAGGTGGAGCTGAGAGATAAGGAGTGGAGTGGGGATGGAGTCCAGGGAGCAGGTGGTGGATTTCAAGGACAGGATGAGGTTGGTGATAGAGGGTGGGGAAACGGGTTCGAAGTTGTGCAGGGGAGGATGGGTAGGAGTCGGAATGTGGGAGGGAAGGGGTGTGGGGTGGGTGGAAGTTGGAGGGGCAGTGACCGCAGAGTGGATTTCCTTGATTTTGGATTCAAGGAAATCCAGCATCTCCTCACAGTGAAGGTTGGAGGAGATGACCTGCGTGGAGTGGCGGGGGGGACGGAGGAGTCGGGATGTGGTGGTATAGACAACAGCTATAATGGCAAATTAGTGTAGGAAGGGCATTGAATGTGCAACAGCTGATGGCATTCAGTTAATTCTGGCAGGTCTCCTTCAGCACTCAGGCTTCAGAACTGATTCTGCCTCTGAAAGCAGGAGAGTTTAAAAAGTATGTCATGATTGATCAATCAATCTCTTGTTTGGAATTCTGCTTTCCTCTTTGTAATCAAGCAATTCATCATGAAGACACTTTGCAGTTGTCTTGGCACCAAGCTTGTCATTCAACTGTCAAGCACTTGCAGTAACAGCTTTGAGCAAGAGTATCATCCAGTTACGCATCCAAACTCGTAAAAGACTCTTTACATGGGTCTCCCATTGGTCCACGTTTCTCTTATTGCGAACCCCTTCCCATGGTCCAGATTCCTCTTAGGGAGAACTTCTGTGTATAGTCTGGCATAGTTTTGAGCACTCGTCTCTAAGTTAGAAGGTCAGAACTTGGAACTCGCATAGTCTATACTTACACTCCAGTGCAGTGCTGAGGGTGTGCTGCATTATTGGAGGTACTGTCCTTTGGATGAGATGTTAAACTGAGGCACAGATTGGCAAGAGCCAAGGCTTGAGGATGCCAGAATGCATTGAGGGTACTACAGGAGTTTTAACAGGCTAACGCCAGGTAGCGTGGTATTGAGAGCACTGCCTGGCAAGCTTTCCTGCTGCTTGTCCAACTGAGACCACCTTACCCATTAGAGCTTTGTCTTGCGGAGTTAACGGGAGCTGAGTGGCAAGAATCCCTGCTCATAGTAACTGGTCTGCCCTTCCAAGTCCTGCCAATGAGCCAGCCTGGCTATGCTGTCATCAGTACTGCAGACCTGCCTAGCTCAGGATCTGGACTGCCGAGACCGCTACAGAGGGTGAGGTCGATTCTGACATTCTGTTGCCAAACATGTCGTCTTCGAGGCAGTTTAGCTCCAAGAAGCTCATGCTTATCTCCCCCACCACCCCCAAAATGATTTGCTGTGTGCAAATTGACTGTTGTGTTCATCTACAAAATACACAGTACCTACACTTTACAGTAAATCATTTGAAGCACTTTGAGACATCCTCCCCACGTGAAAATTACTGTATCAGATTATTATTTATTTGTTTTTTTCCAGACTAGATTCCTTGCAGAAGTGAATTTTTGTAATATGCCAATAGCTAGTGAATTTTGCTCTGATCAGGCTGCCTGATCAGAACATTTTCTTATTTTGGGATTGGCATGTTGGGGTGGCAATTATATCTGCAAGAAGAGAGTGACCAATTATTAGGAGGGGTGTTGCCTATCCTTCTGACAATTTATGTTGCCAGTAACCATCATATTGAACTCATTCACAGCCTTCAGCTTATTGTGTGGTATTACTCATGTTTGAAGTGACAATCAATATAAATAAATTCAGGTAAATTACTGATATGCGTAAACCACTGAATTCAATAAGTGTTCAATTACCACATATATTTTACTTTAATTGTAATCCAGGTACAAATTCCACTGTGCTGGAAGATGATGATGACACTGATGAAGTTCAGGGATTTCTTTTTGGAAAATTGAAGTAAGTTGCTTATTTTTGTTGTTATAGTATTTTTCATGTACCTTCCACTTTCAAAATGGAATTTCTTTTTAAAGAGACAAATCGCACTGATGACAAGTCCCTGCTGTAAAATGTATATGTGTTTCAAGAATGCCTTCCTTTTAATAAGAGTTGTGTTCTCCAGTGCCTTTCATTCACCTTATCCTCAATATGTGAAGGCTGTAAAACAATGTAAGGTTGATCAAGTGGGTTTGAATGGCTGGAAACGATTATAAAATGTGATCTGGCTGAAACAATGCACCTGAGATCACCAAGCATTTGAAATGTTCAATCCTTCTTGCTCTTTCTTTCCACTGCTATTTGTGGACAGAATGGTTGCCAGTGAAACTATTCATTGAGTTCTGCTTTAGAAATAACATTAGGTAAAGCATAATAATAAGAAAAAGGCTTTAAATGACAGTCTGGATTGAGGGCCCTAAATTGTAGGATTGTAGTTGTAAGTGCAGATACCCAAAATAAGACCTCCTAGAGATGTTTCACAGCAGGTGTTGAATTTATGAATAAACTATATTTGTGGAACTATTAATGGATATATTGGTGCCACTGACTGAGGTTTGCCTGACTATAAAGTACCTTGTATTAGAAATTCATGGTGATTAGAGTTTTTAACATTGTTGACCACTCTAGTCTCTGAGATTTTCTGCTATGACCCACCTCCACGGCACTTTGCTTTTCATAGTTCCTCCCATCAGTCCCAATGGCATCACTGCATTTGTTCTAATGGCTTATCATCCGATGCTTCAGTCATCTCTGGTGTACTCCAACTCTACCTTTCTGTCTCCATCCTTGACTACAGGACAGTTGTTCTGTTCACGTTGAATATTAACCCCAACATGGACTAGTTGGGTCAAATAGCCTGTTTCTGTGTTCTAACAGTGTATGTAATTCCTGAAAAACACAGATCAAAAGCAAGAAAACTATGGTTCCTGGAGCACTGAGACTTAGATGGACTCACAAACCTCATGAACCCTCTTTTACAGGGCTCCTGTTGGGCAACATTTTCCAGTTATTTCAAAAGCAGTTTATACTTATCTGCATTGGAAACTATTACGACAGACTATCTCGAGGAGTTAAGTGATGCTGCAGCTTTTGTGGTTCAGCATATCAGATGCTTCCTAACATGAGTCCTGCCAAGTCTCCCAGTTCAGTGAAAGATTATGTCTTTGTCTTCGTGGTGAAGCAATTGTGAGAACTAGATGAGTGTAAGCAATTTGGTGCCAGCAAGTCCAGTACCACATCAAAAGGCTGGAGCTGTGAATTAGCCCTTTTCATTATTTACAGTCAGCTCTGTAGTGAATGACTAGAGGCAGTGAACAGCAAACCCTGGGGATGGGGGGGAAGGTCTCCAGGTCATTCTCTATGTAAAATAGATTGAGATTGGACACAAATATTCAAGAATGTGACAAAAATAGAAGTTTGTAACAAAAAGACACCAGCAGAACCTGACAACTTTGAAGTCTGACTTTTTGTTATAAGTTGGAGTCTTAGATATTGGACTCAGATGACCGTGTTGCAATGAAGCTGTGCCTTATTGATACCTACATTTTTCAATGATTTATATTTCCAAAATTTTCCAAAAGCTTTTTTTTAAAGTGGTCGATCTGAAGTATTTTAATTTACCATCTCTTTTTCTCCCCCTTTTTATCCCATGATAGAAGGGTGTTTGTGGGACATTTGTTGTGTGCAAATTGGCTGATGCGTTCGCCCACACAGCACACACTCACTGCACTTTACAATAAATTCTGTGAAGCGCTTTGAGACGTCCTATGGACGTGAAAGGCGTTACATCAAATGTAAGGATTATGATTGTGACCAAAGACGTGCCCTTCATATTTGCATTGTACCTGGCTGGACAGCTATTTATAATTTTTGTTCCTTTGCTGTTAAAAATTAAATTGTGTGATTATGCAAAAATATCTTCTGCTTTGCTTTTTTTCTTAAAATTAGACAACTATATCCGGATATAAAAGGCGAGCTGAGGGAACTGAGAAAGCATCTTATTGAAAGCACAAATGAAATGGCTCCACTGAAGGTGTGGGAGCTTCAAGGTATTGTTCTGCTGCAATTTTCTGCTGCACTTCATTTAATCAGACATTGTATTACTGCACGAAAATCGCTTTTTGTTGACGGTAGTTTTGTAACTGAAGGAAACTGTAGCTCATCAATTTTTTAAGAAAAATGCATTGAGTCTATGTGCAGTAATTTGTTCGAGCTATCTTCCCTTCCCATTTTTCAGGTCTCTGCTGAAGACCTTTCTTTTCGACCGCGCCTTTGGTACCTCCCCTCCCCCTGGCTTGGTCCCGGGATCTGTTACTGTAAAGCGCTCTGAGACGCCGTCTGGCATGGAGAGCGCTATATAAATCCAAGTTGTTGTTGTTGTTTGTTGTTATCTAATTCCACACTCAGTAATTAAATTGAGCTGTAATACAAATCACTTCAATATTTGGGTTTATAGAACAACAAGGACTCTAATCTTTAAGGTAGTGTATTCTGATCTGTCAGTCCCCTGCATGTCCCGGTAAATCCAGTTTTAATAGAAATGTGAACAGAGAAATTATATTACAGTGAAGCCCTGTTATAATGTGATGGTTCAGATTTTTAAAATTCCCATCTGCTGTAGCGAAGCACGATAGCCAGTTTCACTGGCACGGCACACAGCAGGGATCCCTGCTGCCTATGCAGTAATGAGGTTCCCACAATAAGAAAAAGGCTGACTTCCAGGTCAACAGGTTGCCCTGAGCATCACTTCCTTTTTACTGTGCAAGCAGAATTCACGTTGGAAGCAGGAACTTACAACAACAACAAATTCCATTTAAAGAGCGCCTTTCACGTCGGGAGGACGCCTAGAAGCGCTGGACAGTTGGGTCAGGACCCGAGCAGGGGAGAAATGGTCAGGGTGAGGGGAGGGGAGGGAGGGAGCGAGGAGGGGGGAAATGGTCAGGGTGAGGGGAGAGAAGGGAGGGGGCGAGGAGCGAATAGAGAGTCGAGAGGGGAGCTGAAGGCACGATCAAAGAGAAAGGTCTTGAGACCGGCCTTGAAGGAGGAAAGGGAGGAGGCAAGGCGAAGGCACTGGGGGATAAAGTTCCAGAGCCTAGGGGCCGAGAGGCTGAAGGCCCAGCCACCGATGGTAGGGCGGTTGGGGCGGGGGATGTGGAGCAGACCGGAGCCAGAGGAACGGAGGGTACGGGCAGGTAGATAGGGGGATAGTAGGTCGGAGAGGTAGGAGGGAGCAAGGCCGTGAATGGCCTTGTAGGCGAGGATGAGGATCTTGAATTCGAACTTAATGACCAGAAGTTGGCCATTATTTAGCATGGGAAGCTAAAATGGTTAACTTCTGGGCATCAGATCTCCACCAGCATCACTTCCTGTGTCACTGTATACACAGAGAAAGGGAGATGGGCTGACTGAATGCATGCGCAGTGATTGGGATCCACACCACAAACGTATTATAACCAAATCTGAAGTATAAAGATACGCATTATAATTTGGAATCACGGTATTCAACAAGCTTCTCTTTAAACGTTGGAGAAAAGTTCAACTGCTGGACCTGTAGTCTTACATTCTTTCACAGAATTAAATGTTGCTCTCATTATTAATCACGTACACAATTGCATTTCATCTCTGTTGCATTATCACGGGGGTGATCCCCAGTCAGTGCTGCCACATCATGTCACCGAACACACTAAAAAATAGCTGACTTCCAGTCATCAGGTACCGCCAATGGCAATTCCTGTGCTATAAAGTGAACCCTCATTATAAGGGGGCACCTTATATGGGTTTATATTTATATATATTAATGCATGGTACATAGTCCTAGTATGTTTAAGAGTTTTAACTAATTTTCAAATAAATATTTTGTGAACTTATAATTTTTAGACACTTACAACTACTGTTTCCTTACTTGCTGATTCCCACTTTAAAAATAAAAGTAGTTTTGGACAGAGCTACCAAAGTGATGTCTTCTGCAGAAACTCACTGGTTGTAGCAGTTTGGGATCTAAATGGCACTTTATAGCTTCTTCTTTGTCCTCCCGTATTTTCTCCATTAGCATCTGGTTAATAAGAGAGACTGTCTAAGATGTGCAGTAATCCTGAAACAACTAGTTGGGACACTAGCATGTCTGGTCATGTTATCCTTGTTGTCCTCCTTTCAAGACTCTCCATTGCATCTTTGTGTGTCTCATCCATCTCTATGTGTCTCATCTATCTCTATGTGTCTCAGTAATGGGAGACAGTAAGACAGAGGGTTATGCTATGTTTTATTTCACATCAGTTTAATGGAAGAAGGAATGAAGAGATCAATCTTTAGTAAAGGACATGGACTGGTTTCTGGAAACATTTGAACATCTAATGCTGTGTCTGTAGTGTTGAGAGCGAAGCAGTGTAATTTTGTGCATCATTGCATGAGTATAAACTGCCCGGTCTGTACAATGCCCCTAAACTTTGGAACGCCCTCTCTCTACGCCTTCATCTCAATCCCTTTCTACCTGTTTTTAAATTCCACCTTACAACCTACGTCTTCAATCATGTCTACAAACATCCCCTTCCTCCCAACTCTTTCTGCTTTGCATACCTTACGGCCTTATCATTATTAAGTGCTACTAAAATAATAATCCTTGCATTTGATATAGTGCTTTTCACATCCTCTAGATGTCCCAAAGTGCTTCACAGAATATACTGTAAAGTGAATTGACTATATTTGTGGGTGAAATGCCCATCTAAGATGTTGTCCTACATGAAGGGCGTTACATAATGTCCAGTTGTTCAACTCTGATATTGATGGTGAAGTACTCCAAGACAACACTTCGCATCAAGGGCTCCAAATAAATGCAAGCTGTTTTTGTTGACAAAGATTTAATCTTTTATTAAAAGTACATAGTTGGGACTAGTAGTATATACTGTACTGATTTGTAATGTCTTTGCTGTCTCTTCCTACTTTATTGTCAAGAACTGTGGAGTTTGATTATGATACAGGATAATGTTACTTGAGTTTTCATCCCTCCTTTCCTGGTAGTGCTTATTCATGCTGGGATGCTAACTGCTCTGTGGTACTTTGCCTAAGTCACCATTTTTTTGTGAGTAAACCTAGATGGTAAGCTTTGCCAGCTATGCCACCACATGCATAACACCAAAGATGGACATTTTTAATATCTTATGTCTTAATATACAATGGGAAATGTAGACTTTGCACAATTCTAAACCTCAGAGTGAAAAGGCTTTCTTTCTGGTACAAACACAGCATAAATGACTTTATTATCACTTTATTATCACAGTTGCTCCTTAATCTTTTTACCATCACTGGCTTGCTACTGAAGAATGGAATGAGTATAACCTGGTTCCTTACTTTTAACTTGCTGTGTCGAGCACCAGTTCTGCAGGAGCATCTTGAATTAAATGTTCTCCTTTTGAAATATCGTTTCAACCATTCCACTTGACACTGAGTCATGTAAAATCATCCAGAATTAATATCTTCTTTCTTCTGATGCTACTTTTATTTGCTTACAGGTCCATATCTATTTATTCTTTTTGCCTTTGTGGTCGATAAGAATTCCCAATCTCTTTCTCTTTTTTTTTCTGACAAAAGACGTTCTTTATTTTCTCGACTGCAAGTAGAACTGTTTTGTTATTGTTAGATCCTGTTTTATTGATGCTTCCCCTTCAAAACAGTTTACATCCTACTTTGTGAAACTAAGGTCTGATGAGCCTAGCCTCAACAATGGCTTTGCCGAATAGATTAGATCTTCTACTTCTACTATTGTTCCATTGAGTATTTTTACTTTATCTGCTTCCATATTTAATACTTTGCTCCATCTGCTTTTTCTACTGCTGCTACTCAACAAATCCATAGATCAGTGGTGGCCAAGCTGTGGCTGCGGGGCGGAAGTGGCCCACTGGGTCATTGAGAATTGTTGTTATTGTATAGTTTCTGATATAAAATTAGATTAAAAAAGGAAAGTATTAATGTGTTGCTAATAAACTGGAAATAAAATGAGTATCATTGTAGTACCCAAGGAATTTCTTGTGAGGTTTGTAATATAAACTTGCTTTTCCAGCATTTCCTATGTTTGCATAATCATATAGAATAGAACGTATTTTTAGAAAAAAATGTACGCATTATTTTGTTTCACAGACAGATTTTGAGTTTAGCAATTATTTTACAGGGTCCATTATACTTGTTCAACTTCATCAAATTAAAAATATAATTGAGTACAAATTGTAAAATGGTCCATCTGAGAACCAACTGTGACAATAACTCTTCACGGTGTATTCTGCGCAGGAGGTTTCTTGTCTTCAGCACCCCTTCAAAAAAAGGAAAGGCGACGTGCAAACTTAAACAAGTGCCTTGGGGATATTACCTATGAGCACAAGGGAGTATTATCCCCATGATCTTTGTTTAATTTTTGCAAGATATCTGTCTTTTTTTGAAGGGGAACAGGGGACAAGTCATCCTGCATCTAATTAACAAAAGATGGTCCAGGCAACCAAACTGGGAGACAATGTATCACTCAGCAACGTGATGAAGGTGATGCCTCCAGGTGGTTAGTTTGGGCTCATCATTGTGAGGTGTGTGTGTGTGTATATATAGTGTGTTAATATATATATATATATTTGTGTATGTGTACAATAACCTCCTGATATATTGGCGCTCCAAGGGGGAAGAGCTCAGTGATTCTACATCTGGGGTGAATATGTAGGAATGAGTCCTCCTGGGACTCTGTGGGTGGGAGGCCTTACACCAACACACACTACACAGTTTTTATGCTTTACCTGGTTGTCAAGTACCAGCTAATAGTACCAGCTAACAATGCAATGAATATACAACACTTACTATTTCACACAATGTCACTGATTTAGATTTTCTGTCACTTTCCTTCTGAAGGGTTTTACAACACATCCCAAGCAGCTGACAACAGAATCAGAGGTCCCGTACTATAAAGGGATTTTCTCTCATTTTTCCAGATGCACAAGAATGATAGTAATTTCTGCAGAGAGCCCTTTGGGTTGATTTAGATTAACCGTCTGAGGACCACCCCACCTTCAGAAATGAATACTCAGAATTACAATTCTTCATTTTGTTTATTTGCATTTTCACATTTTCCTGGGCTAGGATACTCCTCACGAAAGTTCGCTATGTGGCCTGGCACATGGCTGGGCAGCTCTGTGACATTTTCCCAGTACAGGTAAATACTCATCAATGATGTATCCCATCTTTACTTATGGGGGATGCGTAGAATGCGACTTTATAAGCAGAATGGTGAAATAAACAGAATGGTCCTTTATTCACATTTTGCATGGGAAGCAGGAGAGACATTGACAGCATGATGATATAAGCCATGTGATGATATCACCATTGTTTTAATATCAGGAGTTCACTGTACATACAAAGCTCTATATTTCACACAAGGATAACATTCCTGGTAGATTCTCATCATTGAGTGTTATGTTCATAAAATGCACAATCTTTGTTTGGTACCTGGTTTTAATCAAATGTTTTTTTCCCCTTTAGATCTCAGTTTCCAGGCAGCTGCTCGCATTACCTCTGCTCCTGTTTATGACGCCTTGAAGTTAATGCGAGACCTTAGCCAGAATTTTCCAACAAAAGCCAGGTACTGAGAGCAGTTATATTTACATGCTGAATGGTCATTTAAAATGATGGTGTGTTCATTGTATACTGAGTTATATAGCTCCCCTGATCCCGAACAATACACTGAAAAGAGGACTTTTTTTGTAAAGACTTATAGTTAAAAATCAGAAGTCAGGAGGATACACTTGCAACATAATTTGTTTGTGTTTGGGGTTATAATGGTTTCTAAGACACTCCTGGTACATGACTAAATTGTTTGCAAGCAGTTTCTAGCACTAATAACACAGAATGAACAGTAATGGCAGCTAAACATGTCCAATTAACTGTTTCAGCTAGCCCATGATTATGATTAACACTTTGTTCTTGCAAATATTTTGCGATAGATCTTCATTCTTTTTGAATCTTCATTCAAAAAAGTTGCAATTATTCTACAGTTCTGTACTCATTTATAGACTTTATTCTGAATGGAGGTTTCCTCTTGCCAGTTTTGTGTAATCGTTTCCTTTTCTGAAGATATTTTACTCTTTTTTCCTTCGAATGAGGTACCTCATCCCCATGGATATGTATGGATACCTCAGCCCAGTAAAATGAAAAAGGTATCTTATTTTACTGGTCAATATGGGAAACGAAGTGGCGGGTGGGGGGTAGCCCTGTTAATTAAGGATGAAATAAAAGCAGTGGAGAGGAAGGATCTGAAATCCGATGACTAGGAGGTCGAGACAATATGAGTGAAAATAAAAAATAATAAAAGGCAGAAAATATTAATGAGAGTGGTTTATAGACCCCTAAACAATGATCAGGTAAAGCGATAATAGTGGGTGATTTCAATCTCCACATAGATTGGGAAAACCAAATCGGCAAAAGTAGGTTAAAAGAAGAGTTCATTGAGTGTATGAGAGATAACTTTCAAGAGCAGCATGCCGAGGAACCAACTAGGGGACAGGCCATCCTAGACCTTGTTTTGTGTAACGAAGCAGGGCTAGTTGGCAGTGTAAGTATTAAGAATCCTCTAGGGCAGAGTGATCACAATATGACTGAATTCTGCATTAAGTTAGAGAGGAGTCTTGTGGAGTCCTGTAGCTCAGTGGTTAGAGCACTCGCTTTGCAAGCGAGAGAACTGAGTTCAATTCCAGGCAGGGCGAAACCTTGGGCAAGTTTCCTTACTCCAAACCCCTAATAATCCTCCAAAACCAAAAATACATTGGTCATTTTCAATCTACGACTGTTTGTGGGACATTGCTGTGCGCAATTGGCCCACAAATGTACAGTCAATTCACTTTACAGTATGTTCTGTGAAGCACTTTGGGACGTCCTCCCGACGTGAAAAGCGCTATATCAAATGCAAGGATTATTATTATTATTAGAGGGATATAGTTAAATCCGAGGCAAGTGTTCTGAATTTAAATAGGGCTAATTTTGTAGGTATGAGGAAAGATATAGATAAAATAGACTGGAGAATAAGACTAAGAGGTAAAAATGTAGACCAACAGTGGCAAATATTTAAGGATGTAGTGCAAAATTCTCAGCGGTCGCATATTCCTTTGCGGATCAAGAGTACCACAGGGAAAGCAATTCATCCGTGGTGCAGTTAGGGAAAGCATCAAATTAAAAGAAAAAACTGCCAAGAAAAGCAGCAAATCTGAAGATTGGGAGAGTTTTAGAAACCAGCAAAATAAAACTAAAAAAACTCATTAAGAACGAGAAAAAGGAGTTTGAGGGTAAGCTAGCTCGGAACATTAAGTTTGATTATAAAAGTTTTTGCAAACATATTAAGAGGAATAGGCCAGTGAGGGTAAATAAGGTCCACTTCAGTCAGAGATGGGAGAAGTTGTAATGGGGGATAAGGACATGGCAGAGTCCCTAAATGGGTACTTTGCATCTGTCTTCACCCTAGAAGACACAACAAGTCTGCCAACAATAGAGATGCACCAAAGGGATAAGGACAGGGAGCAACTTAGGGAAATTTTCATTAGTAGAGAATTGGTGCTAAGGAAACTGTTAGCACTAAAAAGTGACAAATCCCCTGGTCCGGATGGCTTGCATCCCAGGGTTTTAAAAGAGGTAGCTTATGAGATAGTGGAGGCCTTATGTCTGATCTTCCAAAATTCCTTGGATTCTGGAACAGTCCCCATGGATTGGAAGATCGCAAATGTCACACCACTATTTAAAAAAGGTGGAAAGGAAAAGATGGGGAACTATAGGCCAGTTAGTCTCACATCAGTGATAGGAAAAATGTTAGAATCATTGATTAAGGATGTGGTAGTGCAATATTTAGGGGAGCACAATATAATTAGGCCAAGTCAACATGGCTTTACAAAAGGAAGTCATGTTTGACAAATCTCATAGAGTTTTTTGAGGATATTTCGAGTAAACTCGATAAGGGTGAATCAGTGGATGTGGTCTATTTAGACTTCCAGAAGGCATTCGATAAGGTGCCACATAAAAGGTTAGTCCAAAGGATAAGGGCCCATGGAATTGGGTGGAGCCTAGTATCGTGGATTGGGAAATGGTTAACGGGTAGGAAACAAAGAGTAGGGATAAACGGGTCCTTTTCATTTTGTCGGGATGTGACTAGTGGAGTGCCACAAGGATCAGTCCTTGGGCCTCAGCTATTTACCATCTACATCAACGATCTAGATGAGGACATCGAAGTTAACATATCTAAATTCACGGATGACACAAAACTAGGAGGAAGTGCCAACACAGAGGACGACATTAAAAAAATGCAGCGCGACATAGATAGGTTAGGTGATTGGGCAGGTAGGTGGCAGATGAAGTATAATGTAGGGAAGTGCGAAGTCATCCACCTTGGTAGCAAAAACAGTAGAGCGGGTTATTTTTTAGAAGGGGAGAGATTGGAATGTGTTAGTGTCCAGAGGGACTTGGGTGTCCTTGTACACCAATCACAGAAAGTTAGTCTGCAGGTGCAGCAGCAATTAGGAAGGCGAACGGTATGTTAGCATTCATTATGAAAGGATTAGAGTATAAGAGTAGGGAAGTCTTGCTGCAACTGTATAGGGCCCTGGTGAGACCACACCTGGAATACTGTGTGCAGTTTTGGTCTCCTCATTTAAGGAAGGATGTACTTGCCTTGGAGGGGGTGCAGCGTAGATTTACTAGGTTAGTGCCAGGGATGAAGGGGATGAGTTACGAGGATAGGCTGACCAATTTCTATATTCTCCAGAATATAGAAGAATTAGAGGTGATCTTATAGAAACCTATAAGATCATCAAAGGGCATGATAGAGTAGATAGTGGGAGATTGTTTCCCTGGTTGGAGAAACTAAAACCGGGGTCACACCTTAAAATCAGAGGCCAGCCCTTTCGCACTGAGTTGAGGAAGAACTTCTTCACTCAAAGGGTGGTGAATGTATGGAACTCGCTACCCCAAAGGGCTGTTGACGCTCAGTCCTTGAACATATTCAAGACTGAGATAGATTTCTTATTGCAAAAGGGATTAAGGGATATGGGGATAAGGCAGGATCAGGTTATTAGCTGGAGTTAGATTAGAAGATCAGCCATGATTGAATGGCAGGGCAGGCTCGAAGGGCCGAATGGCCTACTCCTGCTCCTACATGTTATGTTAATATTGATTTTGAGATTTAATAGTAAGTGTCAGGAGCCTATTTGATCACAACTAAGATCGATCTCAGTTATTGTAGTAGTAATAATAATAAATCTTGGTTTTGATACAGTGCTTTTCATGTTGGGAGCATGTCTCAGTGCTTCACAGGATTTACTGTAACATGTATTTGTGACTGTGTATTTGTCGGTGAATTTGTCAATGACTGTGTTTTCCTTTTTTTTAAAAAAAAACTCTCCCTGGACCCATCTCTGCTCTCAAACTACCGCCCCATCTCCAACCTCCCTTTCCTCTCCCAAGGTCCTGGAACGAGTTGTTGCTTCACTGCTTCCTCTCAGGCCACTCCCTTCACGGACCCCTCCAATCGGGTTTCCGTGCCGCTCACAGCACAGAAACCGCCCTGGTCAAAGTGACAAATGACCTCACTTCACCCCCTGCCCTCCACCCTCTCCAATCCCGACCCCCAGCTCGGGTCCCAAACTCTGACTGCCCAGCGCCTTAGGACGTCCTCCTGATGTGAAAGGGTCTATACAAATGTAATTTTGTTGTTTTTGAATGTGGCCGCCAATTTGCCCACAGTAATATCCCACAAACAGCCATGAAGTGAATAACCAATTTTATTTGGGGGATTGTTGGTCAGGACATTGGGAGAAATTATTTTCTCTTTTTGAATACTGTAATGGGATCTTTAACATACACCTGAACAGGAAAATGGGATCTCAGTTTAATGTCTCATCCAAAGGATAGCACCTCTGACAATGAAGCACACACCCGGCATTGCATTGAAGTGTCAGCTGAGACTACACTAACTAATAGGGGGAGATCCAATCTAATCCTAATACCTAACATTTAAAATAAATGAAAATGAATTTTAAATAAATAAAATAGCCAAAAAGTAACAATAGTTCTGTACTCACCATGAATTCAATGCAGCTCTATTGATCCCCTGGACTAAACCAACCATTATCAACTGGGGGCATCATGTGGGCTGATTGAGTTTGAAAACACAGGGTAGACTTTTGAATTGTGGAATTCAAGTTCCAGTTTTTTTTTAGATCTTATTTAGCTAATTCCGAATTCCAGAACAATTAAAGGTTTTCTTTCATTAATTCCATTAATTCAACCTTAATAGTCTGTCTGTCTTTGCTATTCATTGTGTAAACTCAAAAGGGAACTCCACACTTTAGTGTACAGTTAAATATTGATTTGTGCATGAGATCACTGAAGCCAGTTCTAAGGAATATTTTCTCCTGTGCTCCTAACTATGTCCAGATGCTAATTCAATTAAATCCCAGATTGTTTATTTCAAAAACAAATGGTACATGTTAGTCTAGCAAATCTAAACTAAATACTGGAGAATGGTATTTATTTTATACCAAGGGGTTTGCCTTTCTTTGATTTTGAAAATCAAATCTTTGATTTTAAAAAAAGGTATAAATCACAGGTAACACCTGGAGTAAACTGATTTAATTCTGCAGATTATAGTTATCAAGATTAGTGCAGGATTGCCAACTGATTATCTGTACACACAGAGATGATGAGAAACAGATGCTGATAAAATAAAGTATTTGAAGAGAAGCAAGTTTTTGCCGGTGTCCTGGCCGACAGTACCCAAGATAAAATTTGTCATTCACTTCAATGCTTTTGTGGGACATTTCTGTATACAAGTTGGATGCTGGCTACAAAGTCACTGCACTTTACAGTAAATCCCGTGAAGGGTTTTGAAACATCCCCCCGCATGACAGCTGCTATATCAAATGCAAGGATTATTATTTTTATTATCATAAATATCTTTCGAATGACAGGTGAAATTATTACACAAAAGTATGACCATGATGAAGATGCTTTAAAAATAGCAACATTTTAAAATAGGAATAACTATTTACCTTAATTCTAAGCTTGCTTTTATTGGTATTTGTTTCCTTTCAAAATTAAAGAACTTCCATTCAGACAGGCCAATTTAAGCAGTTTTTTGTATGTTTAAGCATCAGTGTTATTGATGTTTAATAATATAGGGTATACTAAGATTGACAGTGTGTCAATTTCTCTGAAATCTGAAAGCCATGCAAACCAACAGCCTGACTGCAAATGAACCAAATCGTACAAGTGTCAGCCACTGTTGGGTTTTGAGCCTGTGACCCGTAAAATCAGTGACAGCTGTAATATTTCTATTTAGTCAATTAACTCTGCATTGATTCTGAGACTGTCACAATGCCAAGAACCTAACAAAAACATTTCACCTTGAAAGTGCCTCCTTCACTATCAGCATGATGTATGGAACAGACTGCCGAGGAGACACTGGAGGCAGGCAGCATCAGCAAATTCAGGAGGGAGCTAGATAGAGATTTTGATGAATTAAATAATTATGGGGTACAGCAGAGCATCTCATGGTACTTTTTTAGAACTAATTGATTTAACCTGCATTTCCTAGATGATGTCTATTAAGGAACAAAAAATCTTATTTAGCAATACTATTCTTTTCATTTTTTGGACAGTATCATTCTATAGAACCAAGTACCCATGCTTAAATTTTTTAATATAAAACAAAACAGATAATATTGATAAACTTCTGGCTTTTCATTACTGGTGTATTCCATAAACTAGAAACTAGACAAGCAACTTCATCACATATGTGGATGTGAAGGTTTGATAAGACACTACAGCTTATCTCCTGGAAACTGTCATTCTGGGAGCAAATAAGAGTGTAATTGTGGACTGTCTAGATAATGAACCAATTCATGGGCAAAATTCTGTGCAGGTCTTATTTTCATTTAGGTTTTTCTATCTTGTAAAACCCAGGTTTGTGATGCTCATTGGCACAATTTATTCTGGTGGCTGGAAATAACAACAAATTCACAGTTATAAATACCTTTCGCGTCAGGAGGACATTCCAAAGCTTTGGACGGTACAGGCAGGGTTTGTACCCGAGCTGGGGGTGAGAGCTGAGAGGAGGTAGACTGGGAACATGATCAAAGAGTCTAGGTGAACCTTAAAGGAGGCAAGGGAGGGGCAAGTCGTAGGGACACCGGGAAGGAATTCCTGAAAGCCTGTCTGCTGATAGTGGGGGGAAGGCTGAGGACTTGAGAGACCCAGTGGCTGCTCAGAGGAGGAAATGGACAGGTTTGTAGGGTTTGAGGAGGTCACAGAGCTAGGGTGGGGCAAGACCATGGAGAGATTTAAAAGTTAGAATGAGGATCTATGAACTCGATTTGTTGGGAGATGTGGAGTCTTCGCTGTCCATACCTTGGGACATCCTTCCATCATGAAAGGTGCTATATAATTGCAATTTATTGTTGTTGTTGGAGCTAGGTGAGAATGAGTGTGATAGGCTTGCAGAGCCTAGTAAGGGAGAGGATACGAGTTTTAGAGGTCTGTATAGTCTGCAGCTTGCGGAGAGAGAATTTGGAATTTGTTTAAAAAAAAACGTAGGAGAGGTTGTGACATTTGCACCAGTGTGATATTATGTCACGTTTTGTTATAAATATAAACAAACTGCATTTGAAATAGTATGGACTTTTTTACAAACACATGTACTTTATCACGCACGCAGACACAACAGTGACATCTGTGACTGAAATGCACACAAGCCAGATGTAGCTCAGCAGGAGGATCAATGAAATTACTGAATAGTTATTAGTAATTAACTAAGAAACAAACAGTGAAACCTAGTTCTATGGCACACTGCATTACCTGTAACTGGTTAGGGAATAGGTTAAAACTCCTTAACATCACAGCACATGATACCATCCAAATCTTACAAGTGTCATAATGATCTGGCGCAAATCCAACTTGTTAGGGTTTAAATAGAACTAATTAAAATTAATATAGGATTGGGCTGACAAATCACTCTCTGTTGCTTATTCCTGTAACAAAGGATTCTAGGTGAATTTAATCTCAGTGTAGATTTTATCAGGAAAGACATTTAACACAATATTTAAATTATCTGTAAGAATCCAGTATTTTAGCATTCTGCTATTATTTAAGAAATAGTTAACTTACAAGCTGTTGCATTGTACAAGCACTGCTGATTTCATCTTCTAAGGTTAGTGATTAAGTGTTTCAAAATCACTGTTACCATTTATCACAATAAATGGCACGTGATGATGTTTTTGGAATGCAAGTGCTTCCGATATTGCAATACTCATGGAATCTTTGAAATCTGATGTCTTTATTTTGTACTTTATTGACCATTTCATGATGTGTTGGGAGGGCAAATTAAATGTCCCACAATGATAGTGATGAATGTGAGAAGCAAATTTTGTTAAAAAACAGACAGAGAATATCTTAAGAAGTGAACCAAATATATCATGCAATTTGTATTGAAGACAAACCTCTGAGTCTTTGAATCTATTTCACTCAGGCGGCCCAGGTTCGACTCCCGGTATGGGAATCACATGTTTTCAGCGCCTTGGGACGTCCTCCCGACATGAAAGGGGCTATACAAATGTAATCTAGTTGTTGTTATTGTTGTATCTACAGATCACTGACTAGAACGGTCGTAAGTCAAGAAATGAGAAATGAAATTGAGGAAAATCAAAAGGTAGACCTCTTTATTTTAAAAACAACTTTTGTTGAGAACATGACATTTTTACATTCATAACAAAAACTAATGCTATAATATAGATATTGTATGATGAAAACAATTTCTGGTGTTGTAAGGTTTATACAAGTTATTTGAGGAGAGTCATTAAAATACTTTTTATATATTTCCAATAGATTGCATTTAGTAGAAGTCATTATCTTAAATACCAAATTAGAATTGTGATGTTACACTACAATATTTATTCAATTTACTGATATAGTATTGTAAATTTCAGGCAGGAAATACATGGAACTGTTTATTTGCACCTCTTTCACGAAATCAGTTTGAGACAATTATGACTCTTCACATGTGCAGTTGCTTTTGTGTTCTTTTGTATTGTAAAATGCCCCATATAATGTAATTGAGGTGGATTGTACAATAATTATACAATGCTGACAACTTCTGGTTATTAGAGAACCACTGCTGCTTGAAAACGCAGCCTGACCCATGTTTTCTTTTATGTAAAGTGAATACAGATCCACACACTCATAGAGATTTGCAGCACAGAGGAAGGCCATTTGGCCCATTTGTGTCTCTGCTGCCTCTTTTGATCTCAGCCCAATGTGGTTAGCAGTGTATTCTGTGGAAAATTTCACAATGAATTTAATTATTCCAAAAATAAAATGTGGGTCATATCCTGGAATTTGGTCAAAACCATTACTTTGAAAATTACAGCAGAGCCCATTGGTATCTGAAATGTGAGTTTAGTACTTTTAGTCTCTCATCCATACATCTTCAGTACCCTTTCAGTGAAAAACTGAATTTTAGGCTATTTTATTTACTGTAGGGTTTATGTCTGCTGCAAGATTCACAGTATAGAAAGATTGCATTACCAACCATGTGAGACTTGTTTTGTTTATTGAACATCAGGGTCTAATTTCCGATATTAGATCCACATGTCCAATTGAACAGCTGCATTTTTTTTAGGTATTATTAAAGAATCTGCCTTAAATTTCCTCCCAATTAAAATTTTCCCCAAATTGAAATTATTTGCTTATTCATCTCATTGTTGTTTATGAAACACTGCTCTTGCAAGTCATCTATATAATCGTCTATGTATGTTACATTCATTTTAATTTCTAGTTAATTATAATAAATTAATCCTTGCATTTTATGTAGCATCTTCTTATGAAAGTGTCTCAAAGTGCTTCTCAGAATTTTTAGTTAAAGTGTAGTGACTGTGTATTTGTAGGCAAGCACAACAGCAATAAGCAATAACCCACAAATAGTTAGGAATTGAATGACCAATTTTTTTTCTTTGTTGGAATGTTGGCCAGGACAGAAGAAGAAACTCCATTCTCTTCAAAAAGTGCCATGGGATTTTTAACATCCACCTAAACCAGCAGACTGTAGCTCAGTTTAATATTTCCTCTGAAGGGCGGCACCTCTAAAGAATACAGCAGTCCCTCAGCACTGCAATGGAGAGTCAGTCTAAATCTGAGTCCAAAGTGATTTTATAGCTCACAACCTTTTATAATTTACCTTCCGTAAATCAGACAGATCGAGCACATTACATGGAGATACATTTAAGTATCTGAACAATTACAAATAAAATAGACGTTCAAAAAGAATGCCATGGCACTTTTCAAAAAGAAAAGTGAGTTTCTCCTGTTGTCCCAGCAAATAATCCCCAGATTTAAAAATATATATTTTTACATACAAACTGCTATAAAAATGCAAGTTATTATCATAGATCCCATCAAAGCACAGTTCCCATGGGTCAGCATTGTGTGCAACTGGTTGACTGAGAGAGTCCACACTTCTGCAACTTGAATTCCATACTAAGGAATCTTGTTAAGAAATAGTTTAATTAGAACCCATAATGTATCCATACAATAATTTGATTCACCTTACAGTTATTTAGCCCTTCTAGGAAATGTTGTGCTCATCCTTAGCAAAGAACATTTATCTCTATTAGGCATTATTTTTCATCTGTATACTTAGATGCGTTTCTATGTAATGTGCGTGAGCTATCTGATTTCCAGCAGGCAGGCTGTAAAAAGAGTTTCTACAAGGCCAAAGGCAATGAACTCTCTTGTGAATGTCTTTGACATCAGGTAAATAGCTAATTTTCTGAAATTTCAGTTTGGAAAGTGGAGATGAGTTAAATCAGGAATTCAATTAGAACACATCAGAGCCCTTAGCTGGCCACATTGTCCATTTTATGTAGCAAAATGAGAGCCAGAAAAAAAGAGAGGCTGTTAGGATCTGGCAATTGGGTGGAAGCAAAACTGATAGAAGGTGGGAGCAGCAAACTGCTGGAGTGTTTGAGACAAGATTGTTAAGGGATATTCATGTGGTGGCAATATTATTCTACACTTGGCCAGTGGTGAATTCGTAAATGTATTGCCATGTGAAATCTTTCCTTTTCAAATTCAGTACTTTCATGTTCACTTTGAATGAAAGAGACATGATTCCCTTTTGATTGTTGAACTAAAGCGTAATCGAAAACTATCAAAACAAGATCAAGCGTTGCTGCTTTTCAAAATATGAGGGTTTTTTTCTCCACAGTAAAGTACCACTGCTGCAGACAACTTGTAAAGAAAAACTGCCTGACATCCTGAGACTGAATTTGACCAACATTTTTGTAATTAGATTTCCCTTTTAGTTCTCATGGTGGAGATTTGAATGAAAAGGGTTGGTGCTGCAGGGAGCACCAATGTCTAATGGCATTATGAAATGTCAATTTTCTGACACTTGTGTGAATGCATGAGAAATTTACCTTGCAATCTTGCTGCCCAAATAGGCATAGTGAAATCGGGGGAAAAGATCAAGAGCAACGTTGTCTGAAATACACAAATCCTGCCATATGTTACTATTATTTCAGTAGTGGAGTTCCCAAATTGTCATTTTGGTATTCTCTGAACTCAAAACGTAATCAAGCAAAATACTGTATACTAGTTATCCAACCCAACATGCCAACAAATATCTTTCCACAGGCATTTTTTTCTGTACCTGAGCCCGTAACCAGAAAGCAACGTATTCTGCGGAATATTTATTTATTGATTTCAATTTACACCCATCCTCAGTTAAACAAAAAAGTAAATGTCTCATGCTTTCACATGTTTTGATGTACGTTTGTCAAGTGCTCCGAGACGGTGCCCCGTGTAAAGGATGCTATATAAATGCAAGTTGTTGTTTCTGCCTATTTAGTTCTGCTAAAGTAATATGATTTTCAAGCCTTTTGTTTCTACTACACTAATACTTTCATGAAAAAGAATGACCTTTAAAAGAAAGCATTTTTTGGGAACAATAAACGCTTCATTGCAAATTTGTTGCTGTGGAGCGGGGAATTATATTTTTTTCTTAGCTTCATTTCACTCCTTTTCTCAGTTGTGATCTTGGTCTGATTGCCATGGACATGTTCCATCTATAATTGCTGTAAAAATGAAGTGGGTGCCTATGATTTATAACACTTAGTTTATGATTGAATTCTAAAACATATGCAACACACTCTGATGTTACGATGGATGAGAAGTTATAATTGTACGGAAACATTTTAGAAGTTGGGAGTATTTTTGTTGAAGTACATTATTTTATGAAGGGAATTAAAATGAATTTTGATGGTGTCATTTGAGAGAGACTATTTCAACTGATCAGAAAGCCTGCAGCAAGAGGACACAATTTGAAAAAAGGAATGGTTAGAAGAATTTATTTTCCACATAAGAGTGAGAAATACCTTATCACAAAATTTGTTTGGCTTAATTTTAAAGAAAATTTAATAAATATTTGATGAAAAATATTATTAGAAGGTACTGGGAAATTTCAGGGTAATAGGATCTGAGTAAATGTAGAATTTTGATTTGGATCTCATTTCTGGTTATTTATAATTCAACTTCTTGTTGTATTATGATTGCATCTGCAAGTTGAAGATGATTCCACATCTGCAGTCTGAAGAGTCAAATTGATGGAAACACAAACTCTGAGAATTGTGATTATGATAAGTATGACATACATCAAAGTTGACTGCATCAAAGTTGTAGCATCTATGCAGATACTATAATGTCAGGCATTATGTCACTGCTTGATTAGTGAGGAGTGGCGCCACATTTTGAGAGTAAGCTGCATTCTTTACAATAGAGTAGAAATTGGAATTTAAGAAATATGTGTGACTGGAGAGATCATTGAGGTCAATTTCACTGGTGCTGAAGTAAAATGAAATAAATAATCCTGTATTATAATATTCTGCATCTCGTACTCGATTGAATTCTGTACCAGTTCATCAATGTGTTTGCACTGAGTTGCACTCTATGTCAAAGTGGAATCCATTAGTGCTAAAACTGAAAGATTATATTGATAATATCTGAGGAAAGATTATCTGCAGATGGTGAGGAGCTATAAGGAAGATATATTAATTTGTCTTAAACTCCTAGCTATTATATCTAAAGTGGCCCTAAAATAGAAGCAGCATAAATTTTCCAAATGTTCTATACTGTATTTTGGGGGATTTAATAACAACAACAATAAGATTGCATTTATAGAGCGCCTTTCACGTCGGGAGGATGTCCCAAGGCGCTGGACAGTTGGGTCAGGACCCGAGCAGGGGGGAAATGGTCAGGGTGAGGAGAGGGAAGGGAGGGAGCGAGGAGGGGGTAGAGAGTCGAGAGGGGAGCTGAAGGCTCGGTCAAAGAGAAAGGTCTTGAGACCGGCCTTGAAGGAGGAAAGGGAGGAGGCGGCGAAGGCACTGGGGGATAGAGTTCCAGAGCCTCGGGGCTGAGAGGCTGAAGGCCCGACCACTGATGGTAGGGCGGTTGGGGCGGGGGATGTGGAGGAGACCGGAGCCAGAGGAACGGAGGGTACGGGCAGGTAGGTAGGGGGATGGTAGGTCGGAGAGGTAGGAGGGAGCAAGGCTGTGAATGGGAAGCCAGTGGAGGTGAGCGGGGGTGGGAGTGATGTGGTCGCGAAGCCTGGTGTGGGACAGTACACGAGCTGCTACGAGATAACTACTAATATTTCAATTTTACATTGTTGTAAACTTCCATGCTAATGCTAGCGAATAAAATTTAAACATGTAAGGAGATCCCCTGTTCATTTCATGTTGCCAATGATCTGAACAATTTCCACTGTTATCCACTTTATATTTCAGGAACAAGGGAAGGAAGTCATGTTATAAAATCAGTAAGTGTAATATCAAACGTTTCCTACCTTACTGTAACTGTTATGATCATTTTTCTTGTTTCGTTTATTCAGCACTTTGCAGAAACTATGGGATTGCAGCCTGGAGATTCAGCTTTATTTATAAATGGGCTGCATATTGATCTGGACACTCACAATCTCTTCAGGTAGGTAACATTCTGCTGTGTGACATGTCTATTGCCCATATTTATTATAAAAATCCTTTCACTGTTCACATAGAAAACTATTGCATCTATTCTCTGGTTGATAATTAATGTATTACAATTTAATAAAATCCATTGATGTGTAGATTTAATAATAATAATAATAATCCTTGCATTTGATATAGTGCTTTTCACGTTGGGAGGACGTCCCAAAGCGCTTCACAGAACACACTGTAAAGTGAATTGACTGTATATTTGTGGGCGAACGCGGCAGCCAATTGCGCACAGCAATGTCCCACAAACAGTCATGGATTGAAAATGACCAATTTATTATTGTTTTGGGTTTTGGAGGGATTATTATTAGGCGTGTGGAGTAAGGAAACTTGCCCAAGGTTTCGCCCTCTGCCTGGAATTGAACTCAGGTCTCTCGCTTGCAAAGCGAGTGCTCTATCCACTGAGCTACAGGACTCCACTGTAACATCTATTATTTGATTTCAATTCTAAAAAATTGCCAACATTTTGTGCAAGAGTTAAATTGTTCAACGTTTTTTCATGATGTTGTGGACTTTGGTAGTATTCTTCAGCAACATTTTAGAAAGTTTATTTGGTGAATGTTGTGAATCAAGAAACATTCGTAGTTCACTAAACTCTACAACTTTCGTCCAATAAAGGTTATTATTAAAGGGATATCATTAACATTTTTATCATGATGATTTGTAATGTTTTCAGTACCCAGATAGCTGCATAGCCACTGTACCACACTTCAGGAGATGTGATTTGTGGAGCAGGGTTGGTTTTTCCTCCACTGTGAATTTTATTCTCTCTTCATAGGAAAAAGAAGCCATTCAAGCCCACCGAGCTAATTCTGTTTTGACTGTTTCATGGCCCACATACTGTAACTTTTTAAAATCCCATCTCTTATTTTCCTGCCACACCTGTTAATATTTGCACTCCTCAACCATCCAACCTTTTATTTACAGCTTATCCTCTTCCCACTCAGCCATGTAATTTTTGTGAACATATAGTTCATTAATTCTATAGATACCAACTGTCCTCCAGGGTTTCTAGATGGCCATTATTTTCTATGTTAGCAGTTAAATCCTAGTTTAATACCATTCACACTATAATTCAGGTTGAGATCAAATTACTTAATTTAGAGAAGAGACTTTGCCGTTTAAGTGCGTCGTACAGATGGTTTCCTGTCAGTGAAAAGTAGAATTCTGACCTGGGTCCCAATTTTGGGAATCCATCAATTTAAGTCAATAAATGTAACTTTATGGCTTATGATCTTTTATTCCTACACAGAACTACGTAAAATACAAAAATGCTTTATAAACAAAAAAAAAGTACCTTTTAAATCTAGTGGCGACTTGTTCCAATACTGTAAAAACATGGCACAGAAATTCGAGTACCAATTTATCCATGGGCTCTTTTACCATGTGTTTCCTATAGAGTTAATTTTTTAAAATGTTAGCACAAACTAACAAATGATACTTGTGAAAGAACAGATCCTGTGTGAGGAAACCGTGGTGTGATATCAGTGATCTGAGTGGAGTTAACATAATTTGGGATGTGTAAATAGTAATCAAGGGAGTGTCGAAGTGAAGATAATGACTTGTGCGATTTAAGAGACATTGATGCTGAATTCCTTAGGAATTGTGGAGAAATGTGATTGTTAAGGAACCTAGAACAGACTAAAATGTTGTAAAGAGAGAAATTTCCAACATCAGCTTGTACTTGTATAGCGCCCTCAACGTAGGGTAGGGTCTCAGAGCGCTTAACAGTGGCGGAGCCTGACTCTGAGTTAGGGGGGAGGTGGCCGTAAGCACGGTCAAACTTGAAAGTCTTCAGGCGGGATTTGAGAGAGGGGACAATGAGGAGGGATTGAGGGAGAGTGTTCCAGAGTTTTGGGGCGTAGTGACTGAAAGCACGACATCTGATGGTGGGGCGGAGGGTGCGAGGGACGAGCAGGAGGTGGGTGCAAATCGAGCGGAGGTGCCGGGTGGTGAATTAGGGAGTGAGGAGGTCGGAGAGGTAGGGAGGTGCCCGGGAGTGAATGGACTCCACATGAGTGAGTGCAGTAGATAGTGGCAAATAAGTTCTCCTTTTGTTTATTCCATCAGAGAGATATTATGCAGAGACTAACTGCATGGTTACACTGCTGTTAGCAACATGGTATCACTTCCAGAAATAGCAGGATGTGTAGAAAGAAAGTTGACTTGTGATTTCTGCTGCTCATCACAAGAGCTGATAGTTAGTTCCACATTGGGAAACTTGGTCAGGACAAAGGAGTAAGTGAGAGGTACCATTCCCTTTTCTCCAGGGAATGCATATCCAGCCTGTTATCATAGTATAGGTGGTGTTTGTACTTCCCTGCAAAGGCAAAAAAAATGTAAAGAATTAACTTTTTTGTCAAAATAATAGCACTTTTAACATTGAAATGTCAAAGAGCTTCACAAGTAGTTTCTGGCAAGAGTTGTGACATTATTTGTAGGCAAACATGGCAACTATTTTGCACACAGCAAGATCCCACAAACAGCCATGAAGTGAATGACCCAGTTCTCCAACAAGATTTGATCTGAAAACAGTTGATGTGGACTACAAACAGAAAGTTAATGCTTAACTGAATTTTCATATTTTGGTGGTAATTACCTTATGATAAAAGCATGGATAGATGCATTATATTCATTATAATTGAGGAGATTGAAGGGTGATCTATTTGAAGTGTTTACCATAATGAAAGGTATTGAAAACTAGATATTGGATGACTTCCCTCCAGTAGAAAGGTCCAAAACAATAGGATAAATCTTAAAATTGGAATTGAGACAGTCAGAAATTAGATCAGAAAGCATTTCTTCACACAGCAATGTGAAACTGGAATGAACTGCCTGAGAATAGCACAGAGGGAGAATTAATTGAGATGTTTAAAAGGGAGATGAATAGATACTTGAGATTTGAGGAGTATGGAGAAAATATCATTATATAAAAAAAACTAGCAGAACACACTCAATGGTCAGAATTGCATCCTTCTGTTCCAATGTCCCTAATTAGCACTTTTATCTAAACTTTATTTTCATAGAATTCGGTCAAATAACAAGCAAATTCATATTTAATATACAGCGAAACTCACATAAGTCTTATCTTTATAAATCGTACAACCTCCTAAACTGTACATTCACCCGAGTTCCATTCAGTTTCCTATCAAAACCACTTAATCGTAAAGCCACTCTGCTATCCTTCAGTACTCCTGCACTTACCGATTGCACTGAATCACAGTAAATGACGTCCTGATCCTTCACTGCCTGCGCACCTGACAGCTGAAATCATGGATTGAAACGTCATCTTGATCTGTCACTGCATGTGCACTTATTGGCTGCATCGAATTATACTTTCACTGTGTAGATTATTAATTAAATTGGATTTTATATAATTTATACAGTTTGCCTGCAACTCGGAGTTCGCTAAGTTATATTAAATGTTATGGTCCCGACTGACACAACTTGTGTGATAAAAGGCAAAATATTGCAGGTGCTAGAAATCTGAAATAAAAACAGAAGTCACTGGGAACACTCAGCAGGTAAGGCAGCATCTATGGAAAGAGAGATAACGTTTCAGGTCGATGACCTTTCGACTTGTGTGAGTTTCACTGTAGTTATAGTTGAAAACTTGATATTGGGCGAACTCTGAAAATGTTTTACTTGTTTATTCAGCCAATATAAGCATCAGAAATCTTAACATGACCTGTCCAGTTGAAACCTAGCAACAATATATACTATTACGAATTGTTGTGACCAATTATAAATTATGTTCTTTACCTTTTAGTATCCTAGATATCCTCAAGGTGGAGGGGAAAGTCCTGGATGGACTTAATAAACTTGGGATCAAAGGTAAAACTCTGAGCAAACTTCTGAGATTGAATGTTCATCCCATCGAGGAGAATGCTGCTTTGGACATCCAGCATTCAGCTATAATGGTTAGAAAACAATATTAATTTATTTGTGTGTGCACGTTCTATGTAAAACTCACGTTTTTATAAAAACAAATGCATTTGATTCCTAAGTATTAGACAAATCTCTACTTCAGGATAATTCTGTGTGGTTTTCTGATTGTAAATATATATTTTTTAATTTTAAAAGCTTTATAGAGGAAGTGTTTGAAATAATTGATGATCATCACCATAATTTTGGCAACCAGTGATTAAAGCATCATATTGTAAAAGATCTGTATGCAAATTGGTGATTGTTTTACTTTCTTGGAATTATTTTTATTTTGCTTTTACATTTTGATATGCAAAATATTAATTAGTATGTTACATTATGTAGCTTACATAAAATAACCTTTATACATTTACATTTTAAAGGTATGACGTACAATTTACCCTGCACGTTGAGAATGAGTCATGAAGTAAGCAATCTTTTGCCAGCAATATTATTGCCAATTGGATAGACAAACAGAACAATTTACAGAAATCTGAATCATGGGTACTTCAGCAGAGGTTCAAGGCTCTCCATCTTTACTGCAGTGATCTACTTTAGGTCCCTTCTTTCTAACTAAGAAGCCTAAGTAAAGAGCCATGGGACGTAGTCAGAACAACACCAAGGATGAAAAGAGGAGGAAAAAATGTAAAGTACAACAAATGATGAGGTGACGCTAGGGCTGGATCTTAGATTTTAGGAGGAATGGAAGACAGATCAAGAGGTAAGGTGCTCCACACTCAAGCTCCTGGGAAAGTATGAGTTAGAGTAGGAGACAGTGTGATTAATTACAAGGCAGTGAGGATACAGCAGGCAGAAAAAGTGTGCAGGATGGTGCAATCTGAGCTTTGAAAAACAATTGCCATAATAGTAAAATGAAATATTGAATGATAACTAAGGATATGATAGAGAAAGGAAGACAGTATGTGCGAGTCTGTGTCCTGCTTTCTCGCTCGCTTGCTGGGCCCTCTCGCTCGCTTGCTGGGCCCTCTCGCTCGCTTGCTCGCTCCCTTAATCTCTTTGGCCAAAGAAATAAAAGGGAAGAGAAAGACTAAAGGTCTTATGGTTAGTACATCTTTTTTCTAGCTGCAGAAAAATAAATCTGCTTTACCCATCGAGGATCATCCATTACAACAAAAATTGCATTTATGTAGCGTCCTTCACATGGGGTAGTGCCTTGGAGCATTACCAATAGTAATTATTTAAAATAATATTCGCTGAACATTTTTAACATTTTTCCTTAATGTTCCTCAGTTTTGCTTCAGGTACGAAAATACTGGTGTGTGCTTCTGATTACATCCTCAGAGACTTATCTGCAGTTCTTATTCTGTTACTGGGCAGTCCCCAATATTGTTACCAGTTAAAGACGTGCTGATATTTTTACTTTCTATATAGCATAATGGAGATTCCTCTGAATGAGCACTTTAAATTAGTATGTAGATATCCAATATTGCTGAATGATCACATGTAAAATCCTGAAAAATAGTTTGAGAATGCAGATGCTGTAATGAACCAGTTTTTAATTTTCGTTGTGCATAGTTTATGAGCCGATTGTGTGGAAATGTGTCCAGTGTTTTTCCTGGAATTGAAGAATGATGCCTTAAGCTTACCTTAAGTACATTTATCAAAGGCACTTTATAAAACGGTTGACTTTTGTAAAATTGGATGCAGAGGTTTGATTCAGAACTATGACTGGGAGTTTTTTGGATAATGATATTCTGTGTTCCTGACTAGTTCTCTTACGTTAGAGATATACTTTATCCTGTTTCATGAATTAATGACTTGGAAGCTTGAGTTATAAGCAATTAAAAAGGAATTTAGGATGATAAATAGTGAGTGCCTTGTTGATTAAAGGAAAATGAATCAGTAAATGGCACTCGCCTACCATTTTTGTGGAAACCAATTTCATTAAACAATTAATACATTTTATTTGCCTTAAGTAATAAAGTAGCAGCACATTATGAAGAATCGAGTGTGGAGGGAGGACAAAGCATTCATTTCACTTTTAGGTTTTTCTAATGTGCAGTTTTGATAAAAAGAAATCTACCAAATCACCTCATTAATTTCATCAGTAAATGGAATAATTAAGATAGTTAATTTTTCTTCAAGATTTTGCAACAAAATATTCTTATCAGGAATTCGCCACTGTACTGCTGGAAATTGATTGCAGACTTGGTTCATGAAGCAAATGGCTCTTAACCATTTGAAAGCTGCATTAACTGGACTAATGTAGCATGCCTCCTGCTTAGTTTGGCTGAATTTTCACGAGCAGTCCTGTGCCCTCTTGTTCCTTGTCTCTTTCTTTCTCTTTGGATTAAGTGCTGTGCCAGTTCACAGTATTATTCCGAGGCTGGGATTTTCAAAGTTTGCTGGGAAAGAGTATGTAGAGTTTAAGCAATCATTTAACCTGTACAGTACTTGACGAGAGGGTGCTTAATGCTGACAGGAAAGGTTGGTGATAAATATTTTTTTTTGGAAACAGAATATTGTAACACCTTGCCAGTTTCTTCACAATCTTGAATTAGTCATCAGACCAGATTTGGTAATGTCCTGATTTCTTCTGGAGGAACATTCTCGGGGTTAAAGCCTGGATTCTTTAATATTAAGTACAACAAAAAAAAGTCTTCAGATCATTATTTAGATATTTAAAAGAATGCAGTACCCACAGTATGTGAACCTGAAAATGTGGATCAATGCTGCCAGCAACATTTGTAACCTTTGAATAATTCCTTGGTGAAATTTGAAATGTGTTACTTAACTGGAGATTCATATAAGCTGTGAAACCCAGGAGCCTGTTTTTAACTGAGGTAGTATGAAGGTATTTTAGTTTGTGATTTAAAGGCTCCTGCCTGACATTTCAATGTTACTTGATTAAATCAGTGACTCAGAAATAGAGAGCACAGATGTATTTTGAAATTCTCCATGAGATTTAGAATCAACAGAGCACCAACAGAAAATGTGTGCTGCCTGCAGGAATATTTATTCACAGAAATACGCAGATGAAACCCATTAAATAAATGATGGTTTGTCTCCAACCATCTAACACTTAAGTATATCATGATAAATCTGTACTACGGTTGTGTAGATATTACATGAATAAGTGGGATATTTTAGTGGCATTTTCTAGCTGAGCCTTTCTGTTAGAATAGTTATTTCTATGATTATCCACACAGCTATCTGTTTTTTTGTATTAGCATGACTCCTGTTTATACTTGGCACAAGTAGTGAGTGTTACGAACTATATGATGGTATTTTACGGCTGGCAAAATGCAAACAATGCTTTTCTGCAAAACCTTGGATATCTCAGGCAGATTCAAGTGTTGTTATTTAGAGAATATTATAAAATAAAAAATTAATCAATATGAGAATGCCTGTGTGGCTCTGTCCTTCAGTTAATCTAAGGGGAAGAATTCTGTCTGTTGACCTAGATAGGCTGAAGTTTTAGCAGAAGTCTGCTGTAATGCATTCGCTTTACAAACACCTGACTTGAGTAAATGTGACCGTAGAACTAGCTGTTTGTGTTTTGATTGATAGCTTCCTGTAAATATTCATAGAGTTGTCAATCATGCTACAGATTAACTGAAGTTTTTTTGTGCTTCAATTTCAGTAACCTCATGAAGTTTTGTTTCCTTCAGTTTTTATTTTTGTTTGTTCCCTGAGACCCCTTATCTCCCAAATGTGGTTTCATACTTGTATTGGTGGCTGGCCTCCAGATATCTTTGGCCAAGTGTTCATTCTTCAAGTCTAAGCCTAGGCAGTGAAGGTCCGACAGAAATATTATGGGGTTGGGTAAAATATTAGAAGTCACAGTAATAATGTTATGATTTCAGGTCATTCTGTCATTTTTGATGATTTTTCTTTTGGTCTATGATTTTTCCCCTTTCATGCATCAAGTGCTTGATTTATCATGTTTTTAGTCCTAGCATTTTAAATTTTACAGAATTTTCAAAGAAAAGGTCTTAAATTCAGTTTTAATTTGGAAGCCGATTTTCCACAGAATTCAAAAGGAACTGTGGAAAATCGGCTTCAGAACTAAGATTGAAATTAACACTGCTTTCCTAAATCCTAACAATTTAGTTAAATCTAAAATCATGAAGATATTCAGGCCCCAAGTCCTTTTTCTTCTCAGTGTAGCAGGAAGATGATCTGTAACCAAGCCTTAAATGGTGTTCTTGACCTTGCTTTTATTTTTGTCCCTTGTGTATAGAATTAATGCTTTGCCTCCGTTCAAACCTTCTCCAGCAATGTTCATTTCAACTCTAACCTAGCTGATGCTGATAACCGTTAGTGAAGCATCTATATTCATGCTGATGGACAATGTTCTCTTTGTTCTTATTTCAGTGGATCAATGACCTGGAAAGAGATCAGAAGTACCGTTCCTGGCCATCAAGTTATCAAGAACTATTGAGACCAACTTTTCCAGGAGTTATACGACAAATTAGGCGCAACTTTTTCAATTTGGTAAGCAATGTACAATAAAGATCAACATTTTGATTTTTAAAATAATTGTTTGATTTTTATATTTAGTGTTAGGAGATTTCAGAATTAGTGTCCATATTAGTCTGATGCAAAGGACCTTGACTGACAGTAAATGCAGTGGCAGTAAAACCTCAATGCACGTTCAGTTCTCTTACAAAATATGTTTCATTATTATCTCCATAGAAAGAATTCCCTATTGAGTATTTGTTCAAGTTGTCATTGTAGTAATACATTTTGTCTACAGGGTCTAATTTGCAAATCCAGAACTTCATAATGCTGAGTTGATAATGCTGATAATGGTGCTATAACAAAATTCCCCTGTAAATAAACTAATACTTCACTCACAGAGTGGAACATTGAACTACAAGATCTTGGATTTATCTGGAAAGTGCATGTTAATTTTTTTGAGAATCAGATCCTTGGCCAATTAGTATTTAGATGTCCCCTGGTACCGTTAGATCCTGCAGATTCATTATAAACTCTGGGAAAATGGGTTATGTTTTGCAGGCGTGGCTTGCAGTTCCATTAAAGCTAGACCACTTTCAACCTCTGTCTCTTTCTCATGTGCATCATCAGCAGTCAGCATGACAGTGCAGTGCATTTTCTCTCTAAACAATACATCACTCATCTGCACCACACCAGCTTTGGTGCTCCGCAATGTACAAATGTCTTCTATAGCCCATAAGTTATGTCTAAGCTAGTATGTAGCTCAAATGGAGCAAAGAAAAACCACCAGTGTGTAAACCCAATATCATAGCCTGTGCTGCTCATATATCCTGTTTATCACAATGGTTAAATAATGAACCTTTTAGCTCCGTTGCAGCATATTCCTAATGCTGAGCAATACTTTCCTTGCCAACAGTTCTGATAATAAATTAAAGATTTGCTTTTAACTCTGACACTGTTATCCATCCTTTATCCAGTGATGGTCTCTCTATCTGGGGAGGAAAATAAAAATGAATGGGTCTTAGTTATGGTGAAATTGACTATTTTCTTCGTAGCTATTGATTCTCTTAACAATCTTAATAGTAGAAACTATTTCAAACAGTTGTAACCATTTGCAGGTGGTGCACAAATGTAAGAAGTTTGGCTTGCAATAAATGATTGTAAACTGAGTTATAATATACAGTATTGATTACAGCCAGGCTGTTACTGCATTGTGGAGGATGGCATAGGTCATTTTCGGCATGACAATCTGAAGTCTAAAATTTGTTTAATAGAAAAATAAAATGCTGTTGTTAAAAGAACATAAGAAAATGGGAAAAGGAGACCATTCAGCCCTTTTCCCCTTGTTTCAATTAGTGTTTCCATGTGAAATGTCTGATAACCTTAACTGGACCTATGACTTCACTTCTGTATCGCACCAATCACCATACATGTTACTCCATGATATACAAACATCTCTTGCTGTTCCCCTATTAACAAGTTTGCCTGTCTTTTGGGGAATAGGAAAAACCGAAAGGTACAGAAGGTAGTTTGAGGGTTTTTTGTTTGAGGGCTTTCTTTGACTGAATTAGCCAAGGGGAAGTAATGACATTATGCATGGAAATAATAATGGAGAACATTGTTAATGACTGAAGAATTTAAAGTGGTGATCGGCAATAGTAGCAGCTTTATGTCAGCTATAGTAGTAATTTGACACTCTGTTCTGAAAATTGGCTCATTCAAATCAGCTAAACATCACACTGGTTTTGAAGAGGATGATTGTCTTATTTGTGGTTTAAAGCATATTGTTGGAGGGGAATAGATGAGAATAATCCTTGCATAGATGGTAAGCATTGGATAGAATTATTGCTGATCCATCTATAGAAGAGAGAGCTTGCTTTGTTTTCCAATTTTTAGTCACTAAACAAAGATAATTGCTAAGACAAATGTTTGAGTCCTACAAAGGTTATCATGCTTTGTGTGTTGGGCTATAATAATAATAATAATCCTTGCATTTGATATAGTGCTTTTCACGTCTTATCGACGTCTCAAAGTACTTCACAGAACAGACTGTAATTCACAGAATTGACCGTATATTTGTGGGCGAAACGCTGCAGCCAATTGCGCACAGCAGTGTCCCACAAACAGTCGTGGATTGAAAATGACCAATTTATTATTGTTTTTATTTTTTGGAGGGATTATTATTAGGTGTGTGGAGTAAGGAAACTTGTCAAAGGTTTTGCCCTGCCTGGAATTGAACTCAGGTCTCTCGCTTGCAAGGCGATTGTTCTAACCACTGAGCTACAGGACTCCACTTGAAGTGATCTGGGAGTGTATGGACACATTTTCTGTATTTCTACTATATATTGAACTGAACTTCGCCCACAAAATATACAGTCAATTCACTTTACAATATATTCCGTGAAGCGCTTTGAGACATAATAATAATCCTTGTATTTGATATAGCACTTTTTACATCTCATAGACGTCTCAAAGGCTTCACAGAATATGTTGTAAAGTGAATTGACTGAATATTTGTGGGCGAAATGCAGCAGCCAATTGCGCACCGCAGTGTCCCACAAACAGCTGTGGATTGAAAATGACCAATTTATTATTGTTTTTAGTTTTGGAGGGATTATTATTAGGCGTGTGGAGTAAGGAAACTTGCCCAACGTTTCGCCCTGCCTGGAATTGAACCCAGGTGTCTCAAAGATGTGACAAGGCGTTATATCAAATGCAAGGATTATTGTTATTACTATGTGGATGGTAATGAGGTATTGGTAAACCAAAATCAGTTTATCCACTTTCTTATGTAAATTCATTCCATTCCTTTTCTTCTCCCCCCCCACCCCCCACTCCACTCTCTGTCCTCAGGTGCTGTTTATTGATCCTACTCAGGAAGATACTGTTGAACTGGTGAAATTGGCTGAGCTGTTCCACAAACACAACATTCCCCTTCGGTACTGATTGAATAGAAGCATTTTTTGTTGCACTTTTATTCCAGTGAATATAAACGACAGTATTTCAACACTAGTTATCAGTTAAGAAATAACTAAAGCTGAGTTTAAGTGAAGCGAAAGCACTTTGCTTATCGGAGGGGACAAATCCTTTTTATTTTTAGTGTAAAAAATATTGGATAGGAAGAATATACTTTGTGCATGTGGATGTCCTGACCAGTTAGTTTCCTGTCGATTTCTGGATTTTCTTTCTCAGGAATTAAACTTACAAACTTCTATTTACATTGAACATCCGGAAATGCGGATTCACAGAATGTGAACGTGTGTTAGCATGACTCAGCTGGTAGGACTCTTGTCTTTGAGTGTGCAGTACCTGATATGAAGGTGTAGATGCTGCCATTATGTACAAATAAATACTGCATTCTGCAGTAAGAGAGGCACAGCTTATTGTCCAGGTGCTATGTTTTGCCATATTAGTGTCCTTTGTAAGTGAGCCTTGGTCTGTTTGATATGATCTATGTCTAGACATGCACTTTAATGGGTGTATATTAATATTATTCATTTTCTTTTCATGCAATTAGAATTGGTTTCGTCTTTGTTGTAAATACTGCTGAGGAGTTTGATGGCAATCAAGATGCAGGAGTTGCTCTTTTGAGAGCCTTTAACTTCATAGCAGATGACTCTGACCTATCACATGCATTTTCATCAATAGCATCAGTGAGTATGGAAAAANGATTAATCTGCATGAATCATAATTGCATCTGAACTGTGAGCTGCACTGAATATCTTGCTTCAGAAATTTATCCAGGCCATTTATGGGGATGAGCCTTTGGGTGACATTTTCGCTTGCATGCCAATATCACATTTCCTTTCACTTGATAAGAGGGAATGAATTTTGGATTAATCATTTTGCTTTGAAATGGTCAAACAACCATGCTATTGCTGTGACCTTTACTTCCCTGAACAATCACCAACTAAAATATTGTAGTTTGCGATGGACTGTAATATTTTTAGTACATTTTGTGGAGAACAGTAAAACCTAAATGTTGCACATTCTCTCATTTCTCGCAGCAATCACTACAACATTAGAGAATCACAGTGGGAGTGGGAGCAAGGGTAGATGTCCATATTATCTATTTCACTCTGCTAAAATGCCTTTTAATTCAGCATTTTTGTTCAATTGGGAAATAGATGATACCCATCAGATTCAAACTGTAATTTCAATATTATTATTTGATGTTATTTTAGCAGTAATGTATTAATGAATTATAGTAATGCATTCTAAATTATTTTTATTGTGTTAATTAATAATATCCTTTAACCTGTGACTCAATATCCGTTAAGATTAGTTACAAATGCAAGACACTATTCTACTGCTACATTTTACAATTTGTGCTTCAAATTGATGACAATTATGTGATGATGTGGAAATTTACATGAAAATGGAGTAATTGTATTCTCTTCATTTTCGTTTTCTTGTAGAAATCCAAATAACATCTCCATTGTTGGGGATAATTACACTGGTTATGTGTGTGCCTTAATCTGCATGTGGGTTTATTTGAGAACTGTTGCTACTTGGTAACTGACAAGTGAATGAGAACAATTTCAGCAGTGCCTAAAAATAGTATACTGAGATTTTTTAGAGTGACCAAGGGTTTTTAACTTGGTCTGTTGCTTTATTTGTCAGAAATGACTTAAATGTTTTTAACTGAATTATGTTGCTACCAAGATGTTTGGCAGTAGATTGGTCTACAGAAATCTTAGTGTACAACAATCTTTGTGCATGTGATATAAATGTTTTAAAATGCCAGAAGTTGGACACGATAGATCTTATTACAAATGAAGCGAACAAAAGGACTCGTGATCCTCTTCATGAGTAGTGATCTATCGCTAAGTATATTCTATTCTGTTTCACCACTTATTTTAAAATACATTCCTCATACACATGAAGGTGTGAATTCTATCAATTTCACTTGGATCAGTCTCTTGCAAATTCTTGGCTGGACTGAAGGATGGCCTGAACACTTATAGGGATATAAGTACATCAATTGCTATACCAGCAGTTCAATTGTAGAACATTTTAAGAGTTCTGCATAACTTCTTATTTACATACACATATACATCTCCAAACTTAGTAGCTAGTTATTCACAGCCCCCCTGGTCTATAAATTCCATTCTACAAATAAATAAGTTTCTGGACCATAACGGCATTAAATAATGCTGTTTTGGCATTAGATGTTAGTACTTGTAATTGCTGGAAGCAAACTGGAGTAGTTGGTGAAGTTTGGCATTCTTTCCAAAACATTGAAAAGAATATTATGTAAAGCAATGCTACAGGGAAACCACCAACAATGCCAGATGTTCACTAATGCGATTTCTAGATGCAAATTTGGGAAATTAACTTCATTTTCTTGCAGGATTGTTTGAGCACACACTGAAGAAACCTTGGAACAGAAAAAAAGACTTGTACTTTTCTGTCAAAGGTCCTTGAGAGAGCCGTTGCCTCCCAGCTTCGCTCTTTCCTTTCCTCTCACTCCCTCCATGAGCCCCTCCAAATGGGTTTCCGTACTGGCCACAGCACAAAAACTATTCTAGTCAAGGTCACAAATGACATTCTGACCATGTGTGACCAGGGCTCCCTCTGGCTCCTTGATCTCTCCGCCGCTTTTGACACTGGACCATTCAATCCTCCTCCGCCGCCTCTCCTTCCACCTCAACCTTCAAGGTTCTGTCCTTGATTGGTTCAGGTCCTATCTTTCACACCGCCTCCACTTCGTCTCAGCTAACGGCTTCTGCTCCAGCCCCACACCGTCTTGTGCGGTGTTCCTCAGGGCTCTGTCCTCAGTCCCCTCCTCTTCACCCTCCACATGCTCCCCCTTGGTGACATCATCCTCAGACATGGAGTAAATTTCTACATGTATGCGGATGACACCCAACTCTACCTCTCTGCCTCCACCCTCAACTCCAGGACTACTGGCGTCCTGACCGACTGCCTGTCCGGCATCAAGTCCTGGACGAGGGACAACTTTCTCCAGCTGAACGTCAGCAAGGCCGAGGCCCTCCTGATTGGCTCGTGCCAACGCCTCCACACCTTGGCGCAGGCAGCATCAGCCTCCACGGCTAAACACTCAACCTCACAAAGCCAGTCAGGAACCTGGGTGTTTTGTTTGACCCTGAACTGTCCTTTCTCCCCCACATCCGCGCCATGACTGGCACTGCCTACCACCACCTTCACAACAATGCCAGACTCTGCCACTGCCTCACCCCTCAGGCTGCCGAAACCCTCACCCACACATTCGTCACCTCAAGGCTCGATTATGGAAATTCCCTCCTCATTGGCCTTCCCAACTTTTCCCTTCACACGCTGCAGATCATCCAAATCTCTGCAGCTCGTATACTCTCACCACCAGGCTCCGTGGCCCCATCACTCCCAACCTTGCCCGACTCCACTGGCTCCCCATCCCTCAGAGGATCGAGTTTAAGATCCTCATCCTCACTTTCAAGGCCATCCATGGCCTTGCCCCCTCCTACCTCTCTGATCTGCTGACTCCCTCCCAACCTGCCCGTTCCCTCCGTTCAGTGGGCTCCGGCCTGTTCCATGTCTCCTGCTCGACCCGCCCTACCATCGGTGACCAGGCTTTCAGCCTCTCTGCCCCCACACTCTGGAACTCCATCCCACGGTCCCTTTGCCTCGTTTCCTCCCTTGCCTCCTTCAAGGCCAGTCTCAAGACCCTCCTCTTCAATTGTGCCTTTGGTCGCCCTCCCACCTCTCTGCTTTCCCTCACCCCTACACCACCCCACCCCCATGCTCGGGTCCTGATCCGTGATTGTCCAGTGCCTTGGGACGTCCTCCCGACGTGAAAGGCGCTCTCTAAATGTAATTTTGTTGTTGTTGCTGTTGTTGTACTGGATTCATATTGTGTAGAGTATGGTGACTATATTTTGTGGTCAAATGCAACATCCAATTTGCTCATAGCAATGATCCACAAATAGCCTTGAAGTGAACAACCAATTTTATCTGGGGGATTGTTGACCAGGATACCAGGAGAAACTTCTTCTGTTGCAATTTGACTAATGTAATGCTAATGGTGATGTAGAGGGGAAAATAACAATTGTTGGGAAAGCAATCTAAAATAAATAAGTTATTCAGACAGAGTTTCTGTACCATAATGCCATTAAATAATGCTGTTTTGGGGTTAGATGTTAATACTTGTAATTGCTTTCAGAATATTGATGAAGAATTTTAACAAGTTAGGAACAGATTTAAATTGCATTATTGATTCATGCTTTTTTGTGTGTGTGAAAGAGATTAATGGATTAGATTAGTGCATTGAAATAGGAATCAGTAAAACACTATGTCCAGTTCTTTATTGTGAATTTATCTTTCTAATGAGCTCCACCTTGTTAAATAGTTAAGGTAAGAAGCAGAGATTTTTAAAGTAAAAATAAGATTAATGCTGCAATTTTATTTATTTATTGATGTTCATTATTCTTGCAGATATACAATAAAGTGCAGGATGGAGAAGTGCTTACTATGGACCATATAGCCAGTTTTATGAAAAAGAAGTATCCAATGGTTGATGTAAAAAATATTTTTGGAATCGATTCTGAATTTGATGACCAAAGGAAGGTAAATCATTTATATCTAGGCTATACTTTTGTGTACAGTGAAATTTGAATTCAGAACAGGCAGGTGAGTGGCTGAGAGTTTCAATGTTGAGCAATAAACAATTGAACTTTTTTTAAAAAGAAGGTTAAAACAAAACCTGATTAGCTGTTGTGTGTAACAATCAGGTACAATGTCCTTTTTAGTCCTGTCCTGATCCATTGTCCTACAGTTCTATTGATTACTGAATATGTGGATCCTGCAGTTTAACTATTTTCACAGTCCAGGAGCCCTGAAAATTCACCTATTCTTAGGCTTAAGACCATTGTTTTAAGGCTCAATATTGTGTGGAATTTTGGAAATCTTTTATTCGGTCCTGATTTGAAAGCCAATTTTTTTTTGGCACCACAGAATGTCTGCATGTAAACTAAGTCTGAACTTAAGATTGCTTTCCACAATTCTGCAAGGTTTTAAATTTTAAAGCATTGGTTTTAAGCCTAAGAACATATAAAAATTTCAGGCCTCTTGTTTCAAAGAAATTAAAGATTAAAACTCTGAGGTTTTCATTAGTAAATCAGTTCAAGTAAAACAATTACCTTCATAATTGAGTGATTCCTATTTCTTGAATAAAATGATACTTAATCATCAATTATTCCTTGAAAACTGCTAGTCTTAAAAACTTAAAATCAATTTCACTGCTGAGTAATTTTATTCCTCGAGAATTGTTTGTTTTCTTGTCCAATGTAGATATTGTGCTCTGCAGTATTCTGTCCATATTCCGTTTTCCTTCCATTTGATCTTCTGTAAATTAAAATATTAGTTACTTTAGTCTGGAAGCTGCAGCTCTTGCTATCTTGAGAGACTGTGGCATTGGCTCCAAGACACACAGTTCCAGTGTCATGGAGCTTGGTATTTTATACCCAATGCTTTATTGATTAGAGTCGGGGCTTTTTGAGTCAGGAGCACAAAACCAGTATCCCAGTTATATTATCAAATTTCATATATGCACTTCTCGAAATAAATTTAAAATATTTAATGGATCCAAGCATATCATTTGACGAGACCCCAAAGTCTTAAATTAAGTTGGAGTCGTAATACAGATAATGCTGGCACTTACGGTTTGAGCAGGAGAGTGAGCCCACCCACATTTTGTTAAATATTCCTCCCAGGTACAACTCCTGCCTGCTCAAACACCTAGTGTGTTATCCACTTGTCAACAGATATTGAGTCTCAATTCAGGCAAGTATTCAATCGAGTTTGCAGGTTTGCTGGTCATGACATGACCACTGCCACACCAGTCACAAACAACAGGAACCAGAGTAATTGTTGGTCTTTGGGTCATACAGTTATTTGAGGAAGAAAGCGGTTCATTTAAAAAAATTGTAGGTCAAACAACAGCCCAGTTAAGAACCAAACTGAAGTTTCAGAACCCAAATTAAAACCTTGCAAAGTTTTATTATATTCTATGGATAATTTTAAGTTCAGGTATATTATTTGGCTTCAAAATGCTTGCTTCACATTACCTTCATTCATGAGAGAAAGAAAAATCACTCAATTTCAAAATCTAAAGAACGTGTTTAAATGGACTCCTGTTTGTTTATTGGCAAATATACTTGTCAGTGTATATATTTTGTTTGTCATTTTCTGTCTGAATTTACAAAGCTTGTTGCACACAGAAGCAATGGTCAATGTATAACCTAGCTCTCAAACACAGACTCAAACTATTCCTGGAATTCACACTATGCATAATGTCAAAACCATTTCTTATTTTAACTGCCTCATTGTAATAATCTTTTTAAGTGGAACACTTTTTCGTAGTGAAGAGGAAATGCTGTATTTATTTTTTGATATATGTACAGGAAGGAGGAACCTTTTACAAAAAGACTGGCTTGGGTCCATTGCCACAAGCTCTTTTTAATGGCGTGCCGTTTAACATAGATGAGTTAGATGCTGAAGAGTTGGAGACATTTCTACTCCAAAAGATGATGGACACAGCAGGGTTCTTCCAGAAGGCAGTTTTTATGGTACGTTTGTATTTATATTGTGTTAGAAAGATGAATACAGTACTCAGAAAATAATGATTTAAATATTATTTTGCAATAAATGCAGCTCTGTCCATAATGATTACATTGCACAGAAAATACTATCCTTTTACTGGGTGGTTATTGATGGATGATTTTGCTGAGTCAATTATGAGTTTCTAAAACTCAAATACATATTAGGATATGTATGACTCATTAAATAGCACAAATTGCAGAGATCACATTTACCAGGAATTCATAGATTATCGAATGGAACTACAAAGCAATGCAACAAATGATTCAATTTTATTTGCAAGCTACAATAAATGATTTGTATTAAGAAAGATTAAACGGTCAAGTGCTGTGAGAAAGGTAAAAGGTGCGAGATGTAGTAATGAGACAAGAAAATGACATTAACTTAGGTATGGATTATAGATTAAGTATTAGATTATTTTAGTTGAGGCTCCACAATTGGTCTCAATGTCCTCTCGGTTGAAGAGCGGAAAATCAGCTAAGGATTCCACTAGCTAGAGACACCACTTTCCCTGTTGGAAGCTGTATATGTGTAAATATTGAGTGTGGGTAGGATTAAGATGAGGTATGAATAGCTTATCAACATTTACTGTCAAAGTGAATAATGGTCACATCAAATGAAATACAGAACAGTCCTATATACCCAGTAAAAGGAAAGAGATGTCAAGCAAGATGAGAAGAGAATGAGAAAAAGACATTTGTTGAGGGGAAAATAAAGTAAATTATCATTTTATTTGCCTAGTTAAGGCCTTGTTGGCTACTGAGTTAAAGCACTTTGGGACATCCTCCTGATCTGAAATGCACTACTGCGTGCATTTAAATTTAAATTTGTATTATGTTATAAGATGAATGAAATAACTCATGAGTCTACTTGCACTGCAATATACATTAAATGAGAACCATTTCTGTTTATCTGAAAACCCAATACATTTAATTCCTATTTGATCCCTTTCTGTGGTCTAAAGTGAATTTACTCCAACATAAATTTTGTTACAGAAAGTTATCCAGGTAAACTTTTTCAGTAAAATGAACTGTAACTTTGTTTTTTGTGACTGCTTCTGCAGTTTTGAGGCAATTGTTTTTGGTATTCATCTGAATAAGCTTGCATTCAATTTTATATCAATCCTGTAGTGTAGTGGTTAATGCGCTCGCTGGCAAGCGAGAGGACCCTGGTTCGATTCCTGGGTGGGGTGAAACCTTAGGCAAGTTTCTTTACTCCACATGCCTCTGTTTCCCTAGCAATAAGTAGAAATGCTTTGTCAGTCGATTGTCGGATCTCTTTCTGGGGATAATAATCCCGCAAAAAAAAAGGAGCCAGTTCAGCTCCAAGGAGACCCTTCTTACACCCATGCTTGTCAGATGTTAAATGACCAATTAGTGACTATCCTCCGGGGGGAAGGGGGGAAGGGGGAGTGAATGTAAGAAGGGTCTCCTTGAAGCTGAACTGGCTCCGTTTTTTTTTGGTCATTTAATATCCGACTAGGTAGATGGTACTATACTACCTGCGAACTTTCGAGTAGGCAACACAGCTCAGCATAATATGCATGAGAGCATTGCCACCATCTTCTTGTCCACAGCTTGGACACGCATTCCTTCCCAATACAATATAAAAATACAATACAAAATTACATTTGTATAGCGCCTTTCATGTCCGGAGGATGTCCTGAGGAGCTGGACAGTCAGGGATTTGGACCCAAGCAGGGTGGGGAGAAACTAATGAGCGATGGTTCCACCAGTTGGAATTTCTGTGCATAATCTCTTGGAGTTAGTTGCATATTTCTATTGTCGCTAGGTGAGGTAAGAAACTAGATTGAAACTGGGACTGTGCTTAAGCATCTCTTGAAGTCAGACCAAGAGTAACCAAGGCTTATACCAGGGCATCTTTCTATTGGCTCAAATTCTAAATGAACATAAGTGTAATTTTTAAAAGTTGATGCCTTGATAAGCTTGCATTCTTCTATTCCAGCATAGAACTTGTTTTGCTATTCATCTTACCTTGTAGTAGACAGAGACTATTGTTGTGCTTATTAAATTCAGAATGTTTCTAAAAATATGAGCTTTTAATGCAACTTAATGCCTACTTGGTGCCACATTAATTTATCTGCTAATGGGGATTAATTTAGTTTTCTTGGCAGCTAATTAAAATGCTGCGATTTACTTTATAATGCACTAAAAACATAAAGCCCACTAAGGTTCAGACTTCCACTGGCCCCCCATCCTTCAGAGGATAGTGTTCAAAATTCTCGTCCTCACCTTCAAGGCCCTCCATGGCCTTGCTCCTTACTATCTCTGCAACCCTTATCAACCTGTCCACTGCCTCCGCTCAGCAGGCTCTAGCCTGCTCCATGTCCCCCACCTGGCCCACCCCACCATCGGCAGTCAGGCTTTCAGCCTCTTTGCCCCCACCCTTTGGAACCCATCCCACATTACCTTCACCTTACTCCCTCCCTTGCCTCCTTCAAGGCATGCCTCAAGACCCTCCTCTTCGACCATGTCTTTGGCCACCCTCCTTGCCCTCTAACCCCCTGATCCCAACATCCCCTAAGCCCCACTCGGGTCCAAACCTCTGACTGTCCAGCACATTGGGATGTCCTCCCGACGTGAAAGGCGCTATAGAAATGTAATTTTGTATTGTATTATACAAGCAATTTAATCATAAAAATCTTATTCCAGGGTCATTTAAATGAACATACTGATGTGGTGGATTTCCTGATGGATGAGCCCAATGTAGTTGCACGTATCAATCCCATTATACTGAACACTGTGAGAAAATACCTTGATCTCACACCCAAGGCAGGTACTGTCATTGTAATGGTCATCTTACTTCAAAAATATCTTGAAAGAAATTATTTTTGTGTTAAAGATGTCATTTCTACCTTTTTCTTTAAACATCTCTTGTTCTTAGTTATAAGTGATTGGAATGATTTCTCCACGTATTCCTTCTTGGACACACGAGACAAGAGTGCAGTAATTGCTGATAATATGGAATACCTCACAAGAAAAGGTACTATGAGCTAGTTGTGAATGCAAATGCAGCTTTCTATTCAACACACACACGTGTTTCTGATTGATAAATCTCTGCGATTTACCATCTCCTCCCAATAATACCAAGACATGTTGTGTTTTCATCACCTAACGCTCGTGCACACGTGCATCATTTGTGAATATTGGTTCTTTTTGCATATATGCTTGTAGCATAATTTACATTTATATAGCACCTTTCATGGAAAATAAATAATAGTAAAATACAATAAAACTCACATAAATCTTATCAGTCAGGACCCCTAACATTTAGTATGACTTGCGTGAGGTCCGAGTTACAGGCAAACTGTATAAATCGTATAAAATCTGATTTAATCAATAATCTACACCGCACATGCGTCATTCAGTGGAGCCAGTAAGTGATCATGGGATAATTTGTCACTCCAGCTGGTGAGTGTGCATGCGATGACGTGTCAAGACTATGTTTCCCACGATTCAATGCGTCTTGACCCGTCAGTGCATGCACACTTACCAGCAAGCATTGGAAATGCATTAAATGACAGGAAAAGAAGTTCTTCTTCCCAATGCTTCAGTGGGTCAAGACTGTTTCCCACGATTCAAAGCAGTTGACCGGTAAGTGTGCATGGATCAATGGGTCAGGACATCACTTCTCATGATTCAATGTAATGCAGGAATAATGGAGAATAGAGCTGCATTGCGAGTTAGGAGGTGATTAATATGTGTAGTTCAAATAAAATCTAAGTGGTTTTGATAGGAAACTGAATGCGATTTGGGTGAATATACAGTTACATATAGATAGCACCTTTCACATCAGGAGGAGATCTCAAAGAATGTCATAGGATTTGCTGTAAAGTGTAATGACTATGCATTGTGTAGGCAAATTGTGATAAATTAAAAATGAAGTGAATGTTGTGGATGCAAATACAGCAGCTAATTTCCACCGCCAACAAGAATGAACTGAGTAGCCAATAATTTGAATCAGGACCTATAACTCTAACATAGCTTATATGTAATGATCCATACCAACTTGATAAGTACTGTATATTTTACTATACCCGATTAAGACTCAGATGGGGTTCCACCAATGATTCAGTGAGATTGACTGATTTACAATTGATCCTGGATTTCATCCCCAATCTGTGCTGCGTTAGCTGATCCGGTGACTGTTTTTTCTGGTTGTTGGATAAAGATAGGTTTGGGCTTGACTGTGATGCTTCCAATGCAGTCAATTAGGCTGTTGACATTCGCTGATTGTTGTGCTTTGTTGACAGCAGTTTCATGTTGTCTGGAAATCTTCAGCAAATAATCAGTGAGTGCATCCAAATCCCTTTCCTTCTGCAACCCTGCTAATGGGCACACCTTCATGTGCACACATAGTTACTGTTTCTTGTTCCAGTATGCGTGTGGGAGCGAGAGACAGCATCTATAAAGTTGAACTGTCTCAAAGTGCTTCACAGTAATTGATGTTACGTGTACAGTAGATTTTGTACTTTAAACTTTTTCTGCAGGAAAACACACCAGCCATTTTGCACACAGCATAGTTTCACAAACTGTTATGAGCTGAATGAGCAATTCATCTGGATGTGTCAGGACACCAGGAGAAACTCCCTTCTCTTTTGAATTAGTGTCAATTGTCCTTAGTGAAGAAAAGACCTTGGGTTTCCATCTTATCCAAAGGACAATAATCCTCACATTTGATATAGTGGCTTATAACATTGTTGATGCATCTCAAAGTGCTTCACAAGATTTACTGTACTAGATTTCAGCGCCTTGGGACATCCTCCCGACGTGAAAGGCGCTCTATAAATGGAATCTTGTTGTTGTTGTTGTACTGTAAAGTGTAGGTGAAGAATGGCATCCAACGAAGCAGCAGTCATTCAATGTACTGTACTATAATGTCAACCTAGACCTGAACTTGCATTCCATCACGGGGCTTGAACCCACAACCTTCTGATCTTGAATACCTTGCAATGATCTACTTTAAAATCCTTAAATCCTTGACCCGACTGCTTACTTAGTCAAAATCTTCCTGGATAATAATAATAATGATATTCCTTGCATGTGATGTAGTGCCTTATAATGACATTGAGCCGTCTCAAAGTGCTTCACAAGATATACAGTAAAGTGTTTATTTTTATTTTCAGAAACTGCACAAAATGTATAGTTTCTGGGCAAAATGGAGTTATTTATTAACCAAACAGCTTGGTTTCATCAGCAAATTGTACATTATAAGAATTATCAAGAATGTTCAAAAAAGATTCCCCCCCTCCCCACCCCCTTGCAGATTTCTCCCAGCATTCAGAGCATAAGAAGTTCCTGCATTCTGTCAAAGAAAAAGTGAGAGAGCAGTGTGAATAAGGCTGAAATGGTTTGAGATAGCAAACTCCAGGAGGCATTCAGCCACCAATGTTTTTTTTAAAAAATATATAATTCAAGTAGTTTCTGAACAGTCAGTATGTACAAAATTGGAAGCCAAAGTATCGGCTAATTAGGTTTCTCTGTTGCTAAAATGAGAGAACTCATCATCTAGAGAACAGCTACAGTTGCTGGCACTTAATGTGGCATTCCATTATAAAGCCAACAGTTTTGTTATTTATTGTTTCAAGGGATCTGATCTTTTGCCAGATAATCAATCCATCTACAAGATCCCAAATAGTCCTCTACCAAAGTACTCTGTTAGCAGTTATTCATAGTAATGAGAACATAGAGAAAAGCACGCACATTATGAGCTTTGCATTGTTTAGGTTGTGACCTGCTGTATTCATAGGAAACCATAAAATTAAAGCTGTATTTTCAGCTGGCAACTTACTTTTTCAGTCTTCTTGCTGTTGAACCAGTAGGATTTACTATATGGCACTGACTGCCTACAATTACTTCTCAACTCTGTGTTACCCAAAGATTCGTCCAACAGATTTTGGATTAATGGTTTCAGTTACCCCTGGGCATTTTTTGGGTCTGCTCCATTAATATTCAAGATTTCCGAGGTTATGTAACATATTCAATCTCCAGACTTATCGCATCCTTGTGTAGTGTTATTTGATGTTTGTCTAGATCATATTTGTGACACATGAAGACATTCATATTTAGAATATCAAAGGAAGCCTGTATATTGTGTTCAAATCTTTCAGATTCCTGAATTAATTCAGGATAAGCTGAAAAACAAATGCTTCTGTGCGATTGGAAGTAATACTTAATAATTTTCAGGGATGGATTGCAGATTTGTATGCAAGTATTTCCATCAGATTGCTTTTTTATTAATTTCTTTCATCAACAATAATAATACTGGCATTTGTTATAGCACCTTATCACGTCATTGAGACACCTCAAGCACTTAACAGATTATCGTGTAAAGTGGATTGACTGAGTATTTTGTATATTGCTATGCAGCCAATTTCGCACAGCAGTATCCCACAAACAACCATAGAGTGAGTGACCAATTTTCTCGGCCTCCACCCTCGACTCCAGGAGCACTGCTGTCCTGACCGATTGTCCGTCAGACATCAAGTCCTGGATGAGAGCCAATTTCCTACAGTTGAATGTCGACAAGACCGAGACCCTCCTGGCTTAGCTCCCGTCAGTGCCTGCTCATCTTAGGCGCTGACACTATTCATTGATGCACTCTCCACCTCACGAGCCAGTACGGAAACTTGGTGTCTTGTTCGAGCTTCAACTATATTTTAAACCCCACATTCTGCCTTCCCCCACCTCTGCAACATTGCCTGGTTCTGCCACACATCTCTACCCTCAAGCTACTGAAATCCTCATCCATGCTTTCATTACGTCCAAGCTTGATGATGCTAACTTACTGCTCGCTAGATTTATTTATCTTCAGATCAAATTACATTCTCTCTTCCACTTGCATTTTGGTACTAGTTTAGTTCTCTGCAAGACACTGTGATTTCCATACAGATTAGAAATAGTTTCTGTCAAAAATGCATTTATCTTGGGTTGTTTATGATTTTTTTTTGCTTTGTTATTGACACAGTTGAATTGATTATTTGTCCTGTAAGCATTGTACCTCTGGCTCTTCAATCTCAATCGGTGCTGCTCAGCCTTCAGTGACTACCAGCTCCTGGACTCAGGATTTGCATCCAATACCATGGATCACTTCCAGCAATTGCCTTCCATTGCTATGAGTTTCAGAAGTGTATAGCCTAGACCAAACTTAGCAAATGATTCATTAGTCAGAAGGCTATTTCTACCTACAGGGATACCCAAACTCATATCCCACTCCAATTCAGGGGAGGCTAAATTGAGTGGAAGCAAGAGTGTTCCAATTGTTCAATGCTGTTTCTTATTTTGTGAGTTGTTCTTAATGTGATTAATAACTGCTCTGTCACAAATGGGGACTCCTAGTAAAATGAGGTAAATCTCATTTACCAAGGGAACTCAGTTCCAGATGTAGATCACAGTAATGCTGAATGAAATAATGACTTTTTTTGTTGCTTTCAGGTGAGGACATCATTTATGCAGTGTCTATCTGGATTATTGGTGATTTTGAGACGTTAGCCGGGAAAAGATTACTTTCTAATGCTTTACAATACCTTGTAAGTTTGTCATAATTTAACTATTCTTGGAAGTGTTATATTGGTCTTACAAATGTGCAAAAAAAAAAGTAAAGGTCTTCACTGCTTCTCTACCAAAGACTTGTATGAGGTTTATAGGGTGATATGCTAAACGTTACCATGTACCTCCTGCCACTTTTCTCCTTTAGTTAGTGTTTTGTGCAGAAAATATCCATATGTTGAATGTGTGAAGACCGTTGGCAGACACCAATGTGGCTCTCATTAAACAAAAATTTTTTTCCAAATGTGATAGGTATAGATTACTTGCCCCTTACTTAATACGTAAGGTAATAACATTGAGAAAGTTTGGTGAAGAGACCATGGTGCCAGGTACCACCAGCGCTGAAAAGAGCAAAGGATAAGTCAAGAAATGGTAACATAGCGCCCATCTTAGACTGTAGAGCAAAGGAGAAGACTAAGGAATTTGAGTAGTTGTACATTTGAAGGTTGTGGAAATTGGTAAACTGTGGAATGTAATATTCATTTTAACAGAGAGAGGAGGAAATCTGTGGTAAATTACAAATTTGTAGTTTAGGTGGAACAAGAGATTGTTTTCAAAGATTAATTGTAGTACTGATAAAGTATAGTTCAGAAAGGTTTAGATGTTTAGAGTTAAGAAAGGGGCACGTGAAGAGTTTGGGTTAGGTACAAGGAGATTCTCCTTGTGCGTTGGTGTGTATCTGTCTGAAATTAGAATTACAAACTTAGATATAAGAAGAGGCCTTTTGTTTCTTCATAGTATAAACAGAGACCAACATCAAGATGAATATCATCTCTGAAATCTTGGTCAATGAGGAAAGAGAAAATATTTTTCCTGCCCAATTGAAAGGAACCAGAAATTCTGAATGACCAGAAGTGTAATACATATCATATAAGTCAATTGACAAATCATGGGTTGATGCTAAATTTTTCTAGGATACAGACCAGATAAACCCAAACAGCATTATTGAAATTCTTTAAGGTATTATGTCTCTCTTGGATATTATGTGGATAGCTGTCAATGTCTGTTATATTTAGCTGCCACTTGATTTGTTTACCCTTGTTCACAGTAACACTAATGTTGAATAACACATATTTCACCTCCTGTGTTGAGCTAAATGCATTTGTATATAATCTTGAGTTAAATCACTCATGCTCTGCTGTTACAGCTTCTTATTTTCATTGTAGCATTCTCATTGCTTTTTCTAAGCTTTCTCCCATCCCTCCTCCTGCCCCCTTTTCTTGGAACATCAGTGTTTCGCCCTCTTGTTTACTTAGCAGTAAGTAGGAACGTGGTCGTTAGTCGATTGGCAGATCGCTTTTCCAGGAGTAATAATCATTTTTAAAAAACAATTGGTCACTTCAATCCACGACTGTGGGACACTGCTATGTGCAATTGGCTGCTGTGTTTCAACCATAAAATATACAGTCAATTCACTCTACAGTATATTCTGTGAAACGCTTTGAAACGTCTCGAAGACATGATAAGGCGCTATAGCAAGAATTATTATTTATTATAAAATATACTGAAAATTCACTTTACAGTATATTCTGTGAAGTGCTTTGAGACGTCTCAATGATGCAATGTCACTATATCAAATGCAAGGATTAGTATCAGGTGATTGATCATTTGTTTTTCAATATCAGTTTTCCCTACTAAAAACATATGCTAGTAAAAGGTGTGTGGACCTTAATAATAACAATAATAATAATAATCCTTGCATTTGATATAGCACTTTTCAGGTCTTCTAGATGTTTCAAAGTGCTTCATAGAATATACTGTAAAGTGAATTGACTGTAAGTTTGTGAGCAAAATGCGGCAGCCAATTGTGCACAGCAGTGTGTATCTACAGAAAGGTAAGAATCACTTTTGATTAAATACTGCAGTACTAATTGTAAATAATCCCTTGTACCTAAGGCTGCTGCCATGAGCTGTTGTATTATTTATGAGAAATATTACAATTACTTTGCTGTATTCATAAATAATGTCAGTGCAGGACTGCATTAAATGTCTATGAAGAAAAAAGGTGCTAATTGAAATCTCGGCATTTTTCTTTCCTCAGACGTTGAACTTTTCATGACCCTTATAAAGCAGCTGCTGTGTGAGCTGGTCAGCCCACTGGGGATAAGATAGACTCCCAGGAATTAAATTAATTTTTCATTGAAAACTTTGATTAAAATGAAGGACTTTGAGCCAGTATATTGCATAATTGGTCTCATCAGCATGTAGTAGTGTTGCAGCAATTACAGCAGGTACATTTTGATAATAATTTTATAAAATCTGAATAGTGAAGACTGATCGCGAATAGAGATCACAGTGCAAGGAAATGGGGCATTCCTTTTGACAACATCAAATACTCAAAAGGCCATGGATACACAGGTCAGATGCACCTTCTACATCATCTTGACAATATGCCCAGCCCCCATCACAAGGAATGTCCCTTGCTGCCTCCGGTGAGACATTTTTTCCATTTCCCACATCCTATCCTTGACCTGCTTGATGACATTAATACCAAATTGAAGCTGCATTTTGCCTTGTCAATTGTATCTACTGGGAGCTGGATTGAATCTGTCCAGGTCTGCACCTTGAAGTCCCGAACAGCTGTTGGAGAGACAAAGCTATCATGATTCTGTCTGTGGCTTTGAACCCAGGTCCCACTGGTGAATGAAGAGATTTTGTTGAACATGTTGTGAAATCCAGCATTGCAATCTGACTGGCTGTTTCTAAAACGAGAACAAAGAACTTGTTGAAAGTTTGGAATTGATTAATTATTTTTAAGTGCTACTAAGTAAACTGCAAGGGTCTTGCTATTTTAGTGAAAATGTTTCTACCGTAACATAGAGCAAGCACTCGAAACCGAGATCCAAACTGGTTTATATCAGATAATCCAATTGAACTCTATATTTGTATAAAAGCGATCTATTGCAGCAAACTACCCTTGAAGCTGAAAAATATAATATTGATAGTAGTATCCATTATATTTGGAGAAGAAGGCAGTATTCTTAATGAATAGTGATGGGAGGGCATCAGAGGTAATGCAGTTTCCCCAAAATGAAAGGCATGTGTAGAATAATGATACACTAAAGTACTTAAAACTATGTCATGAAACCGAGAGTAGTATATTGCCTTCAGATAAGGAAATCAATAATATGCAAACATGTGAGAGATTATTGATGATCATCACTGCAGTAAAGTGGGGCATTATTACAGCTTCAACATCCACCTTGTATTCAATCTCCTTTCTTTCCCCATCCCTTTACACATTTTTGTTTGAATATGTTTAATTGTTTTGAGTAAATAACTTCATGTTATTTTCCCTTATATAGCTCAATTCTACACTCTGATTTTTATTTTGGTCAAGGGGAGCCTCTAACACTGGAGAAAAGAGACTCATGCTAATTCCCCAGTTTTAGAGGGAAGAGCCTATGCAGAATAACTAGATAAGATGAAATTCTTCAGCCTTGAAACGACTTGTCTCATTTACACCTTACAGTGGTGTATAAAATACTTCACAGGATGGAGCAAGTAAGCCTGGAATAATATATTTTATATTACATATCCTGGACAGGAGGGCACAGGTTGTTAAGGATAGACAGCATTTCTTTAAACCAAAGGTAAAAAAAAAAGCTTTAAACGTACTATAATAATAATCATTGATATAGCATCTTATCAAGTCATTGAAACATCTCAGTCGTTTACCCAATTTACAATAGAATATAGTGACTGTGGGTAAACACAACGATGACGATAACAACTTACATTTATATAGCGCCTTTCACGTCAGGAGTACCAGGAAGGGTGATTGAGGGCAGAATACTGACTCAGTTAACAGACAGATTGAATCTGCAATGGGAAGGGTTGAAACCATCAAATGAACAGGAAGGTTTTCTTCATCTTAACCTCTCTGGTGATCTTGTATCCATTGCATTGTCGTCAAAGGAATTATATCAATGTTTTTCAGAGAATCTTCATAATCCTGCCCTTTGTTTCATTTCTTTTTCCAATTTAGAAGCTTTGAATTTGTGTGTATCAACAGTGTCATCACTTTTCAATCCAACTAGAGATACATAAAATGCTGTTACATTTCGCTCTCCTTCCCCCACACACATTCCCAAATGCCCCACACTGTTTTCTGAACAAAGCGAAGACAGGAACATGTGGCTTCGATGACTCTCTATAATGCTTGAGTTATCTATTAAATGAAAGATATGAATTTGCATTTTTATAGCATCTCATCAAGTTGAAATAAGTTGAAATCCTTCACAGATAATTGCTGTGTGTAGGGCCAGTCTTGTGTAGGGCTTGCTGGGACCAACAAGATGCAAATAGGTATGAAGTGAATGACGAGTTGACCTGGAGGATTTTCTCTTCAGCCCCCAATCCCCAGCTCTTCTGTCTGAGTCTGGGAACTCCTTATGTTGTTTATTTCACATCGAAGGTTTATCTCATGTTTATCTTCTAGGGGAATATTAGTACATCACTGCTTTGATTTAAAAGCACATTGAAAATCCTGCTGAATTTTCTAAAAAGTTGACCTTTATTGAAAGTGTCAATTTTTGTGAAGCATCTTACAATATCATCAGAATTGATAGATCAAATACTGGCTTTGCAATAAGCGGTGGACAATGAGATTCATGTTTAAAGAGAGCCAGAGTCTGCATAATTTGAATTACTTCATACTGCAAGGAGCCATCCTGAAATGCATGTAGTAGTTTTAAAAAGCTCCATATTTCAATTACCTTATTTAATTAGCTACAAGAACTATTAAGATAGCCTTACGCCTTTTACATTTCAGACTATTTAGTTGTTACTTAAAATCCCAAGCATTTAAATTTATTGATTCTTAGATTTGCAAAATGACAAATACAAATTAGGAAAGATTATACTTTTTAAAAAAAAAACACTTATGGGAGTATGGGACTGAAACTAGAGGCCGACTAATATTCTTGCAGAAAATATCAAGCTTTATATATTTTTCTTCGCAACATACTCTGAAGTCCTGAAATCTCATTGTAGGCAGCAGCTGAAATAAAAACTTCTTAGAGCATTAGTTTGCTATTATTTTAATTTCCATTGTATTCAGAATTGCCTAAACCAACCCAAGATGTTAGCCTTATTCCATCAACGCCATTAACATTTGCCATTCTAGCTTGTTTTATTTTTTTTCTTTATTTTTGTTTCTCAATCTCAGGAAGTGAAAAAGGATGTTTTTTTCCAAACATCCTTTTTCACTTCCTGAGATTGTTTAAAACATTTGTAAATTTTCACTTCATTCATTTTCCTGCGTTTATAGCTCTCTGTAATTCATTTTTACCATCTTTGATATATCCTACAGCCCCACTGTATTGCTTAGAGTTTCAACTTCCCACATTTGATTCTCCAATTTTTATCGCCAAATTATGTGCACTGTATTGGCTTGCAGAGAACAGAAAGCAGTATTTTATATAGAGAATTGCATTGGATTTGGACCTTGAGAACACCAAGGTAGCTGACACGGGGCAAGTTGTTCTGTAAAGGTCCTCCCACTACACTGAAGGCAGTTGTCTGCCAGACAGGAAGAAACTCTGAAGCTTGGGACGTGGCGTCAGAGTTTGTGAACATACGATTGTGCATCCAGTGCCTGGAATCCACCTTGCTTGGCTTGAAGAGAGGTGGGCAGCTGCTGCTTGATTTCCATGCCTCCAAATGGTGGAACCATCGCTCAATGAGAAGGGACGTGTGTAGGTGGGATGTACGCAGCTCTTTTTGGTTTGGATATTCGTAAGCGTTCTGATGGATTTCCACGTGGGTCAGCACCTGGCTGACCCCCAAAAAATATAGAGAATTGCTAGGAACCAGCTGTTATCTGAAAATTGGCAACACCATAATGTCTAAGAGCAGTACAAATTGACTACTGTAGTACTCTCCACCTATTCTGTAGAAATCAGGTACTGACTGCTTAGTAAGACTACATCTCTTGCAAGACTTGCCTCAGACTAGTTCAGAGATACCTCTTGAGACGTACTAAACTTAAGGTATTTTCACCATCTTCTCATTTCTTGAAATGAGCATTTTGCCAGCAATCCTCTGCAAATCCTTATCACCTTGTGAATGGTTTAAATTATATTGATATTTTTATGTAAGCCTATGATTTACTGAAATAACATCATGGACTGACATATTTACAATGAAATGCCTTTTTACATAGAGACTTTCAACGAGATTGGTGGTTGGGGGGGAGCAAAATTCCTTTATGTAAAATGTATTTTTTAGCAAGAAATACTTATGGACAACTGGGAGCACTCATGTAAAGCTGAAAATACTGTGAAAATCAGTGGTCTTAATATTAACATCTATAGTAGGGCCATTAACATTGATACTTTATACAGTAATATCACATTTTAAAAGTATATTACCAGATCCATTCTTTTTAAACTAATGGCTCATCGTTGTTAATATTTTCTTGTAGCCTCATAGACATTGAACAATTAATGGTGATTTTGAATAGTTTTTCATCTCTGGGTATCCCAGTCACTTGAGATCTGGACTTTAAGTGGGAAGATGTTGGGTTTAAATCTTAATGAGTCCACTGAGCCCCTTCATTTAAAGCCATTTCCTTAAAAATAAAGAAGAGAGAGGGTAAGCATGTCTCCTTGGTTTCAACCATCTCTTGATAGCCTGGTGAAGCCAAAGACCTGGAGAAATCCAAGTCTTAGTTAATAGTTGACCAGCCTGTCTGGCTCATAAATTAAATTTGAGGACTAGACATATTCAACTAACAGACAACGTGGTATCTGGATAAGCTCAACTAATCTTGTGTTTTCAGCGTGTTCTATGTAATGATTTATGCCACATATCCTGCAACAGGGACATATTATAAATGATGGGTAGTTTGGGGTATGAAAGGGGCAGAGAATATGTAATTCTATAGTTAATCCTTTGGGGGACAAAAGCACAGTTTGTACAAACTCAACTGCCAAACAGAAAGTAAAGCTACTTTTTTTAGGCAGTGAATAATAATGTAAATGTTATGTTGCACCAATTTATGAAGGTTTTTAAGCGGTCCTTTTCGATGGGTGTGGGTTCCAACACACCCGAGGGTCATTAATTACTGAAATTAACAATAGAAGCAACTAATATTTTCAGTTTGTCATTCCAGAAAACAAGCAGCAACATGCGAATAGGAATTGTAAATAATCACGCAGATGAATTAAGTGAAGGTAATACTCCTACTGCAAGAGCTATCCAGGCAGCACTTCTCACACAGAATGGAAACACCGCAAAAAGCTTCATTACCAACCTGGTGAAGGAGGAAACGGCAGAAGCACTCACCTTAGGAGCAAAAATTCTGAAGTTTGCAGTAAAAGTTAGTAATCCCTGGATTTTCAATGACAGTCGCAGCACCATAATACCTTTTGTTTGTTAAATCCTACATTCTTTTCAGAAGTTTCTATAGTTGCACGAAAATCACTTTGGAAAAGATTGATGATCAGTTGTCTCTTCATTATAACAGTTAATTCTAATGCTTAATTCTAGAATTGCTGCAAGGCAGATCAATACTTATTCAACTAAGCTAAGACACAAAAGCCAGTGGAGAAATGGGATATCTTTTGCACTGGCATGTCTGATAGATGACTTTACTTGTAACCTTCATGGAATGATACGCGGAATCTATCTTATTGTTAATGTTTAATGGAAAACAGTGGGTGGTCTTCGGTAGTTCTTCAGTGCAGATATACGACAACGATTTACATTTATATAGCACCTTTAACCTAGGACAGGGTGGCCCAACTACCAGCCTGCGGGCCTCATCCAACTCGGATGATGATTTTATTTAGCCCGTGAACTACTCCCAACTTCATTGTCCGATGCGTAACTAAAGGCGACACGCAGGCCCTGAGCCACTCAGCAGATCACCAGGGGCTCAGACTCTGCCCAGCAATGCAACTGGCCAATAAAATATTGCTTATGCGGCCAGCGGACGTTTCTTAAATTTGGCCCTTGGTCCTCAGCAGCCAAAAGGTGGGACTATTCTGGGACTACTCTGACAAGGTATTGTCTCAGAGTGGGATACAGGAGGGATGGGGAGGTAATCATAGATGAGGTTGAAGTGGTAGATTTCCGGTGGGATTTAAAGATTGAGAAAGAGGGGGGATTGAGGTAGGGAATTCCAGACATTAGGGGTCTCGAGTGCAGTTTGTATTGATTCTGGACACGCTTTTGGGTAAAACTGACGCAAGCTGCAATTGAACTGCAGTTGCAGAAGCTCCAATCCAGTATAATTGCAACAGAGGATGAACCACCCTTAAGATTTTTAACACTATTGAAGGAGAACTGAAGCATAACTGTAAAATTGTTTTTTTTAAAAAAACTTATTTTGGTGTCATAAAATGATTAATTATTAATTAATCATTACTATCCCAGCACAGAACCTATGCTTTCATACAACTATGTTCATTTGTTGTCTACAGCTGTTTTGCAGTAATATTTACAGACTTGAACAAAAGGCACATATTACAAACCCTATGTGTTTTAAATATAGTATCTTATGAATGTATAGGGTATGTTAAAGGGATACGGTCCATGAGTATCTTGCATAAAGTTTTGGTTTGTAAAGTAGCTGTATTTGTAGCTGTAGTGAAAAATCCCATAGAAGTCTGGTTTGAGACCACCATTGCAAAGCAATCCTAAAGGTAATGAGGGAATGCTCAAGTTTTCTTTGTCTGAAAGGAAAAAAATATATATTAAGGACCTGGTCCCATTTCCATCTCGTTAATAAAATTTAAAAAACAAACCGCTTTGGAATCAGATAGCAGAGCTTATTATGTGCTTAGTTGCACAAATACAGAGTTCTCCTCAGCCCCAAGTGAGAGCAATTTAGAACATGATATAAATTCAGCTTCCCACACTGAATTGCTCTAGCAATGTAAACTAGGCATTAATCAGCTACATTAAACTTTTTGCAAACATTAGAAAATATGCGATGATACATTGCCTGCATGTAGATAAAGTAATGAGCAGAAATCTGCAGACATTTAACATTTCTCTAAACACTGTCATATTAATAGTGCAAATAATTTTCTTGATTTATTTGCACGCTCTTACAATATTGAGGTGTAAAAACCATTGTAGCTACACCATGTACATTCTGAATTGATATCCTGCTGGTTTGTATATGCACCATATGTCAATGATGTCTATGATTCGGTGATGGAACTGTTAACACAGAGCTTACCTCTTCACAGCCTTTTGACTTCTGTGATATTTACATTTTCAGATTGTTTACCACCTTTTGTTGAATATAAAGCTTTCTCTGGTCAAAGTCAACTCTGATTGTGGAGATTTTTTATTTTATTGGCAGAACTACATAATCCAGATAGACCTTGGCCCCAGTGCATGCTTAACAAGAGTTATAAATCATTTCATTGCTGAACAATAGGCATTCGTTTAATCAGCTAAAGTGATTCATTACTGCTGCTTTAGGGAATGGATAATGATGCCTTTGAGAAGAAGTACAACACCATCGGAATCAACTTCATTCGCACCCAGCAATTGTTCTGCCAAGATGTTCTCAAGCTGCTACCTGGTCAGGAAGCTGTTGTTAGCAATGGTCGGGTAAGTGTTCTATATGTATATGTATTTTTATATTGCTGTTATTTATCCAGCTGATTGTCATCAGATTGCTAAATGCTTTAAGTCTGTCGGTATTTCTTGTTTAGGAATGTGAGGGGATCAGAGTTTAACAGGTGCCAATTGGTCAATGTTTAATGGGTGGTGGGGTCAGTGTGGTGATGGACTAAATTGGAGTGCAGCAGTAATGTAATAATAGGATGGACATATGTTCCCACAGTTGTGTAATCTTAGTCATGCCATCAGGGAGTGTTTCCCTGGAGAAGGTGGAACATTGAATGCTTTGCTCCAACCCACAAGCATATTTCCTTAAAGCAGCCAACTCAGAAACAGCATTGGATTCAACTTGTTGGTGATGTTTGTTTTGGATGGGAGGAGGCGGGGGAAAGGGACCAGATTTAATGTGTTGCTTAACCATCTGTATTTAATGTGTATAAAGAGGATATTCAGAAGAATATGTGAAGACCTATAAATGGAAAACTCAACAGATGTCCTTGGTGTTACCTATTATTGTCTGACATTATTATACTCTGAACAAGCCAACGCAGTAATATCTTTGATTTGTATACTGCATTTTTCTATGAGACAGCTGTGTATTTTAGTGATGGGATGACTCCCCTGAACTTGGGAAGCACTAATTTTTAAATTTGAACTCCTACGAATAATAATCCTTGCATTTGATATAGTGCTTTTCACATCTTCCAGACGTCTCAAAGAGCTTCACAGAATGTACTGTAAAGTGAATTGTCTGTATATTTGTGGGTGAAACGTGGCAGCCAATTGCGCACAGCTGTGTCCCACACAGTCGTGGATTGAAGTGACTAAATTATTTTTTTTCTTGAGGGATTATTGTCAGGCATGTGGAGTAAGGAAACTTGCCCAAGGTTTCACCCTGCCAGGAATCGAACCCAGGTCTCCCACTTGCAAGGCAAGTGCTCTAACCACTGAGCTACAGGACTCCACAAATCCAGCCTGCTCCCAAATTGATATATGCTGGCTTGTTCTTCACTGAAAATGAGGGTTTATTATTTTAATCCTTCAAAAGATTAAAGCATTGTTAAATTCTAATAAACTCATTTTACATCAGATATTTTTGCCAATATGTTATTCTGTAAAACTGTTGCAATTCAATTTGGATAAATGAGAAATAAAACCACTATGTATGGTATCTTCCATAAAAGTATTTCTCTCCACCAATCTCCTATTATTTTCTCACCATGTGCAAACATGTTAAGGCATTCCTCAGTACTAAATGTTAACCTAACTTGCATTCTAATAATAACCCCAATGTCTTGTTCATCAAAATCAAATCCAATCTATTCTAAGGCTTTCACGACTGAAATCAAGAATGCAAAGTAGGATGTCATTTGTTATCTCTGGTATGTATTTTGTCAGCTACTTGAAATTGAATGCTAGTAATTATATGTGGCTTAACCACAGGGTTCAGAGTCATATCCTTGACACTTCATTCTGTCTAATGGCTGAATAAATGTGGATGCAATGAAGCAGAATCATAGGGATCCTGTCAGATGATTATGATTCTTTAAGAGATACTTAGAATGTTAGAAGTAACAGTGATAACATTTAAATCATCCTATCGGTCCCTACATTGGAGTCCTGTAGTTCAGTGGTTGGAGCACTCGCCTCGCAAGTGAGAGATCTGGGTTTGATTCCCGGTAGGGCAAAACCTTGGGCAAGTTTCCTTACTCCAAACGCCTAATAATAATCCCTCAAGAAAAAAAACAATAATAATTTAGTCACTCAATCCACAACTGTTCTTGAGACACTGCTATGTGCAATTAATTCTCTATTAATGTAAGTATTTATTCTAAATTAATTGCCCAAAAAATTTATTGTAGATCAAGAATCATAGAAGATAACATAAATACATGTTTTTGGTCAGGCATCATTCATGTTATTCATGTTAATTAAATGTTATTAATTAACAGGAATAACATTTCTCTATATTCACTCTCAGATACTGGGTCCTTTCAATGAAGGTGAAGAGTTTCAACCTGAAGATTTCAGTCTCCTGGAGAAAACCACCATCAGCACCTCAGCAGAGAAAATCAAAACTCAAATCAAAGAGATCGGAGTGAATTCTAAGAGGTTTGTTTACAAAGGACATAGGTGATTTCTTCTGATTCGTAAAGTAAGCTTATTTCGTAAATTGTATGTAGTGTAACAACGATACAACTAGAGGCACCTGTTAGGTGCTGGATACCTATGGGAGATGCCCAAAACCTAATGTGTGTTTCAACATTTTGGTTCAGCAAAAAGGATGGCTAACTTTGTATTTTCACAAATGGGTGTAAAGGGACAGAATTCCAGGGCAGTAGTGGAGGTGTGTTAGTCAGGGAGGTATTGATGGCTTAAGGATGGAACATAATAAATTGTCTTATGAATGAAATACAGAGAAACCTCATTTTACTCTTGCACTATGAATGAGTGCTAACAGGAAGAGGTTTCGGGTGTGCTTAAGTGGCTAACTTCCAGGTTGTCAGATCCCCGCTTCCAGTAATGATTCTTGCATTTGATGTATCAAAAGGTTTAGAGACCTTCACAGATTAAATTTTACTGTAATGTGTACTGATTGTGCATGTTTAGGCAAACACCATGTTTGGAGCATCACTGCAGTTATTTAGTGAAGCTATTAGATCAGTGACACTTCCTGCGCATAACACACTTGCACATAGCACCTTGCTGCATCATGCAGAAGGTGACTTCAACAGTGACCTGACACCCCAGAAATTAGCCATTTTCCTGCACCTCGCTTATATGGTTGCTGAGACGTTGAATCGAGCCAACCATGCTTCTCTCTACATGGTGCTCTTTTCATAGGTTGTAATGGTTGGAACCATGTGGTGTGTGGGCCTTCAGTTTATTTGAGTTATTGATAGAACAGCCACTGTTATTTTCTAGACATTTTACTAAAACACTGGATGTGTGGCCAAGGGAAAATAAATTAACAGTTAGGAGTGCATTTGTGTGCCATTGCTCCAGGACGCTATCCCGTGTGAAGGGCGCTGTGTAAATCAACTTCTTGTTGTTATTTACCTGTGCACTTTCATAATTAAGAGCTTACAAGCTGTGAGGACTCAATGGTTTGACTCGATACATGCAGGTACAGATTTCAATACTTGTGCAGCTTTTAGCACAGGTTTCAGCTCCAGTAGTTCTCATCACTTTCTTGAACCTGTGGATCTTGTTTCTGAAGGAAATATTCTAGTAAATTGCTTCTGATGGCAGTTGTGAGCTACAGAGAAAATATGACATACATTGTGTAGTCAAAGGTTGTTTTATGTTTCCAGCCTCTTGGGCAGAGTATGCCACTTTTTCATAAGATTACATTCTTTTTACAAAGGTGATGCATTAGGTGTTTTAATTTATCTCTGCATTCATTAGCATGGCAAATCCCTGGAAATTGCTACACATTCTAAGGAACATGTCACCAGAATGTAATTTTCAGTATTTTCTCTTTCAGCCTTTGGGTTACTTCTAAATCATTACTTGAATCTACAACTGCTTTGCCTCTCATCACTTTCCTCCTTTTTTTTNACAATAATAAGTTCAAATCTGCGTGCTGCTCCCCGTGCTCTTCTCCTAACTTCCTCCACAGCTTCAATGTCTTTGGAAGATGTGGTGTCCAATACTGCACTCAGTATTCGAAATGTAGCCTCACCAGTGGTTTGTAAAAGGTTGGAATAACATTTTTTGACTTGTAATCAAATGCCTTCAAGGTGCAGCATTTATTTGATTAACTTTGTTGAACTTGCATTGACTGGAAGTTGTCAATGAATAATCAATGAATAATCAATAATCATAACAAGGTACTTTTTTTCCTTTTTCACCTTGGTTGATGGATGCCCTTTCATTTCGTACATGCATTTTCTATTTCTTGTACTAATATTGCAATACTTTAAATTAAGATACACCTGCCATTCTTACTTATTTATCCTCTTATTACCAAACTACCAATAAGTGCTCCAAGACACCACTCACATGAAGGGTGCTATATAAATGCAAGTTGTTATTGTTATATTATTCATCTGCCCCCAAGTTGTGGTGTTATCAAAAACGCTGCAGTATTCTATGAAGTTCTCTTCAAGTAATTTATGAACAGCCAAGTACCCAGTCCGTATCTCAAGAGGATACCAAGAAGGTATCCAGAATATGAGAAATTACCTATTGCTTCTAAACTTGTGTTGATTGCTCCTTACAACATCTATGGTTTCATATTCATATAATTCTCTCAAGCATTTTCCTCACTACACATGGTGGAGAAATTCCAGTTGGGCCTAGAATTAATCTATTTTCTTAGCAATGTAGAGTGTGCAAAATCATACTCCCAGTTCAGATGTAATGCTTTATTAAGTAATCAAATAATCTGCTCAAATTGACCAACTGATTACTTCTCCTGGTCAATTTTAAACATGCTGTTATTAAGGCACTGAGTTCCACCAAGCACCCAGCTCTGACAGGGTTGGTTGTCTTGGTTGGATCAAGACAAACAAAATCAAGGAATTTAACAAGACACAGTACAGTATACAAAGTTATTTATTCACTACAAGTTTGCAAAGTAAGAGGAATTAACAAACCGGTGTGTGCTTATTGATGAGGTAAAGCAGTGGAGCTGTGGTCTCTCTTGAGTCAGAAGAGTGAAAGGATTTATCTGAAGAGTTTAAGAGTCCAGATAAAGAGATGTTTTCTACTTCGCCCTGTATTTGCTCGGGGGCAAGAACAAAGCAATGCAACCTTCATTAGAGATGATCCACTGCATCATGTCCCTCGCATGTTCACTGGGGTTGTTGAGAATGTTGTTCTTCCCTCAATCTTTCTGGTTCATTGGGAGTTTTCTCATTGGGAATGGATCTCTAACTATTGGGTCTTCCTATAAAATCTATGTTCTTTATTAATTTTCAAGTAGCTTTACTTTGTTTAATGTGGTCATTCACTTCATGGCTGTTTGTTGGCTGGTTGTACACAAATTGGCTGCCATATTTGCCTGCAAAATTATACAGTCACTACAATTTACAATAAATATTTGGAAAGACTTGAGATATCCTCACAATGTGAAAAGCTCCATATCAATGCAAGAAATGTAATTTATGTTTTTTTTTATTCAGGAGTAGCCTTAATGTCTGTTATATCCTCATCTTTCAATGATCAAGTTAAGTAGGAGCATCATGTGTGGAGTCCTGTAGTGTATTGGTTAGAGCGCCCACCTCACAAGCGAGGGGATCCCGGGTTCGATTCTTGGACATTTTCCTTACTCCACATACCTCTGCTTACCTAGCAGTAAGTAGGAACCCAGTTGTTAGTCGATTGGCGGATCACTTTCCAAGGATAATGCCCCGCCAAAATAATAATGATAATTTGGTCACATTGTTTGTGGGATACTCCTGTGCACAATTGGCTGCCATGTTTCACCCACCTGAATATTGTCAATTCACTTAATAGTATATTCTGTGAAGTGCTTTGAAATGTCTCAACAACTTGATAAGATGCTATATCGAATGCTATTATTATTTTTAATATTATCATTATAATTAAGCATTAAAATCTAGCTTTGTAAACTTCCTGCCGATGTATGTTTTATCACTTCAGTCAATATTATTTGAAAGGAACTTATTTGGTGAGTAAAACTGCAGTCCTCAGACAAAAAAAAATTGTATGTGTAAATCAAAGTTGGTCACTAAAGCCTTAAGGATTTGAACAAATGCTTTTCTTAGTATTCTCAGAAATATCTTCTTGCAAACTTGAAGTTAATAAGAAGCTGCCTAGCCCAAAGCTCCTGCCAATGTGGAGTGCTATGCATTGTAGAATAAAACTACAGCAGCTTATCATTTTTTTTTCTCCTTTACCAAAGTGGAAGTGATCTTGTCATGAAGACAGATGCTCTTCTATCATCGACGCTCAAAGAGGAATCCCGAAGGGATGTCAAGTTTCCTAAAGATCGGCTGAGGTAATGACAACAGCTAAATCTGTTAGGATTGAATTGTAGACTTAGTATTTTGTCATTTTGATGTCACAACAATACCTTTTATTCTTACAGCGTAGTAAAGATACCACCTCAGGAGGGAGTTCATTATGACGTATTTGCCATTGTTGATCCATTGACTAGGGAAGCACAGAAGTTGGCACCACTATTAAGGGTGAGCATTTGAAACTGTTCTCCAAAGGGCAAACACATACATTTTTTGTTTCGATTTAAAAAAAATCTAATCAGGAATAAATCAGTGTAAATTAGAATAGGAGATTATTGCTCCGCCTTTAAGTGATACTCTAATAATTCCTATTTCTAAACATCCTCCCTGCACATACTGTACCTTACTAGAAGAGAGGGCATTTATTTTACGTTTATGCTATACCAATTTCCATACTTGTCCTCATTTCCATTTAGAGGTAGGAAACTCAGACTCGTGTATATCTAAAATCCAATGTCACCTTGGTCACTTACAAAGAGTTTTTTCCGGCATTTTTACCAAAACGTGCAGGGATTTCCTCTGAGTGTTCATCCTCTGGGTGTCTTTCAAAGGCGGTGATGAACCATCTAAAATTAGATGTGATGTTTTAAAACACTAACTACTGGATTATTACCAAATTTCATAATTAATTTCCTCGTATTAGTGCATTTCATCATTTGATAAGGTCTCTCTCAGATAAGGGTTTCTGTTGCCTGTTTTGTATCCTACTAACTCCAACCCTGTTCCCTGAACTTTAAAAGCTATTAATTCTTGACAATTGAAGTTCAAAAATGCACAATGGTCTAAACTTTGTTCTCCATTTTTTATATTCTGATATTATTCTGATATAATAAGTACCTTATTGCTCTAATTGCTTGCTTTGAACTTTGTGACAACCATGGTAATGAATTGTAATTTCCAACAATGGTGATGTTTGACTGAACATAATACCGTATATATTTTTTGTTTATGAAGTTTATAAATATCAGCGTGAGGAGACGATTCTCTCTCTTGTGGTCTGCTTTGCAAACCAAATGTGTTGTGTTAATTGCAATCTCTGGTTTGTGGCAATCTGATTCGTGGTAGTAAACATAGCAACCAGAAAGTGATTCTAAGATTGCATCTGTACAATTAAATGAGTCTCGTGAACCATTGAGGAATTTCTTTGTCGTGCAGGTTTTGGCTCAGGTGATCAACATGAAATTGGACGTGTTCATGAACTGCAGGTCCAAACTTTCTGAGATGCCTCTGAAGAGGTGAGAAATAGCTGCAAATTGCTTGTGCAGAGTTTTGGAATTATATTCTACTAATAATTCATGAGTCAATATTTGCTTTATCGGACTTTGCTTACCAGTTTCCTACTGCAACACATATACATGAAGTAAGGCCGTGGTGAGCCCGAATGTGTAAATTAACATATTGGCTGAACCAGTAGGAGTTTTAGCTTTTCTTTATTGGATCAGGAAGTGCTTTTTCCAAGTATAGAACAGAACATGCAACAGGTAAAATTAAATGCTCTTGACCCTTTCCAGCTTGTTTTGTTCAATGACATTTTGATCATCACTGTCTGACCGACTGTTTGAAAGTGGATAAACCGGCTGCTACTAGTGTTGAAAAATCCTCTAATGTTGTAATGGCCATAAAAAGGAAAACACATTTTCTGCACAGAAGCTTGCATATGTCACTCCAACTCACAAACATTATGGATGAAGAAGGCCCTTTGCTCATTTGGTTAAATTTGAATGGCAAGCTACCCAGTTTTAGCTAGTTAAACTCCAGCAGTACCCCAGTGTACACTCTGGGGTCCCCCAAATTTTGGCTGTTTCTAACCTCTGCCTGATCCTCTCTGAGCAGGATGCAACCCTCAAGGCAGAGAGTGCGCATTCCATTCCAAACAAAGAAATTTCTTTGTGTACGTGGCTTAGATGGAACTCTGTTTGGTTTGAATACTTTTAAGTGTGGTAATGGGTTTCCACATGTGTCAGACATCCTGATGAAAAAAAAGTCTATTTGATTAGACTCATGAGACCTCCACGTTAACCTGATATCCCTGAGGCTAACGTCTCAGAGCTCCGAATGACATGCAAGGGCTTCCTTGCAGAAGATACAGGTTATACATGTTTGTGTATGGGCTGCTGTCCTGATCTGTTCTCTTCTGTGAAAAGAGAGAGAGAGCTTGATGATCTATATTCACTAGCAGTTTTGCCTGATGAATTTCTCTCCATTTCCATAAGGGTATCATTTCAGGAACCTATCTGCACTAAAGCAGGAAAGTCACACTAGTTCTGATTTGCAGCTTGTTCACAGCCAATGTGCTAATGTAAATGCTGCAAAGTTATTCAGATCTGTCAGCACATAAAAATTCCCACTTCTAGTTATCAGATGTAAAGGGTACCATAAAGGGCTTAACAGAAATGTTCTGTGTTTTCTCATCCCCTCTAAGTCAAAATGTTTGGTTGATATTTTAGAATTATCCAATTTGTACCTTGACATGGCACAAGATGATATAAATATACACAGGTTCACATATGCAGGTCTTTGAAGGTGGCAGGACAGATTGATAGAGCTGTTGAAAAAAGCATTTTGGATCTGTTGCTTTACAAATAGAGGCATGGAACACAAAAGCAAGGAAGTTCTGCTAAACCTTTATATGTCACAGGTTCAGCCTCAGCTGGAATATTGTGTCCAACCCTGGGCACCACACTATAGGAAGGATATCAATGCTGTGGAGAGGGTGCAGTTGAGATTTACCAGAATGATACCAGGGACAAGCAACTTTAGTTATGTGGAGACGCTAGAGAAGCTGGGATTGTTCTCCCTAGAATATAGAAGGTTAAGAGGAGCTTAAATAGAGGTGTTGATACTTATGAGAGGTTTTAATAGAGTAGATGGGAAGAAACTGTTTCCACTGGCAGATGGGTCAGTAACCAGGGAACATAAATTCAAGATAATTGGCAAAAGAACCAGAGGGGAGATGAGGAGAATTTTTTTTTACAAGGAGAGTGTTGCAGTCTGGAATGCACTACCTGAAATGGTGGTGGAAGCAGATTCAATAACAACTTTCAAAAGGGAATTGGATAGGTACTTGAAGAGGAAATGATTCTAAAGCATATGCGATGAGGCAGTCTTATTCTAAATAAAATATTGTATCTATTTCTCCTGTTCTCCGTTTCCTGAATTAAGACAGTGTAGCTCCTCCTTTGGAAGTTGTACATTACACCAGCAGTCTTTTAATATTTATTGAAGTTGCATGTTTCTATATTTTTGCTTTTTACAAGAACCTCCATCTCTCCTAGCTTATTCATATGAAATAGGCCAATTTGGAGATGGCTGCAAAAAGGATAATACTCAGAAAACCTGCCATACATGCCACACATACATTACATCTAACTTCCTAAATGTCATATTTTTGTGCTGTGTGACTAAATACAGGTTTGGCAAATGTGTGTTGTTTTTTGTACTGTTTTGCCATACCTTTATTTAATTAGTTCTTCATAGCTCTATCCACACAGGAAATTTGGATTGTAAATAAAGAATTGAAAGCAAAAATGTTTTCTGGAATAAATTTATCTTTGTGGTGTATCTTTGTGTACAATTGTAGGTGGACCTCTGAGCATAGAAGGGAAACGTATTCTGCCAAACTAATTGGATTTTTACTGAAACAGCAGTAATAAAGATACCTATGGTGTAATTTATTCACCTATTACGATGATGACATTTTGCATATATCTTTATGGAATGCTGAAGTATATTAATAACAATTAATATGAGTGGCAATACAAGGGCATGCTTTATGGACTACTGTATTACCACTGTAAAGTTAGACCCAATATGTAACCCACATAAGTATAAATATTGCTGTCATTCTACAGAAAGGTCTATTTAATGGCAGTATATAACTTATTTCTAAAGTTGAAGTGAATGATTGGAATGTAAAAGTTCAGTCAGTCTCGTGAATTGTTTCAGTACACGGTTGTGCCTCCAAAACACAGAAATACTTGATAGATAAATGTTGCTTCTTATAAGCGTGCCCTTTCAACTTTCACAGGACCTGAGTGAAGGGATTTGGCATCGTTGGGACTTAAGTTCCATTTTTTTATATAACTTTCAATTATAAATATATAGTGTATCGGCTTTGACTGCCATGAAGTAAAAACGAGGGTTAACCAATTGTATTTCTATCTACAGCTTTTATCGTTTTGTACTTGAGCCCGAAGTGGTGTTCACAGGTGACAACCATTTATCAACCGGGCCTGTGGCTAAGTTTGCTGAAATGCCAGAATCGCTTTTGCTCACTCTCAATATGATCACACCTGAAAACTGGTTGGTAGAACCTGTACGCAGCTCATGTGACTTGGACAATATTCACTTACAAGAGGTAAATGCTTTTACTCAGGGACTGAATCTAAGTTGTGCTTAGACCTTTCACTACTACATTAAAAATTACATTACATCATTATTTTCCTCCTTTATAACTCCTGGTTGAATAAGAAAAGATGGTATTTTGTGCTGAAGGTATTTGCTTAACTCCCGGGAATTTTTTTTCAGAATTTTAAATGACTGCCTTCAGCCCTTTCTTTTTTTTCCTTCTTTGTTACACGTTTTAGGTGGTGCCTAAAAGAAGTAAATGTCTCAAAGAACTTCAGAGATTTTCTGTAGTGCAGTGGCTGTATATTTTGTAAGCAAACTCAGCAACTAATTTAGACAGAGCCATGAAGTGAATGTTTTAACTGGCAGATTACTGATCAGTTTAGAGGAGAAACTTAGAAAAATAAATCGACACACTAAATTAAAAAAAAGGCAGCCTAGTTTTATTGATTCTGCACGTAGACTGAGTAAGTTTATCACTGGTCCTAGAGCACAGGATTCTCTGAGAGGGTAATAGGATATTAAGCAGTATATCCTATTCTGAGAGCGTAAGAAATCTTAGAGGCCTTTATTAGGAGTTTTAAAAAAAAATATATATATACAGTAACACTTATTAAAATGTTACTTAGACCTTATTAACTGTTTATGATTTATGGCTCACGGTAACTTTATTCTGTGAATTCTGTCCTTTTAGTCTGCATTAAGACCAGCATTCCTTTTTATGGCTGGTAGATTTAAACATTCTCAAAGCTCATTTAGAAGAACCAAAAGTCTCGGCTTGGAAAGCACTTACAGTGGGTAGCAAGTTTCTTTATGTGTAGAATATTTTTTTCCCCATCGTAGCCATGAATTGATATCATTTTGAGGTCAAGCTCACAGGTACATGTGCCATTACAATGTTATCTGCTCAGAAAGAAGTTGACTTGTTGCAATTGCACATCCCACCAGAGCAGTGTACAATTTGACAAATGCATACCCTATAGGAGGTTAGAAACTCAGCAGCACAAGTGATTTTTTTAAAAAAAGCTATAAAAATCTCAACTTCCTTTAATTACTGCACAACATTGGCAGTGGTTCAAAAAAAGATGTTGAGAAGACAAGAGGGGATAGGTAAAATTGGAACTGGAAATTATTGAAAAGACTATTTTTAAGAGTCTTGACAGTTAGGAAAACTGCTTCTCCATGCAACTTCCTCATGTTTTATTTGTCGATACTATTAGCACTGAATGCTTTATAATAAGAAGAAGAATAATGATAATAATAATGGAATTTGATACAGTACATCATCAAATAGTTAAAAATTTTCAAAGTGCTTCACAGGATTTACTGTAGAATGTAATGACTGCATTCTTTAATGAAACACGACAGCCAATTTCATAGAATCATAGATTTATACAACACAGAAGAAGGCCATTTGGGCCATCGTGTCTGTGCTGGCTCTTTGAAAAGAGGTATTCAAATCAATCCCACTACCTCGCGCTCTCCCCAAAGCCCTGCAAACTTGTCCTCCCCAAATAATTATCTACTCTCTTAAAAGTTGTTATCGAATCGACTTCCACCACCCTTTCAGGCAATGCATTCCAGATCCAAACAACTCACTATGAAAAAAANTTTGTATACAGCAATGTTCTGAATATGAATGATCAATTTCATTTGGGGGTTTGTTGGCCAGGAAACCAGGAGAACGGCCTTCTCTTTTTAAATAGTGTCAAGGGATCTTTCACATTCACCTCATCAAACAGACTGAACTTCGGTTAACGTCTCATCCGAAGTATGGACCGTCCAACAATTTGTTTTCTCCCTAGTTCGGTATTGGTGTCTAAATTGCAGGGAATTCAAATGGGCACTTCTTTCCAAAATTAGGTTACAACATTCACTTCATTTCTGTTTTCGGTATCTTCTTGCATCCAAATTGTTTTCTGTGTGTGCTACAGTTACACAGTCATTGCACTTGACAGCAATTACCTGTGAACATCTTTAGAACTTTTCAATATTATAGGCGTTGCATCAAATGCAAAAAAAATCTATTGTGTATATAGTATTTCATTGCACCAAAGAATAATAATTTAATATCTAGGATCGATTAATAACCCCAAAATACAGTCAAAATTACTTTACAGTGTATCCTGTGAAGTGTTTTGAGACATCTCTACGATGTGATAAAGCCCTATATCAAATGCAAGGATTATTATTATAAACACAAAAAATATATCCCACTTGGATTATGCAGTCCCACAGTCATTCTGTTAGTCTGCCATCTTGTGGAACTGAGAGTATTTTTACTGTTCAAGACCTGAATTGTATGTTCTGAATTTGACTCACTCTGAATATCCCAACAGGTTGAAGGAATGGTGTCAGCAGAGTACGAACTGGAATACATGTTGCTTGAAGGACACTGCTTTGATGCCAGCACTGGACAACCTCCCAGAGGATTACAATTCACCCTTGGGACGAAGAAGAACTATGATATGATGGACACTATTGTAATGGCAAACCTGGTAGGTTAAAGAATTTAAAGATTTATTTGCCCTTCTCTCTTTCGATTTTTTTTTCTCAACACTTTAATTAATCTCACACCATAAATTATTTGTCAACTAAGATTCTTTAAAGATTGGAGATTTCATACCATAATTTGTATTTTTAAAGGGTTATTTTCAATTAAAAGCAAATCCTGGGGCATGGCTGCTTCGATTACGTAAAGGGCGATCTGAAGATATCTACCAGATATTCGAGTAAGTAGGACTTCCTCTCCCACCACTCACTTCTCGAACCCTTCCAATCAGGCTTCCGTGCCGCCCACAGCACAGAAACAGCCCTGTCAAAGTGACAAATGACATTCTGTCTATCTGCGACCAGGGCTCCCTCTGCCTCCTCATCCTCCTTGACCTCTCTGCTGCCTTCAACACCATCGACCACTCTATTCTCATCCACCGCCTCTCCTCTCACCTCAGCCTCCACTGCGCTGTCCTTGATTGGTTCAGATTGTACCTCTCACACCGCCTGCACTTCATCTCCTCAAATGGCTTCTCCTATAGCCCCCGGACCGTCTCGTGCGACGTTCCACAGGGCTCTGTCCTTGGTCTCCTCCTCTTCAACATCTATATGCTCCCATTTGGTGATGTCATCCGCAGACATGTGGTCAACTTCCACATGGATGCGGATGACACCCAACTGTATCTCTCTGCCTCCACCCTTAACTCCAGGACCACTGCTGTCCTGACAGAATGTCTGTCAGACATCGAGTCCTGGATGAGGGAAAACTTTCTTCAGTTGAACATCAAAAAGTCCGAAGCTCTCCTGATTGGCTTCCGTCAGCGCCTCCACACCTCAGGCGCTGACAGCATCACCATCCATGGTTGCACACTCCACCTTGCTAAGCCAGTCCAGAACCTTGGGGTCTTGTTTGACCCTCAACTATCCTTTCTACCCCACATTCGTGTCATGACCCACTCTGCCTTTCCCCACCTCCGCAATGTCGCCCGGCTCCAACACTGTCTCACACCGCAGGCCGCCGAAACCCTCATACGTATCTTCATTACATCGAGGCTTGACTATGCAAACTCACTGCTTGTTGGCCTCCCCAACTCCTCCCTCCATAGGCTGCAGATCATCCAGAACTTTACATAAATCAGTTATTGTGTTATTCTCTTTGACCGAGACTTCAGCTCCCCTCTCGACTCTCTTCCCCCTTCTCGCTCCCTCCCATCCCTCCCCTCACCCTGACCATTTCCCCCCTCCTCGCTCCCTCCCCTCACCCTGACCATTTCCCCCCTGCTCGGGTCATGACCCAACTGTGCAGCGCCTTGGGACGTCCTCCTGACGTGAAAGGCGCTTTATAAATGGAATCTTGTTGTTGTTGTTGTTGTATTGGCGGACACACACACACTTTGTCTTTATTAGTATAGATTGAGTAAAATAACTAAATGATGAAATATCTTGATCAAAGGTTCTTCAAAACGTTGGAAACCTATTTTGTAGCCACAACATCCATTACAAGTATACATCACCAAGAACTGGTCAATTTACTGATGTAATCTATGATCCCCATCCTCGTCTGATTCCACAGGCTCCCCTATACCCTAGTAGATCAAGTTCAAGATTTTTGTCCCAATTTTAAATCAGTCTTGCCCCATCCTACCAAAGTGATCTTTCTTAAACTTTACCAACTGCATTGCTCCCTCCGCTCGGCAGTGATCAGGCTTTCAGCCTATCTGCCCCCACTCTCTGGGACTCCATTCTGGAGTCCCTTTGCCTCGCCCATTCTTTCGCTTTCTTCAAGGTCCATCCCACGACCTTCCTCTTTGACAGCATATTCATTCATCTCCCCCGCACCCCCTTGGCCCCCACCTCTCCCAAATCCAACCTTTCTGAATTATTGCATGAAATTCAGTGACAATCGAATGCGGGTGTAAGTTTCTGGTGCATAGACTTTATACCTTTTCTTGCGTTACTGAGTTTTCCCCTCACTTTCTTGCGGCTATCATTATACCAGTTACCATTTAAATTATTCCAAGCTTCAGGGGCAAACCTGAGTTTCTCCAACAACAATCCTCCTCAACAAGTGTGACTATTACCCTGTATAGTGATAGAATAGAATATCAAGCTAGTTAACTTGCATGTTAAAAAACAAGAGCATACCATGTGAGGATTTTTATCCAATCTTATATGAATTTGTTTATAATAAGTTCAATAATACGCATGGCACAGGGTGCAGCATTTGGGGCAAAAAAGGAGTTTATACCTGAACTCCTAGTTTTGTGACTTTCAAAAAACAAAACAATGTGGAAGAAGATCACCTGAGGTGATGTGCGATTTATCTTGTTTTATACTTCAGGGTAGAAGGCGTTCTGTGTTTACAGAGCTCTGTTGCTTCCTGGTAAGGGGGTGTTCGTGCACGAAATAAGTTAAGGAGTACACATATGTTGCTTTAGAATGATACTCGTGAATGCATGCTTCAGTGAGGATGCACAATCTCAAAAAGTCCATGTCTGAAGCAGCTGGAATTGGAAGATGAACACAGCTTCATCTCTGCCAACAGCTTCTTTACATCTGTAGATCAAATAGTGTTTCTTCCATGGAGAAACCTTGGACTAAAACAAATACAAAAATCAAACAACTTGATGTGGAACGTTGAAAAGTATTACTTGATTGTGCAATTTAGAAATACGATGGACAAAACATCTCCTATATAATAGAGTTATCCATCGTTTCTTCAATAGTGAAAGACATACCTACACATAGACTAAACAATGTAATATTCTACAGAATTGGACAAGATTGCTAAGAAACAGGCACAGAAAGTGGAATTAATGGACTGCACAAGGTGAACAGTTTCAGAAAACAAATGATTCTGGGATGCCTTTTAACTCTTAGTGTGACAGTCACGTGTTTTGCTGTACTTACCATGAGGAGTTCTTGTATTTGTATTGTTTTCTAGCACATATTGTTTTCTAGAATGTTTTAAGAGAATTCCAATTTATTTTCTTTGGAAAATTTTGTAAAACATCATCGTCATAAACTATGCATACAGGAGGGAGATAGGAATAGAAGGACATCTTTGAAGGATATAGGAGTGGATGGAGTGGAGTATAAATACTAGCTCGGAGCAGTTGAGACAAATAGCCTATTTCTATGCCATATTCTTCTTATGTAATTTATCTGAGAAAATAAGGAATAACTTTTGAAGGCCAGGGAGCTCATTTTACTTTCTTCTAAGGCTTTTAATGTCTGTGTTATCAGGGTTCAAGAGGTGCGACATTATACCAATTCACACAAGAATCGAGCCATCTCTTGCCATCAGAATACAACAACAACAACTTGCATTTCGGAGCACTTAGTGCCTCAGACACTGCCCCGCGTGAAGAGCGCAGTATAAATAAAAGTTGTTGTAATACACTCTGCAACTGTTTGTGGGACACTGCTGTGCGCAATTGGCTGCAGAGTTTCGCTCACAAAATATACAGTCAATTCACTTTACAGTATATTCTGTGAAGCGCTTTGAGACATCTCGAAGATGTGATAAGGCACCATATCAAATGCAAGGATTATTATTATTGTTAGAATACTTGGTGGGTGTGGAAGCAGAATAACTGCAGGTATTTGTATTGTAGTCATAAATATACAGGATGGAAATATTTTGAATGTGTACTGAAACTCAACACTATAATATGTTTTTATGCTTCATTTCTTTTCTCTCACCTCCACAACCTAAAAAATAAACAAAAGATGGCATATAGTGACCCAGCCAAGATGGTGTAAATTGCGCTTAGTGGGGATGGAGCAGTTCAAATTATACTGAAGTGTTGCATTTAAATCTAATCTACCGGATGAAGATGAGCTAAACTGGGAGGACTTTATGTGTGGCAAATCATTATATTTTGGGATAACTTCCATCAGTTTTAGATACTTTTAATATATTATTCTAATATCTAGGTGGGTGTGAAGTTATGTTGAATTCCTTCCAACTACTGTAGAAGGACAGGTCTCCTTCTGATTTTCCAGGTTGTAGGACTATCCTTATATGTGGTACAATAAATGCAGATGAAGGACTGCCATTGAATGAAATTAAGCAAATTGAACTGAATGGCCAGATGAAAGTTCTGGTTATACGCTTAGACAATGCTCCCAGTGCACAAAAGTACTAGTTCCTCTCCCGAGGACCCTTCATAAATAAATGTAGAGAAAATTCTGCTAAAATAAGTCATTTGAACTTGCCCAATCCACTTTTTTTCCCGGGGCTGTTAAGTGAAGAACTCAATAGAAGTAATTGTATTCATCTTGGGAAAGGAAGAAAATGGTCCTAATGCACAGAAGTAATAGGTCTTCTCAAGTGTCCCTATTGCAGGGCTGGGTTTACCATGTCTGTGATGAACGGAGTAAACTGCTTTTTTCTTAGCATCCCATATTTTATCTTATTTATAGCCTCCTTTCAGTCTTTTTTTGCTATGAAATGTGAAGGAATTTTCTGCTCATTAAAGTAAGGGATGACATTGCTGGGAAATAGAATCTCTGTTCCCCTTCACACTTGCTGTCAATCTCATGCGCTCCTGGGTCAGGTATAGTACTGATTAGAGGCAGTGTACAGCTCCCCAGCCCCAAGTTGTTCCGTTCCTTGCAGCAAGGTGGCAGTTCCATTTCCCATGTACTCATTTTTATGGATCTGCCTGACTCTGATGTTCCAATTAGTGCCAAATAGTGGCATGAATTTCATGGTGGATTCACCTCCTCTGTGAATTGTATTGAAATGACCCAAACTCATTTCACTTAGGAACCTTTATATCATCGGTGAAAATACATTTTTATCTCGTCTGTCAGCACTGGATTGAAAGTTATTTCTCAGAGGTGAAAGTTTAGGGTTCTTTAATGCACCGGTTGTTATAGCAACAATTCACAGCAACAATTTTCCTGCTTTTATTTCAGTGCATTGACTTTTTTAAATTATGTCCATTTCCTATTTCCTATTTACTTTATGTTCTGTTTCACTCTTTATATTATTTCTCATTGTTGTTGTGAAATGTTAGAGATCAATTAAATAAAGGGAATTAATATCAGTATAAGATTCTGTTGATGACCATGTGGTTAAAGACATCTGCTTTAGCACTGAAGCAGAAAGTAGATGGTATCAGGTGAGGTCACACTGTGATCTGCTCCATGATTGAATGTCCGCTGACCATGAATTGTCTTGGCTGAGACGTGAGGAGTTGGTCTCTTCGGCAAGGTTCAAGAAAGCTATAGTCTCCCATGAAACTATACCCAGATTGAGTAAATATCTGAAAGGTAGCAAATTGGTAATAGAAGCTCGGTGGATTTCCAATTGAATTGCTATTACTCTGGTTTTCTGAACTCTAAATAGATCAGTTGAGAGATCCACTGTAGTTCAGAGAAATACTGTAAAGCACTTTGAGACATCTTCCTGATGTGAAATTCTATTGTATTGATCATGACCCACGTGCCTAAATTGCTAGAAATGTATTGCTGTTATAATACAGTTTATTGGTGTATTTGCATTAGGAGAACACCAAACTGTTTTCACTTTTACAGCTGCGAAATCTAGTTTTCAAAAGACATATTTGGTGTACTTTAATATTATAAATATATGGAGCCCTCAGTAATGTTCCATAAAAAACATTGGTCCCATGTGTTTATTTGCCTTATATTTGCTATTTAAAACAAATAGACTGATCACAAACACTGAAATGATTTTCCAATTTATGGACCTTAGCAGATGAGAACTGCTTATTCTTTGCTGGGATCTTGCTCTGTGCTTATTATGGCATTTTCTAAATGTGAGAGAATGTGCAAATACTGAAGTTACAAAGATAAGTAACATGATATGTTCTTGACTTTTAAAGTGTTTGCCCTTCCTACAGACATGAAGGCACAGACTCTGCTGCTGATTCAGATGATGTCGTTGTGGTACTGAACAGCTTTAAAAGCAAAATTCTCAAAGTTCAGGTATGCAGCTGGTGAAGAGACGAATCTATAAAAACTATTCCAATTGGGTGTCTATAATGTACTTTTATTAATGAAGAGCAAAACATTATTTGAAGAAGGATCAATATTAAAACTATGACCTGGACTTAACTGCAAATGATAAGACAAGATGGATTGGAATTTCATGGACATCAGCTATTTACAGATAGTTCCTGGCTCTGAATACCTTGAAGATTATAGGAAAAAAGGTGGATTAAAGGTTCAATAATACTTTGAAATAGCTCAAGTATCATCAAAAAATTAAAATTATTCTTTGTACATTTAGCCTTTGTGTGTTAATATGCAAACTGTACTTAGATCGCCAAGTCTTTTCATACATTTCTGTTACAAATTATATCAGTTCCAGTTTCACTTTATATATACTTACAGGTGCAGAAAAAGCCTGGCAAAGTAAATGAGGATCTTCTCGGTGATGGAGATTTAGAAGGCAAGGGAATATGGGAATCACTCACAAGGTAGGCTGGTATAAGCTTTGTTTGGTGGTTCTTGAATACAACAAGATCATAATTTTAATTACAAGATGATTCGAAAGAACAATTCAAATGTTCATTTACTGTCCTAAACTGCTGTGAAGACAATGATTGCTGTGAAGGTACTGACCGACTGCCTGTCCGACATCAAGTGCTGGACCAGGGCCAACTTTTTCCAACTCAAAGTCAGCAAGACTGAGGCCCTCGCCCCCGCACCTCAGGCGCTGGCAGCATCAGTCTCCATGGCTGCCCACTCAACCTCACTAAGCCAGTCAGGAACCTAGGTATCTTGTTTGACCCTGAACTGTCCTTTCTCCCCCACATCCATGCCATGACTGGCACTGCCTACCACCACCTCTACAACATTGCCAGCCTCCGCCGCTGCCGAAACCTTCACTCACGCATTCATCACCTCAAGGCTCGATTACAGAAACTCCGTCCTCATCGGCCTTCCCAACTCTTCCCTTCACAAGCTGCAGATCATCCAAAACTCTGCAGCTCGTGTACTCTCACGCACCAGACTTTGTGACCCCATCACTCCAACCCTCACCCGACTCCACTGGCTCCCCATCCCCCAGAGGATGGAGTTCAAGATGCTCGTCCTCCCCTTTAAGGCCATCCATGGCCTTGTCCCCTCCTATCTCTCTGACCTGCTGACTCCCTACCAACCTGCCTGCTCCCTCCTTTCAACGGGTCCAACCTGCTCCATGTCTCCCGCCCTACCATCGGTGGCCGGGCTTTCAGCTCTCTGCCCCCACACTCTGGAACTCCACGGTCCCTTTGCCTCGCTTCCTCCCTAGCCTCCTTCAAGGCCGGTCTTAAGACCCTTCTCTGCGACCGTGCCTTTGGTCTCCCTCCCACTTCTTTGCCTTCCCTCCCCCTTACACCACCCCTCCCCCATGCTCGGGCCCCGACATCTGACTGTTCAGCGCTTTGGGACGTCCTCTCGACATGAAAGGCGCTCTATAAATGTAATTTTGTTGTTGTTGTTGATCTCTGCAACTATTTGAATATATTCATTGTTGACAATACAGTGCCTTACTTAAAGATGGTTCCACTCACTGGGTGTCTGACACATGCAGAATCCCCTCACCATGCTTAAGAATATCCAAATCAAACAGTGTTCCATGCATTCCACCTACACATGGAAATTCTAGACATATTTGTTGGAAGGGAATTCACAATCTCTATTTAGAGGGACACATCCTGCTTACCTAATTCCGTAAAATATTAGGTGCAGTTTGGAAGTGCCAAGACTTGGGGACCCCAGAGTATGAATTAGGGTACTGCTGGATTCTGACCTGCTAAAACTGCATAGTTTGCCATTGATATTGCTCTCTGGAAAGCTTTCCCACTGCTTGTTCAGCTAGGACCACCATCTTCATGGCCGCAGCTCAGGCACATGTCTCTTCCCATTGAACAATGGAACCAGTTGGAAGTGCGGAGTTTAAGCAGCAGTTGCTTGCCTCTCTGCAAGCCCTTCAAGGTGGATACCAGGCTCTGGCTGTATGAATGTGGGGGGAAAAAATTAATGAGTACTTTGCACATAAAGGAGAGTTTTTATTACTTTTTAAATATTTATGTGTGGATATATATAGTACTAGGTGTACCTATTGCAGCTCGCTTGCAAGCAAAGGATCCAATATGGAATGTAGATTGACACACAGACAGACATTTCATCTTTATAGTCATCTGGGAGGACTCCTGTGGGAGGACACATTTTGGCCGTGCTGTTCTTTTGAGTGGACAACTCATTTTGGCACACTGTTGCAGTCCTTTCAGCATTGTGCAGCTGTGCTGTTCTTTGTTCTTCAGTTTCATTTAATGGGCCTTCTTTCTTGTGTCTAGCATATTTACTTATCCTTGAAAAATTTGCTTTTCGCTTAGGCATCTTTATAACGATAAATATAAATGTATAAATTATAATCAGTGGGACGTCCTCCCGACGTGAAAGGCGTTTTAAAAATGTAATTTTGTTGTTGTTGCCGTGGCTTAGCTTCGTCTATGTTCTTTATTTTGCTCCCGCCTCCGCTTGGCTGCGTGACACAGGATGCCACATCGGTACGGTCAGCCGGCCTCGGCCACCAGGTGTAACTACAGTGCATACTTACATACGTAGGTGCTCTGTGACGCACAATGCCACCAGGTGTAACTGCAGCATTCTATATAATTCTATGTAATTTGTATTAGTAACATTCAGGTTGACCTAAATCTAATAAGCAAATCAGGACTTGTGATGTCCAAGCATAACCACCAACAACTATTAAATTATTTCCAAGTCAATGTGTGTCCAATGATGAATGGTAAACAATAAATATATACCATTGGGTATTTAGTCAGATTAATCCTACCTTCCAACAATATCTCAACATGGTCCTGTACCACTCTATATACAGGAGAAGGTTTAGGAGGGAGAATGAACAAATGGGCTACCAGTCATCAGAAATGTTCCCAAATTGCTTCTCCACTCTTCCCAATCACCCTGATGAATAATTTTCAATTCCTGCTCCAATTAGTTGCAATATTAACTGCAAATCTTCCAATTATTTGAATCAATCAATCTTACAAAAGTTATCCAGCTGATTGGAAAATCTGATCAGTATGTTCTTCCAAGAAGATAGTATTTTCTCTGAATGCAAATTCAGTTTGATGTACACAATATTTGTCTCCTGGGATGAATATTAGGAGTCACTCCAAAACATTTGTGTTTTTCTTAAATGAGACATGCTATATAGAAAACCAAATTACATTCCTTTACATATTAATTAGTGCAATGTGACACCAGTAGATTTGAAAGACATTCAATTCAAACTTTACATAACAGGTTCCAAAATATAGAATCAAAATCAGATTAATATCTAATCAAAGTATAAGCATACCTTCCCGTTAAAATCTTCATGGAAATGTAGTAAGAACACAAACATCAGTGAGCTGCTCCCTGCAATAACCAGAAGACCAGATCGCTTTCCAGTATTGCCTCAAGACTAGGGTTTTGAGAAGGGAAGTAAAGAAATTGCTTACCCAATTTCTTCCGATCAAACAGGCTTATTCAATCAAACCCCTTCTTCTGGAACACTTTATACCATTTAGCTCTGCTCCTGTGAGAATATACGCTAAAGTGAATATAGAATTGTATGAATCTCTAAATTATCTGTTAAATGCATTTTGAACAACTGAAGCAAGTTATTTTCTGAGATTAAATGCCAAGATATGCGTCTTTAATGCTTCCTTATTAGCTAACCTGAGACAGCAATCTCCTCATCCTCCCTCCATGTTCCAAGAATGTTATCTTTGACTCTCTTAGAAGCAAAACACACCTTTCAATAAATAATTTTTGTCTGGTTTAATTTAGAAATTGTAATTTTATCATGCATTTTTGCTTGAATGTTGAGAGTTCAAAAAATTATTCACTACTTTCCACTGTTTATTTTATATGTCCCATAGGAAATTAGCTTGCCCTTCAAATTGTTTTTTTAACATCCCAGAGGATGGCAGTAGAAATTTCAAAATCATCTCTAATAAAATAATCTAGAATTGTGGATTCAAAACATTAAATAAAGTTTCCCACTTATTTGATGACTTGGGTTGTCACCTTATAAAATTCTCTCCATGCTTTGGCATGATCTGAAATATCTACCATATCAGCGTTTCTTCTGTAAGTTGGGGATTCAAATACCATTGACCACCAAAGAATTGAAATGTGAATATCGGTCATGGATTGCTGCATACAATGTGAAATCTACATACCAGGCAGAACATCTGACAAATACTGGCCAACCCCGTGAAATCATCGAGCCCTGTATAACGTGAAAATCAAAATAGTCTAGTCTTGTGCTGGAGGGTGGGTGGAGTGGTGATAAAAACAAATTTGTCTTGTGAAACAGAATATCAGGTTGAAAACACTGATTTTACTAAGGATGATGCTTTTTTAGCTTAGCATTTTGCAGTGAACTTGGGCTCAGGGGCTGCTGGTGAATATATTGCTTGGTTGGTAGTCCTTCAGCATTTAACATTTTTAAAAATATCAGGGTTTCAATGACAAACCACACAGAAAAAAGATTGTGGAAAGGATTGGCAAACATTGATACAAATAGCGTAGTAGCTCCATTGTAACAAATTCCAAACAACTAAAACTAAATTATTGCTGTATCAGTTGGGATTTAAATGGGGATTTATTAAAACTTGAATACAGAACAACAAATCCCCACAACCCAAACAGGGCAATTGGGCCACAGGAGCAGACTCTAAAGTACTGGTCAGCACAGCATGGACAGATGGGTCAAGCTACACCAAGAGTAACTGTAACCAAGAGAACAGAGGAGTAATTTCAGTTGGAGCAGCCTTAAACTCTCATCCACTTATTTGGAAACCAACCTACATACAAAAGGTACAACCAGTATATTTTTCTTTTGAGATTAATACTGTGTCATTAATTCCCACTCGGGACTTAAAAACGTTGTTTATATTTTGTGATTTTGTTTTGTTTAATTTTATAACAGTCATACTTTTACAAATAAGTACAGACTGAGTGGGAAATACTTCCCTACAGAAAACAGATTGCAGTCACAAATTTACCGTGTCTTGTAAACAATATAAAAACATAGTCTTCTTCCTTTCCCCAACACTCAATTTTTATACAATGTAATAGAAGTTATCTACACCATGAATTATTTTCACAATGTTAGCATTTTTCCAAAACATACTTAATAATGTGTTTCTGCATTCTGTTCTTTTTTTTATATATAAAAGCAAACTCAAGCTACTCTGTAATTCTGCAATTTCTCCTTATGGAAGTGTGCATTGAGCCTTTGCTCATTGCCACTGCATGTGAGAGAGTAACTTGCACAATGACCTAGGCAGGTGGATCTAGACAGCAGCAGCCAATTAACCTAAAGGATCATGTTTTCCTAAGCCATCCAGTGAGCTGTGATCTTGGCTGATAAGACAGATACTGTAGTATTAAGCACGAGGCGGCTGGGAGTGCA